CTGCTAGGTTATCTGGAGAATGGATATAGACACTATCTATTAGTCTTTTGCAACTTAGGCTCCAGTCTTATGCCGAGCCAGTCATTGTGAAGATTAAATATAGTCGGCACTTGGCATTCAGGACCCTCAGTGTTGATATAGAGACAAGAAGCCGGTACATGATGGGATGGGCTTCAGCTGAACTGAAGCGCTCAACATGGCCTCCAGATGAGGGCAGGGCAGTTATATAGTTTATTTAATAATTCATCATATTCATCTAGTTAGATTAAAAAGAAAGATTCAGCTCATGGTGATTTCGTCTCTTCTTTGACTATCCACTTCTTCTTTAGAGATATATTCTTGTCTTATCTGATCTGGTAGAAGTTGATCGTTAGAATCACTCAGACTCTTTTACTGTCACATAAGGCTATTGTATTGTTACTTTTATACTTCATGCTGTCCGGCTTAGGACACTGCTTGTCTTGACGTCCAGATACAGCTAGATAAGAGGAAGGCAACCTATACAAACCAGTACACAGTAACACAGTTTCTGAGCGGCTAATTATTCACACCAAATCATCAGTTGATATATCAGTAATACATGTTATCCTCTCCGGCTCAGCATTGTCCAGACTTGGCTCAGGGCGCAAGGAATCGCACAAGGCAGGTTCTGGCAATGGAATTAGCGCGGGTTATGCTAATTCCTCTCAGTTGTTTTGGAAGATGTAGCAAGTCTTCCCTCCTCCTCCTTCTCTAGGAAATCATGACGTGGCTTCATACTCTACTCTTAGTCATGGAATATATACCTTTTCATTCTTACTTCCAGTAGGTAATGTTCCCCTCCTTAAGATTTAAAGCTCTATAGCGAATATCTCTTTGTAATCTCTAGTTTCCTTAAGTTTGGTAATGCTACAGAACCAGCACATAAGTAAATCCCTCTTAAGGTAGTTGTGGAAGCCTACTAAAAGAGAACGACTAAAATATATTTACTTTGAAGACTTCCACCTTCCACTGTTAAAGGCTAAGAAGCTGCTAGGGAAATCACCTACTCACTAGAAGCAACAGTTTGAATCAGTGAGATAATCAGGGGATCAGAGATCATCACAGTTGAGCGTCACCGTGCTATATTACTCTCATAGGCTAAATCTAAACCTTTCTAGTCTTGAGGTATAACCTTCTATCTGGTTACTGACTTTAACCCTCCTTTACATGCCCTCATGGAAAGATATTCAGTCATTCTTAATCCAGGAAATCTCAAAAAATCCCTACCAACAAGTTACTAGATTAATATCTAACTCTTAGACAGAGCTTGTCTCCTTCCTAGCAAGCCCATCCCTCTATTAATATACATGATAAGGATTAATAGGCCAGCCTGTGATCCCATCGTGAACAACTTCTAGCCAATGCTAATTAAAATAATTAAGGTATGAGCATATAGATCTATTAAAACCAACATACAACTCCACGCCCTGTAATTAGTTAGTAATATGCATAAATAACCATATATCTATAGTATATTAACAGGGTCGACATTCAGCCTTGAGGACAACTTGTAGAAATATCATTAGCTACTGCGCACGCTGACACTGATGTTTAAAACCTGCAATATTAGCCGTACTTACAAGCTCCAGATACGGCTTGGTTTCTGCTTTGGTGTGGCAAATGTAAGGTAGACCCATTTCTCCCTGTTTTGGTTCTTTCAATCAGGACTGATCTGTGGACTTTCTCGAAATCTAAGCCCTAACTAGAGTTTTGGAAGTTGAGTTTCCGGTATACATCATAGCACCTTGTCCTTCAAAGAACATGCCTCGAGCATCTTAGTTCTTTTGGAAAGTATGCAACAGGCACCTTATAGTCGACACAAAGCAATGAATTCCAATATGGCTTGTGGAAAAATCTGTATATAACGAAGTTTCGCACTGATGAAGATGCACAATTACTGGACTTGGTGGCTATGGAAGGCTACATCCCTTCCCAGTTTGAAGTTGCTTATCTTCACTGTCATTTAGCTTCAGAACCATAGCAAGCTAGCTTCCCTTACGCAATTATATACTTATCTGCTTGTAACTACAAGACTTACTGTTTGTTATGAACTTTAGTGAGAAATTAATAACCCCTAACTATCAATTCCAGTGAAAGAATCATAGGTGTTGCGGAGCCCCGAGTCGAATATCGGTTGGTTTGGCCCTTGTTCAGTGTGCGTTGTGCGTGGCGGTTGAATCATCGTTATTTAACCCTAAGTTCGAAGATCTTCTGGACACATGTGTCCTACTGGTATTGGCCGCTTGGGCCACTCTGCCTGGCGATGCAAGAAAACATATCTCAGAGGCTTGCTGACCACCATGTACTAGCTCGGCAGGGTGGAAGGGGCTAATGTTAGACTTGCTTATTCCTCAACTGTATCCCAGGTCGGTCATTCCTACATAGTTTGTAGGCCACACTCCCCAGCTTATATCTTCGGAATCTCCGCGAATGAAGTAGTTGCTCATCTAGCTGTATGTTTACAGGGCATTCACCTGTTTTATTCTATCCCAGGTGTGCCTGCAGTGTTGTGGGCAGAGTATGTTGGCGGTGATGCCTGAATGGGTTACACCACATGAAACATATCTACCATTTAATTCACAATATGCCAGCGATGTGTTGTCCTCAAGAGATACAGCTACTGCTTTTGAGCGGGGTAGCCCTTTTCCTAAATAACTGTTCATAAGCCTATCTAAGGCCAATTCCAAATTCTCAATGCAAGCTTTCGACAATTGCACTACCACGCACATATATGTAAAAATGGCACGCAAGGGACGCAAAGCCGCGAAATTGTGGTCGCTCCACCTAAAGCTTCATGACGATGTAGCACAGTTATTAAATAAGGAAGGTCTTTAATTAGACTTCTTTAACACCAATGATGTGGAAACCAACATCGAGGAACAGGACACCAATGTTATAGGTCAATTCATATGCCTAAATAGCAGATGTCATTCCAGCAGTTAGTCAAGCAAAAAGATCATGATTACAATTCGCATGTACCCCCAACAGTTATATAATGCGCAAGTGTATCACCAATAATGCAAAAATTGCAGAGCCATTGGTTGGCTAGTCCTAGACCATGGGTGCTATGCGGAAAGAGTGACATACTGGCTTAAAAAGTGGAATGGAATTAACATATAGCAACCTAATTTTTCTGGTCAGAGCAGAGGTCCGCATAATAGTAAGCTGTGTGAGGGATGTAAAGCTAGTCATTATCCTAACTTAAATAAGGAATTAGCATCAGTCCTCGCTAGGTAAGTTTTGTACCACGATTTCTTATACACTAACCAACCATTTTAGATTGTCTATCTGAGCACTGCGGCTGAGGTTGTTTAAGTAGCTGGTGTATGGTACAATTCATAGCCGTCTCCCGGATTGATAGCGAGGGCTCAGCCAAGTGATACAAGATGTTACTGAGATTACGGCGTAATTTATGTACGTCAGCATATAATTCTTCTTTCATTTAGCTTTTATGGCTTTATAGCTTTATGGATTGGGCTATGGGGATCAAACCACCCATAAGTTTCCTAGCAACGAACCAGACATGGGCATGGGAGAAAGCCACACAAAGTGATAGGAGCTTAGTCAAATGCATAGATATTAAGACTATCTAGAAAGGAATAGATGCGGAGCTTCATAAACTCACGTCATTAATTCCTAGTAGGTCGGGTTTTGTTGCCACTAATGAGGCTACTGCTTACCTTAGTAAACATGTGGCTAAATCCCGTAGATATAACTACCCCTTTCTTCACAGCTTCAATGCCGGGAAACCCTATACCACTGTGATTCCAAGATTGGACCCAAAATCCCAAAACGCGTATAGCATTGGCCCCCGGAGAGTAATTTGCACATTGGTTGCCTGAATTATGCTTCTATGCGCATCTATATGGATTTCTGATTCTCTAACACCCTGGAATGTATAGTTGGCGATCTGACTAGCCATGAGAGGCCCTTCAACTTTGAACGCCGTTGTGCTCATTGTCGTTATCTGTGTTTATATTATGAAACTGGCTGGTAATGTCCACATTAGGCGTATTCTCTTTTCTGCCAAAAAGAAACCTCATAGTGTATCCAATTGTGACTATGTTTTGGAGAACAGGGGGTTATCAGCGCGATAGCTTTCGATTGTAATAGCCTTAGGGTTTAGATATCCACTGACTGCGTGGTCCATACCCAAGATCTCCAAAAGTGAGCATTATCAATGCTTGTTACATCGTGTAATTGGTTGAGAGGCATACCAATCTTACGCGGCTGACCAAACAGTCTGTTTACTGACAGACGTCCAGTGTTTTCACATGAGATGCCGACAGTGGGGTTGTGTCAGAAGATGTTTTCCAAGCGTACATCCGCTGTAGGTGCAAAACAAGCAGCATTGTAGGGCAATGGCTCCCACTTCTGATCTGGCTGGGGCTCTGGCTGCTGATGATATATAGCAAGGTCATGTATATTAAATACCTTGGCTGCTGATCCAGATTGGGATAATGTTATTTATGACAAGAAGCTTCGAGCCCTTTGTTGTGATATGACCTGTCCCTGGCGAATTGCCGATGGAACCCCCGCACCAGATCTAGAGAAGTACTGGAGCAGAAATAAAAAGGAATCCTTGATCAGGGCGTGGGCCAGGATCAATTAAATATGTGCTGGAGTAAACAAAACTACCCCACCTTTGCCATCCCTCCATGAAGCTTTGTCTTCTGCTTTCTGAATAGTAAAGGAGTTGTTAGTAACTCCATTCCCAGTTGCACCAAAGGTTTGACTTTGAAATATCCCTCCTTGCCATTGAGTTATTCACTATTCTGCCTGCGTGAAAAGAGGAGATTTAATATTCAGCAGAGGTGTTCTTTAGCTCTGAAATTTGCTGAGCAGATTTCACAGGCTTCAACTACGCAGTCGCAACCTGCGTTGGGATCAGTTGTTTCGCAAGGGTTTATTCTCTTTACTCTTTCAGATCCTAGAATGTTCATTCTTGATGCCCGTGTATGTTATACAGATACTAAAGGTTAACTTGAGTAATACGTTGCATACTCCATTGTGAAGGATTCGACCGCAGCGCGAGGAAACCCTGGGGCTCTGCCGAGGCACACGCAAGAGATTCTTAGCACTATCCACAGAGTTTAGCTTGCGAAACTCCCATAACTTATAATTAATTCGGTCGACCAAGGGGGGACTTACATTCGATTAATATCGTTTCATCGATGATCTTTTGGTTCCCAATCTGTAGGGAAGTGCTCGGACCAGAGACACGTTGCTCGCGTTCCAAGCCCGGAAGAGCCGCAGGAACCGTCATCTTTGCCTGGGCAAGGGTCTGAACGGGGACGATCCTACATCTTTCCAGATATCCCTCCACATCATAACAATCAAACCAGTCACCCAGCATGTCAGCGTCGACTCGTTCTGTCGCAACCTGTATTATGCTCGGCTGGAACGAACCATTGTCGGCGTCATAGCTCCTCTGGTTGTGTTTAAAATGCGTTCCTGCGCCACCAATACTAAAAAAAGGGATATTCAGCTCCATAAGGGTTCCTTGACGTCCACCACTTAGAGATTCCTCGAAATGCGCTCTGATATTGTGTAGCGTAAAGACTTTCAGAGGAAGCCTGAATTTGTATGTGAGTTCCTCAAGCTGATAAGGGGGATTCGTTAGACACTGATGTCCTTGTTCGACACAAGCTCGATAGAGTCGGTGAGCGAAACTTGTTCCTTCCAGGCTATATGTGCTGGAAGATGGGGTATTCCAGAATAACGGTGTTGAATAAAGGGGTGTTGCTTCTGTTGGTATTTCCGATACTGCAAGGTTAGATTGTTGAGTTGTCTGGGCCGGGTATTGGCTGCTAGCCTGTCGCTGAGCCCGTACAGTAAACTCTAGGATGTCAGGAAGAGGGATATTAGTGACATCAAAGGTGTCGTTAGTGTTGGCTACATCCTGCTGCGTCACATCAACAACACCCGCGTTCGCTTTTGCTTCTGGCGCAGTTGTCTCAGCATTGGGGGGTTCAGCGACATCTTCTGCCACTGAAACTGCCCGATTTGTAAGGGATAGAGATTGCGCTATAGTTTGGTGGAGTTTCCGCGCAACACCTGGGTATGTTAACAAGATGCCGGATTCGATCAGATTGTCAGTGAAGGATAGAAATGTCTCGTTCATTCGCTCCATGAGCATATCCAGTTCACGAACACGAGCCCTCAGTGCTTGTAGCTCGGCCTCCTTTCGTGAGCGATATGCACGCTGTGCTAACCTGATCTGAGTCTTCCGCCTCTTTGCTTCCTGATCAGCATTTTTGGATTTCTGACAGCTGGGAAGACCCTACATTCGGGGACACATCTTGCCTGATCTGGCTTTTTGAACGAGCCTTTTTCCTCCGCTCAGTATGATTCTCCGCGACAGAAGAAATTCTCGAATCCGCCATCTTCGGCGAGAGAGGATATGTAGATGAAGTTACACCTTCCCTGTCTGGACTGATCAAGCGGTCGCACCCGGAAAAGAGAAGGCGGCTTAGTAAGGGCCCTTTATAAGAGATGGACACCGTCCTGCCTCAAGCGTTTAGAAAGGTTCGAGATGTCGCCAAGTATGCGTACGGATAGCACCGTCAGGGGAAAGATGAACGAGACCGTTTATTTCACTGTCCTATCTTGATATTTTCTTGAAAAGACTTCAAATAATACAGGGTTGACCGCTGACGGTCTTGCACCGGCGAGACCCGGCATGACTCAGGTTGAAGTGTTTCGACTCAACCATGGACTGGTGGGTAATGGGAACGAATATGATTCTTGGCAATGACATCATCTGTTGCTGCTCGTATTTGATTACTATTCATGCCCGACTCCAAGTGGGGCCTTGTCAGATCACGTCTCAACAGTCACAAGTTCTGGCTAGCACTTTGACCTCTGAACTGGAAACCCAGTAACAAAGTTATCAGCTAGACTAGTAGTTAATGGTTGTCATGTGTCAGCTGAATGACTACACATATTTAAATTTTTTATCTTCCTACTGAAGATTTTCTATTCTGACATTTGAATGTGGTGTCTTTTTGCTGCTAACAATAAATCAGCAGAGTAATCCTGTAGTCAATCCTATCCAATGTCAATTACTGGGACACAGAGCGCCATGATTTCTGGGGAACCATTTGAGAATTCTAAATACAGTTTTCCAAGTATGGCCGCGACCGATCTTTGGATATAACTGCTGCGAATATCTTAAGTTATCGTTCTTCTTGTTGTCTTCGGTCTAAGTGCATATGGTAAGTCACTGCTGGTACCACCTTCTGGCGTGTAACGACTAAGATTGTTCTGACCTCGGAGGCTTCAGCAGTCATTCTTACTTTACGTTTCGCCTACATTAGCATCCTCATATTCTCCAATGGAATATGGAGTGCTCTCCTAGCAACACCTGTTCTTGCTCTACAACTGGAACCACCCAATCGGGTTGTACATCACATTTCCATACTAGTAGTAGAAGGGACTACAATGGTACTGTGGTTTGTCTGCTTCACTATGCTAGCTACATTATCACCTCCAAGTCACTCTGATATAAGCAGTTGCGTTGCGTCTCGAGTGATTGCTCTTTTCGGGGCAATCGAATAATATGCTACGCTCACTCCTAAGACGGAAACTTCTCGGCCTATAAGCTAGCAGCAGAATTGATGTCACAGCCGACTATTCTTGCCACAACTGTACATCGCATCGCTATGTATTAGTCGTGGGCCCGAGTGAGGCTTTCTTTCCCACGGGACGGGTAGTCAAGAACCAAGGACCTCTCGAATGTTGGACGCTTTAATTTTTCTCTCAATATATCCTCTCCTTTACTACACCTCGTTTACACTCCTTTGGCAGCTTTATCGACGACCTAAATTCACTATCCAGTAAGACGTAGGTGTCCCTTTTCCGGGAATACCTCGGCTAGAAAATTAATGACATTAGCGAGACGACGTTTTCTAACGGATATCTTGTTGCGGACTTCTGTATATTGCGTATTCAATGTCCGGCAGACGCCATATGCTACCCATTTAGCTGTAGTATAACGTGCGTGATGTGTAACGGAACTTTGATCAGCCAAATCCTCAAAATCCTGTTACCCATGACATATGTTTCATTTTGGGACGCAGGGAACACCTTCCGGGTTATACCTACTTTTCCATCTCATTTCACCTATGGTTTCTCAACACACTCATAACGGTGGAATCTTTCCCTGAATTTTCTTCAGATCTCCTTTCGCTTTCCCATATGGTCGCGGAAGTATGAATAGTGACCCTTATCACTCACATGTGGTCTCTATCCTTTGTCGCTTGCGCCGGCAGTGAGGCTGTAAACTACATCACCAACACTAGCAGCAGCAAGCCTTATAGTAAAGCGGTTGACCGTGATCAGAATGGTTTGGATTTTTTTATCCCTAATCTGCCACCCGCGCGACGCTACCAAGGGCGAGCGGTGGGTCCCCGCAATCAAAGCCTCATTACTAATAGGACTCAAAGGCGGGAATGTATAGTAATCTTGCCCGTCGGTCGTGCTCCGTAATTCAGTTAAGACGGTCTAACTAACTCATCATTCCGTAGGCAGATCTGAAGTTGAGTTGAGTGAACTTTGACTATGCTGTCAGGGAAGGATTCTAGCGCCCTCTTGTGCCGAAGATATGGTACAGCTTGGAATGAGCGTCTTGATCGTCTGGGTCAAGAAAGAAATATAAGTATTAGGACTTGTGCCACCGATACAACCAGCTTGAGGGTTACTATTTTTTATAAATTGGTGGGTAATTATTGATTTCCCCCGAGTTTATGCCCCTTTAAGGAGCTCCTAACGTCTGCGCCTTTACCACATCCGCCTGCCCTCAAACATGGCCTCTGGTTCATCAAGCTTGGATGCAGAGTCCACAATTGCTGATGAAGGACTACAACCCGCAGATCCCAAGGACGATACGGAAAATGCATCCACCTATCATACCCCAGCGACATGGCACATGGCATCCGAATTGCGACAACTCAGGGAACGGGACGAAGAGGGTGGGGAGAAGCCCAAAATGCTCGGCGTTGCCTGGAAGAATCTCACCGTCAAGGGCGTTGGCGGCAACGCCAAGTTCAATGAGAATGTCCTGTCCCAGTTTTTCCCTTTCCACAGGGGTGGCAAGGGTATCAAAACCAAGACCATCATTGACAGTTCGTTTGGATGCGTTAAGCCAGGAGAGATGTTGCTCGTCCTGGGGCGGCCTGGAGCGGGTTGCACTACGCTGCTGAACGTACTCGCAAACAATCGTCTCGGCTATGAAGAGGTCAACGGAGACGTCAGCTATGGGAACATGTCTGCTGTGGAAGCAAGGCAGTACCGTGGCCAGATTGTTATGAACACGGAGGAGGAGATCTTTTTTCCAACACTGACCGTTGAAGACACGATCGACTTTGCCGCTCGCATGAAGGTTCCATATCACCTGCCACCTGGGATTTCGACTCATGAACAATATGTCCAGTTCTATAAGGACTTTCTCCTGCGCTCAGTTGGAATCACTCATACCGCACGGACGAAGGTCGGTGATGCCTTTATTAGGGGTGTTTCGGGAGGAGAGAGAAAACGTGTCTCAATTCTAGAGTGTCTCACTACTCGTGCTAGCATCTTTTGCTGGGATAACTCGACAAGAGGCCTTGACGCCAGCACGGCTCTTGAGTGGATCAAGGCTATCAGGGTGATGACCGATCTCCTGGGGCTCAGTACAATTGTCACCCTCTATCAGGCGGGTAACGGCATCTACGAGCATTTTGATAAGGTTCTGCTTCTTGACGAGGGCAAACAAATCTTCTACGGGCCTCAAGCGGACGCTGTCTCATTCATGGAGGGACTGGGCTTCATGCGTGATCCAGGTTCCAACCGGGGAGATTTCCTGACTGGCGTGACAGTGCCCACTGAGCGCGTCATTGTCCCTGGACATGATGACAAGTTCCCACGCACCGCCGACGAGATCCGCACTGCCTACGAACGGTCCCATATCAGGCCCAGGATGCTGGAAGAAGCCCAGAGCTACCCGACAAGCAAAGAAGCAGCTGACAACACGGCCGTATTCAAAGAAATGGTTGCTCGTGAAAAGCATAGGGGTGTGCCCAAGAGGTCCCCTGTCACTACTGGTTTCATTACTCAAGTAATGGCTGCAATTATTAGGCAATACCAGCTTATGTGGGGTGACAAGGCGACTCTATTTATAAAGCAAGGCGCTACAGTTGTCCAGGCACTCCTCGGTGGTTCTCTCTTTTATTCGGCCCCTGACAATTCTATCGGCCTTTTTCTGAAGGGCGGTGCCCTGTTTTTCTCTATTCTATACAATGCTCTTATAGCCTTATCAGAGGTTACTGACTCATTCACCGGCCGACCTATTCTCTCCAAACACCGCTCCTTCGCGTTGTACCATCCGGCGGCTATCTGCATCGCCCAGATTGTGGCTGATTTACCTATAATATTATTCCAGGTTACACATTTCGGCCTTATCCTATATTTTATGGTTGGCCTGAAGACCACAGCTGAGGCATTCTTTACTTATTTAATCACCAACTTCATGACGGCCATGACTATGACAGCTTTCTTTCGACTTGTCGGTGCCGCATTCCCTACGTTCGACGCTGCGTCCAAAGTCTCGGGTCTTTCGATTGTAGCGCTGTTTATCTACATGGGATATATGATTATCAAGCCTGAGATGCATCCATGGTTTGTATGGATCTTTTGGATCAACCCCATGGCCTACGCATTCGAGTCTCTTCTTGGAAACGAATTCCATGACCAGATTATCCCGTGTTACGGACCTAACCTAATTCCTAGCGGCCCTGACTACATTGATGAAGGGGGACAATCATGTGCCGGTGTCGTTGGTGCAGCACCTGGTGCGACGAGCCTGACCGGTGATGAATATCTCGCAGCCATATCTTTTAGCCATAGCCATATATGGCGTAACTTTGGAATTATCTGCGCCTGGTGGGTGCTCTTCGTTGTGCTCACCATATTTTTCACCTCCAAATGGAAGCTACTTGGAGAAGGAGACCGTAAACTCCTGATCCCTCGAGAGCTACAACATAAATCAAAACACCTTTTGCAAACCAGAGACGAGGAAACACAATCATCGGAGAAACCTGTCAGCCCCGGATCTGATGCATCAGGGGGAAGCTTCGGAAATGACCTGCTCCGCAACAAGAGCATATTCACTTGGAAAAACCTGACTTATTCTATCCCAACGGCTGACGGTGGCCGTATCCTTCTTGACAACATTCAAGGATATGTCAAACCTGGTATGCTTGGTGCTTTAATGGGCTCCTCTGGTGCTGGCAAGACGACCCTGCTGGATGTTCTCGCACAACGCAAAACCTCAGGCACTATTCGTGGATCTGTCTTAGTAGATGGGCGTCCTCTTCCTGTTTCTTTCCAACGCTCTGCTGGTTATGTGGAACAGCTGGATATTCACGAGCCCTATGCGACTGTCCGTGAGGCTCTGGAGTTTTCAGCGCTATTGCGCCAAGCTCGCGATACACCCACTGAAGAAAAGTTGCAATACGTGGACACCATTATTGATCTTCTTGAGCTGAATGACCTTGAACATACCCTCATTGGTCGACCAGGTGCTGGTCTCTCAGTGGAGCAACGTAAGCGTCTTACCATTGGTGTTGAACTAGTGGCAAAGCCGAGTATTCTGTAAGTTGTGACCTCAGGCAAATTACTGTGACTCCAGACAAAATTTACTAAGTGTATTGCGCCTACCCCCATTGTGGGCTAGGCGCGTTGCGTGCACAGCTGTTTCCTTGATGAGCCCACGTCGGGACTTGATGGTCAAGCTGCCTATAACACTGTTCGCTTCCTTCGCAAGCTTGCAGAAGCAGGCCAAGCTATACTCGTCACTATCCATCAACCATCGGCACAGTTGTTTGCGCAATTTGATAAATTATTATTGCTGGCTGCCGGCGGGAAAACGGTGTACTTTGGAGATATTGGCCAGAACGCGAACACAGTCAAGGAGTACTTTGGTCGCCACGGCGCACCTTGTCCACCTGAAGCCAATCCCGCTGAGCATATTATTGATGTTGTGTCGGCAGGCGAGAGTCGTGATTGGAACCGGGTCTGGCTGGAGTCCCCGGAACATGACAAACTCTCCAAGGAATTGGATATCATGGTTGCTGAAGCTGCGTCTCGACCCACAGCAGCAAATGATGATCCGCACGAATTTGCTGCTTCGCTCTGGACCCAAGTCAAGCTTGTGACGCATCGTATGAACGTCTCTCTCTTCCGGAATACTGAATACCTCAATAACAAATTCGCCATGCATATCAGCCTAGCGCTGTTAAACGGCTTTACCTTCTGGAAGATTGGAGATGCACTGACAGATCTACAACAGAACCTCTTTACTGTGTTCAACTTCATTTTTGTCGCGCCGGGTGTTATCGCCCAGCTACAGCCGCTCTTCATTGACCGCCGGGATATTTTCGAGGCGCGGGAGAAGAAAACCAAAATGTACCACTGGGCTCCCTTCGTGATGGGTCTCATAGTCTCAGAGTTTCCTTACTTGCTTATCTGTGCGCTGCTGTATTATGTTTGCTGGTACTTTACCAGCGGCCTTCCTACCTCCGCTGATCATGCTGGAAGCGTCTTTTTCGTTGTGGTAAGCCCGCCTACCTGTCTTCTAATTTCCTTGCCTTCCGCATGCAAGAACTAACCCCTTCCCAGGTAATGTATGAGTGTCTTTACACGGGCATAGGGCAGATGATTGCCGCTTACACACCAAACGCCGTGTTTGCATCACTGGTCAACCCTCTGGTGATTACCACTCTCGTCTCCTTCTGCGGCGTGATGGTTCCATATAGCCAAATCGTATCATTCTGGCGATACTGGTAAGCATCCCTGCATCAACCATGATGTAGCTTGAGCAGTTTATGACGGCCGTTTTTTTTAGGATGTACTACGTCGACCCCTTCAACTACCTCATGAGTTCTCTGCTGGTGTTCACTACCTGGGACAAGCCCGTGCACTGCAAGCCCGAGGAGCTAGCTGTGTTTGATCCGGCTCCCAATCAAACATGTGGCGAATATCTCAATGTCTACCAGCGTGGCGTGGGGGTAGGCACGAACCTTCTGAACCCGGATGATACCTTTGGCTGCCGCGTTTGCCAGTATACTGAAGGCGGAGATTACCTCCGTACGCTAAACTTGCAAGAACAATACTATGGATGGAGGAATGCGGGAATTGTTGTTGTATTCGTGGTCGGTATTTACGGGCTCGTATTCCTCATGATGAAACTCCGCACCAAGGCCACCAAAAAGGCCGAGTCCTAAGGTGGGAAGAGAATCAGTGATGAAGACCTCATTGATGACAGAGCTGTTAATACTGCGTTCCTTTGGAGTATTCGAGGGTTTGGCTGATCATTGGTTACTATTTGAATGTTTACATGGTTATAGGGTGGGTAGATAATCGTCTATAGATATATTGATAGCTAATTGTTGGCCTTGCTCTTTCAGTAGCACAACTTAGCCGGAATTCTCTTTGTTACCTATTCTATTTTGAGAGTTGATGGATTATATGGAGGATTACTTATATAATATTGTACTGCAAGCAGATGAATCTAATCCTTTGACTAGCAATAGTGACTGTTGCTAGAGTTAGGGATCAAAAGTATACCAATCATCAGCAGACAATGTGGCCTGCAGGCGACGAGGTATTAATTTGATAAATTCCACATATCCCTTGTCCATCGTGTGCTAGGCCTTCTTCGCCGCCTCCAAAATAATCGCTTTCATGAGTACGTATATATTCTCGATGGGATCAAGATAAAGCAAATGAGGAGAATATATCATAACCTCTGAATCGATCTCATGGAGTAGCCGTCTAATAACACACGTAGTTGCATGACCATGGAAACTCCGTCATGCATGCAAATAACGTCTGATCCCACTACTAAAAGCCATCCCTTATATACATCAGAAATAACTCATAACTCATATCATTTGAAAAGAAAAAAAAAAAAAAAAAAAAATTTAAGATCTGTACGTCGGCTGAATCCAAACTAGCCTAAAATATCTACTTCGCACCCTTCCCCACTGTATAGTATGCATATCATGTTCTATAATGCGACGAGCAAGACCAGTAAGATATAAGGCTCGAGCGTTTTTTTTTTTTTCCGCGTTATCAAGTATATATCAGCTACTTGAGGCCTTATCCTGCTCTCTAGGAGAGTAGTAAGCGTACTATTGAGTAATCAAGAGAGCGGATGGTTAAAAGAATACCGTCCGATTCAGTTAAATCTCGGCTTGTTGGTATTCATCCCCAATAGTGGATCATTGAATGCCGCAACGCCTTCACTAATGGACTTGCAAACGGGATTATGGTTGAGCTTGTGAGGGGAATCATTACTGGAGGTATATTTCTCCAGGTTTTGCAAGGTTGGCATTTGAGACACTATTAGTGGCTACTATTTAGCTATGTCTGGGGCCCTTCTGTGTGTGATTAAGTAGCAAGTGCCATGCCATACCTGCTCAAAGCACTAATATTGTATTAGAGGCATTTATTCCTTACATATTAAGGTTCCTGGCCTTAGGGCTAACTATAACTCCACATAATGGCTATTAAGATACTAATGAACAAACCCATTAATCACTCTTAGCATGATGTACTAGAGCTATATATTAGCAGTCTAAGCTACAAGAGAAACATAATACCTAAGCTACTATTACTAATAGGCCAGAGTGGGAATATATTTAGATATATGCTGTCTCTATTAAGTGCTACTAGCTCTCTGCCTTATCATATTTACTTCAGTGTAGCTATAGCCTCTAATTGAGTTACAGTATTATTAAGTATATATCATGAATAACATATATCACCGGAAAGAATTAATCTATATAATTATTCAATGCTTCTTGCTCAGGAGCTACTAAAGCACCGCAAAGCTAAATATTCTGCACGTATTGGCATGGCTGCCTAGCCATTAAGGCTAAGCAGCCTCCACCAGACTGCCACTAATTACTTGCTGGCATTCTCAGCACTTGTCTGCCACCAACATCTTGTAACCCTGTTTCAATCCATCTGCGACACGAATCCACAATCCCCATATATTATTGATACATCATATAAGAAGAAAGGAATATAACCTAGGATCTAACTAAGCACTAATTGGAGAGACTCTTAGTAGAAGATTAGGATATATATTCCTTGCTTTGCTTTTCCTATAATCCCCCTTCCACTCAGTTCCTGTGTTTCAGGGCATGAAATCATCATCATCCTGTAACTACTCCTCACCAGCTGATTTCACGGGGGTATTTTAGACATCAATGAGCAAGGCCCTTCTTTCGTTGATTACATTAATCTATAGACCATTTGCTGACCTTCTCTCTAAAGCTAAATGGAAGAGCGGCATAAAGAATGAAAGCAAGGCCTTACATGTCAAGATCATGGTGAACGTGAATCTAAATGGAGGCTGGCTTACAGATTTTAAGTGGTTGGTTAACGTATGAGCAGTTCTCCCAGTGGTTTGATCGGATCTTCTACCGTGCCCTCCGACAAGTTTTCACATTGCATGTTAAATACATTATCAAGCCCTAATCTCGTTCATTTAAAAATACGGCATAGTCTCTTACTTGACTATAGGGTAATAATATAATCTCAGCCATAAGTCCAGATGCACAAATCTCTCGATAAGTCTTGGGGTCTAGATACTTATTCTCTGTCAAACCAAAAGCATCCATCTTCTCCCTGACACGTGTGCCTAAATTACTCAGTCTGTCAATATAGACTTGGGCAACCTGCTGCGGAGGTTTCTGAAGTGGTGCACTTTTGATATTGGACACAGCCAGTGTCAAATGCTGTGATGTCAAAGTTAGACCAGACTTCAGCGCTCTGGTTACTGGAGTGGTAACTCTTCTCAACATCCCACCCCAGTACGCGTAAAGTGGCTTTGAGGTCGACACTTTCAGAATCGTGCTGAACAGCTGAGGAACAAGAGGCGAGCATGGCGGCATCCGCGCCTAACTGCAGGCTGGCTACATAGTAGTCACCATATCGCTCAGTGAAAGAGGATGGATCCAGGCGTGATCTGCGGGCATCCGCCAGAGCATCTAGCGAGAACCGAGGCCTGTCTACATAACACCCCTGTGCGGAGTGTAGCTTGGACTGAGGCTTTCAGATCCTGTAGCACGTCAGATTAGAGCATTCCATGTAACCAAGCCTTTGGAAACCAGGCGCGCAATACACAGAAGGGATTCCCTCACATCTTTATTATCAGACACATCCTTATTGTAGGCTCCACATACGCCCCCTTCGAGGAATTTCCCCCTGCCTCAAACTTTCCCGACGCACTCAAGTGCTTCAATTTGCTCTCAGCAGTGGATGTGATCGCTTTGTGAAATGATGCCTGTGCCCCCGCCTCGTTCCGGAATTGTATATTTCCTCTCAATATTGTACCTGAGAAGGCGGGCCTAGTCCGAAATGCTGAACGAGCATTGCTTCCCTCCAGCTTGGATAAATGGCACCAGATAGGAGCGGATCAGGAGGTTGATGGGCTTCTCCACGAGACTAAGGGAGAGAGACTTGCACCCCACTGGAGGCGAATAGAGACGGGGAGGGCCTTGACGGATCTTCAGGGAAGGTGTCCTCAACCTTGCTATCTATGGCCGTCCTTTGAAAGATGACTGCAGTCTTGTCATGATGAGAAGAGAGGCTGTACGTATACAGTGTGAATAACCTATATGGATATCCGGGAGCTGACTTTATAATTATAGATTTATCTTTGCAGTTGAAAGGGAGGCACTATTGGCACCATGAACGAAGCGGTTCCTGTATAGTGCCATTCCTCACATGATCTGAAGTGGTCAGACATGAGGTCATTATGTATGTGGGATGGGAATAGCTATCTTATTACCTGGTAGCAAATACAACGTTAGATAAGTGCAGGGAAGATTGTGGAGTTCTCTCTCGGTGGCCACCTATGCGTTAGCTCCACTGGAAGGGCAAATCTTATGCGATGCAGCTGGGGCCAGCTTCTGATTAGTCAATGGTAGCAGCAGGTAAGCATGCAGGAATAATCTAGGGGATCAGCGGGTAATGTTAGAAGTATGTGTTGTTTGACCTACCTCCAGTTTCAGCAACTGATCATCCATTCAGACCTGGCTGATAAATGATGTTTTTTTGGAGTATTTATTTTACAGTTTAGGCCGGAGATTTTCTGCAACAAAATCAACTACACGTTATGGGTTAACCGGCCGGTACTTCCGAGTCCCAGTGTCTGATGAGTGATCGATGATGAGTGATCGACGGAACCGCGCCTATCACGACTACTTGGAGGCGGATTTCCTAGGGTTTCGGCGCACTTCCTAATTTGTCTGAACCAGAAGAGATTAAAGCTGGAGGCTTCTGGCCGATATGAATTCGAAGTCACGGCATGACAGGCTGCATGGTGGAGTTCTGCAAGATTTTACTGTAGATGAGGCATTTTCGACCCACTTTTGAGGTTAAACTTTAAATCGCACCTCACCTTGAGTTTGATTACTCAACATTTAAAACAGCTAAAGCACATCTGGAATTCACAGCGAGTGAGACTCTCCAGTAACGATACTAAAAGGCCAGATATATACTACTCCATAAGTCAGCCACCAAGAGCTGACTTCTCTTAATCTTGAGGGAACATGCTTTAAACAAGGTTGAGGGATAACATGTCGAGATTATAAGCTATTTAGACCACCATCTCCATGCGCTATGATAAAATACAAATTAATCTTGACGGCCGAGACACGAATCTGTATGTTACTATCGTCACTGAAAATAATTTTCCTATACCGTAGAAGTAGGCTAAGTTTGCTATCCACAACATATAACTTGTTATGCAGAGATGTGGTTGTCAAGATATGAAGTGATTTAATATGGTGTTTTGGGGTTTCCTCGCTGCCTTGAGGTATGACCGTATGTAGCAGTTTGATCACTAATCACGCATATACGCCTCAAATTTGAAAGGAAGCTTAGTGGATGACCAAATAGCTTCAGAGACTCCTCCCCCCAACCTAGGTAACCCTAGCGGTGGCAATGTTAGGGCTAGAAACGGCGATAGAAAGTCGTACAGGCTTATTGATCCGTCGGTGTTGCCATATCGTACGCTTCAAATGAATTTGGAGTTCTTGTTTTCTAATCGGATCGTACTTTATCTCCGGCCTTCACCATCCGGGTCCCCATATAGCGCACCCTCCCGGTTGATCCACCTTTCGGTCTTCTAATTCTGCTGATGCCGCTAATCTGAAGACTTCTCTGAACTGCGAATAGTATATATCTGCTTACATCCGTTTATCTCCGGCGATCTTCCTTCCTGGCGACGATAAAAGGACGCTTCGTCACGGTGAGAAGGGGAACCATGAAAGTGATCAAACAATATATGAACATCCATCTGCAGCCGCCAAGATCTGGTACCTTGTGAAGTGAGAGTGAACAAATTGGAGACAGCAGCAATGCAAAAATCGCTTGTTACAGGAGGCTCTGGCTTCATTGCCCTTCACGTGATAAAGTGTCTGCTCGAAAGGGGCGATCTCGTCAATACCACTGTCCGCAGCCTGAAGAACCTTTCGAAGTGCAAGCCCCTGCTTGATATGCAAAAGACGTATCCAGGCAGGCTGAAACTGTTTGAAGCTGATTTGATGAAGGATGGCTCTTTCCTGGAAGCGATGGAGGACTGTGAGGTTGTCTACCACGTCGCCTCTCCGGTTTTAGTCCCACAACAAATCAAAAACGGCATGAAAGAATGCGTCGAGCCTGCTCTTCAGGGCACCAATAATGTTCTACAGACTGTGAACAAGACCGAGACCGTTAAACGCGTCGTTTTAACGTCATCCAGTAAGGGGAACTTCCGATCTATTTCTCTAAGCGTATGCCTAAGCATTAACGCCTTAACTAGTCGCGGCCATGTACGGTGATAGTTGGGATATCCTCAAGATGAAGGGCAAGACATTGTCTGAAGACTATTGGAATACGACAAGCACTGCCACCTACAGTCCTTATAGCTATTCCAAGCTAGTCGCTGAGCGTGAGGCGTGGAAAATATGTGACGCTCAGGAACGCTGGGACCTTGTGGTTATCAACCCGGGCCTCGTCCTCGGCCCGTCACTCACCTCCGAATCTGCATCCGGTAGCTTGTTCATGCTGGACGCTATGTACAAGGGAGAAAATCGCTCTGGTGTTCCGGAACTACACTACCCTGTGGCAGATGTGCGGGATGTGGCCGAGGCGCACATCAAAGCAGGAAAAAGTCACTCTGCCAAGGGGAGGTATATCATCGCCAGCGACCGCAGCATTTGCTTGCTGGATATGGCAAATTACGTGAGGGGAATACATCACAAGCCCGAATCGTTGCCCACGCGCAATCTTCCGAAACTTCTCGTCTTCGCCGCAGCACCCTTCATCGGTCTGCCCATGAAATGGGTGTCACGAAACATCGGCATATCCTACAAGGTCAACAACGGCAAGAGTATCAGGGAGCTGGGGCTCTCATACCGTCAAGCGGAGCAGCTGTTGAAAGATCACTATTTGTCGTGGCAAAGTCAGCGCGCTGGCAGGTGACCTTTAGGGGCGTTACTGAGATGAGTGGCCACCACCGTCGCCGTCTCTATCTTCTGTTTGTTCCTGTAATTCCATAGTCGTTATTGCTGTTGTCTTCTTCTTGGACAACTTGATATGTTATCCTCAGATTGTACTCAATAATACGAGGCTCCTTGATAGTTCGGTTTGGCTCGTTTCACCTAGCTTTGCTCTTGGTGGTCGCTGCATCGCCCATCAAGTCTCTACGGTATAGTGATACAATTACTTGCACACAATTTTGTCCATTGGGTTTAATGTAAAAGCTATGAGGAACCCAAAAGTATTGCACAAGTGATGGAGAAAAGAGCGGAAGGGAGAAGTCAGTATAGGCAAATGAGGCCGATGGCCTTGAGACCCAAAACAGGTCTCTAAGCAAAGAACCCCTCAAGAAACCTCAAATGAGATTTAAGCCTTTCTACGGCCTGATATCTCTACGCACTACTGAAGCGCAGTGCATCGTCACCTCCAGTGGCCACTGGATGCGCATGGGGTTTCCTGGGGCAGAAACCTCGGTTCTCTTCTCCGTGCACGCAGCACGTCTATCTAGACTTCAAAATGACAAAAAGGGTCCAAATCCGTACCCTACTGGCATAGAGTGGGCGCGGAGTTTATGGCAAAGCTCGTTCCGTGGACCAACAACATGAGTCTCCCCATTGCTAATTTAGGATTATTCAACGCCCTGATGCTCGGGTACGGACCTAAAAGAACTTAAGTGGATTCAGCATCATAATCGGGCTTTATTTTCCTGGAAAAATGTAGGGTGTTAACGGATATGGCACCTGAAGACTAGATTCAAATGATGCGCAGCTCATGGTGCAATGATTTAAAGCACCCTGCGTACATGTCCTCGTACATAAGGCGGCAAGGCCCCTGAAGTGTCGCTAAATCGGATTACTAGTCTCCCTGTGTATAAGTAGTGACTGTGAGCAGACAACTGCTTTATGCACTGCGAGTCTGGTCCTTTTGGAAATGATGGTAAGGTCAGAGAACTCTCTTTGTTCTTGAACTATGGCGTTGGTCAGGGACATCTATTTGACTTTCGAAACAGTATCTAGCTTACTCTGTAAGGACATTCAAGGCTCTCTGGCCGCTGTAACGACCGTGTAGCTGTGGTTCCCAAGGTGCTCAATGAAGTCTTTGCCGCGCTGGTCCATCCACTTGTTGACCAGCGAAAATCTGGATGTTTTCCACCCATGCCATGTAATAATGCTTTCACAACGTTGCTATTGTCCAAGGACATGATATTGCTGCATTAGAAAATAGAATTTATCCAATGATGCTTTCCAATGGGTATCTCTTTCAACCAGCCCCTACAGCTCATAGGCTTGGCCAGCCTGCAGTATCCTGCACCTTGGAACTGGCCGAAACCAATTCCCTCTAGTGATATCCCTAGTTAACTAGCCTGTTTAATAACCAATTACTAACACCGGCTATGAGGGACGGTTCATACAGTAGCAAAGAGGAAAAGTGCAGCATGTGGCTGGTTAATATCAGCTATCGTTAAATGCTACCTTGCCGGGGATTTTGATTTTTTTGACTCCTTTGGCCTGTTCAAACTGTGCTAAATGCCCACTGCACGGCCTCTTCGGGTACCTTGACCTGGCAATTTATGGGTCAATGACTGTACCTCGACCGGTCGTGGTTTGGATATGGATTGATCCGCATTATGTTTAACCCAAGCCATAACTAGATCAACCTCACCCAGGGCCTGTGCGTAGTGGTCAAGCAAAACTGGCCAGAGCTGCACATGGGCCCACTCAGAGTATTAACACAGTTCAGCTATGCAACATTGTAACTTGAGTATATACCTGTGGGAATCATTTCGCTGCGTCTCCATCTCGCCAGTGCGCAGCCGACTATGCTCACTGTGCCTGGTGATGTTCTGCGACGGTGCATGCGACGTCTTAGCGCAGCTGGTAGGCTACCATGAGGCCTTCAACCCTTATCCAGAGGCGCTCCATGAACACCCCCATCAGAACCGAGTACTGCCGGAACAGAAGACTGCCCGGGATATCCTGGACAGATGTACGTGCGGACACTGTATATCATCCACTTTCCGGACAAGAGGTGAGAGGGCCCCCTTAATGTACAGTCCAAACTGGAAGATACAGCTGTCATGGCGTGGCGTGAGGGTCTGTCGGGGGTTCTCCTGGCAACCTAGAAGGCAGTGGGGTGTACTAAACGCTGTTGTATGTGATCCTGGCCTACTTTCATCTCCTTCTCTCACTTCTCGTATCTTTCTGGTATATCAAGTGGCGCTTTGATAGAGAGATATTGAAGATCAAATTATTGGTGAATTCCTCAGCGGAGGCGGACTTGATTTCCTTGATGCAGTGGCCTGTGTCTGTTATTGCTGTCTAATCCCGAGTCATAACAAGGATCCATATGTACAATGGTAAATCTCGACTTTATTTTCTCACTCTATTGCTGTCTATACTACTTGAGACGAAACACCGCTCGGTAATTACAGGGGGAACAGTTATACATCGGCCTACCTCTTCTGGCGGAGGGTAAAAGCCTCCCCCCTTGCACAGCAAACGCCCCATCACCCACCTTCCTCACCGCCCCAGAGACTTGGTACCGTTTCAAAAGCACCTGTAGGGGCCTGGGAAGTAGGACAGTACCATTGGTATCAACAGGGGCGTTCACCGTCATGGTAAGTAGGCCATCTCTGTCAAAGGACCAATCCACCTGAATGACGCCCCCCGGGACAGGATGTCTTCCGCGCGCCCACTGCAGACCCAGGGTGACCGGTTCGACCTTCCACCGCCTGAAGCCGGGAGTCGCTGCCCTGATACCACCGACATGACGACTCAGCTCAGCCGTGGGAGCAGAACCCCAAGCATGGCAGAGCGACGTCGGGGCGCCGAGACCGGGGCGTCCGCTGGTGTCCAGCGTCTCCCAGGTGCAGCCGGTGTAGTTTCCATGAGCAGGGTCACCTATGGAGCCCCAGAGGGTGTGGAGGAGGTATGTAGCTGTGGCGGCGTTGCGCGTGAGTAACGCGGCTTGGAGATGGTACCCTGAGGCGTAGGGGCTGACCTTCTGCGACCATCCGCTTGCAGCGCTGTTGTGTGAGAAGGCGAGAGCGCCGGCAGAGATGAACAGACTGCGAGCCATGCTGGACAGGAAGGTCCTTGTCGAGACTCCTCCGGTTGAGGGAACGGTGTCGCTGAGGATAGCGAGAGCATATGCTTCCTGCGAGAAGGAGTCTGTGTGGGAGTCGGCGAGGTAGAAGGCGTGCAGCCTGTCGATAAATTTCACGCCAGACCTAGTTCATTAATTCATCATTAGAATATCTGTCAGGTACACAACCTCAAACTGGGCTGCTTTTCCTTTCTCCTCTGCTCTTCTTTATACGTTATCCAACCCCCCAAGCCACAGTTACAAGCTGCCGCCACAAATAGACCCGTGGTCCAACTTGGGCGAGTGAATCTGTTCATATCCCACATACAGGCTGCTAAGCAGGCTTGGAACACCGTGTTCAAAGCATTGCACCACACCAGCAAGCTCATTTTCCACATCGGGGGCGTGTCTCCTGAGGCATCCACGGTTTCCTGTGCGATACCAGCACCTTTGCGATTAACCTCCTCGGACGCAAAATCAAACCACGCACGGTGCGTATGGCGTAGACGAGCAAAAGTAGCGGCGTCTTTACCAATCCGCCAGCGGATCCAAAGGTAGAGGCCCTCATGCGCCAGGGTGCCAAACCAAACCCGGGAATGCAGAACAATGCATTGAGAATCTGGGAATCGATTTCAATCCACTTTTGTCGCGGTGAGTCCGGGTCGTTGCAGGAGGGATCGCACATGGCGGGGGCGGCATTGCAGAGAAGGAGGAAAAGCATCCCTCCCCAGGCGCCGACATTGAGTCCATGTAGTGTAATTAGGATTCTGAGCGGGGTTCTGAGCCATTGCCAGAGATCCAAGGCCTTACGCATCTTGCTTCGAGATGGGGCGTTTCCTACTAAATCGGACGATGAGCCCTGCGGCTGGATGTCAACAAATGCTTCCTCTGCGGAGAATATTCGATCACTGTGCTACCTTACCGCCCGCGAAGATGGGAGGGACATACACCCGAGACCAACCCCCTTTGCCTTAAGAATTGTGGTTTCACGATTGCAGTCGCTAGGAGGGATGTTCTGGTGTGGGTTAGCTTCCCCATCCTCTGCGCAACTCAGCTCCCTCAGAGGTCTGGAAGTTACTTGAAGCACTTGGTCCATCATTGGTAAATAGATAGAAGACAAATCAACTGTCTGAAAGAGTTACTTTTGAAACATCAGTACAGCAAGCTGTTGTGAACGTCCCCGGTTCCGGGATGATTCCGGGGTTTTTACCATGAACTATTCGATTCTATCAGATGGGGGTGACTCCAGTCCTGATGGTCTTATCAAATCATCAATCCCTCGGGGTTGCCGCCGATTGGAAAGAACTCCAGTCCAGAATCTCGAATAAAGTCCTTGAGATTCTCATGGGTTGCGAGCCGAATCCGATGGCCATCTTTGCGTAGACGGGTACCTGAATGGCTGAACATCTGGTGAAGTCCGGCAAACCCGTTAGCAATAGTGCATTGTGGAAAAGGAACTGGCGCTAACAAACCTGTGCTTCCCACGATCTGCATAACAGTATTCAGTGGTTTAACTGCGCTGAGAGGGACTTCCGGCAATCGTGGGCTATCTGCTGATCGGTTGTCTGGTAAGAGGCTTTCCAAACCTGGCTGCTTCACCTTGACGGTCACATCGATCCTGCCGTCCTCTAGACCCAATCAGTCGCATACTAAGGGACAGATGCGAGATGAGGGACACGTACCTCGAGCTGAGGTGGAAGCTTCCAGGTACTGCCCAGACATGACTTCCTCGTAGGGAGGCGGCGATTCCCCGTACCGATTGGAAATGGAGGGATGCATGGCAAAAAAGGATTTCTGCCAGCCTCCAGTTATGCGAGATATTAAAAAGAATTAGACTTGCGGAGAGGAGAGTCCGATCGTTTTGCCTTATACTCGAGACTTGGTCAAAGGGACCTAAATTCCCCTGAGTGTCATGGTTCGTTCCGACTTCCAAGGTGGGGCCCTCTATACGATTAAGACGAACATACGAACAACCCAAAATCCGTTCTTTTGCCGTGGCGGTGCAGAACCTGGAATTGATTGAACTCAAGACATAAAGTCTTGGGATTCCACTGGGGCGTAAGCTGTCTGCTTGTTAAAGATTGTATTAACCTCAAAAGTATCTCTTTCACTCCTCTGTTCCGTATCCTTTGTCAGCAAAGAGTCCCCAATGCATTCCAGTGACAATTATATTCCAGACTCGTCGCTGAAACCTCACACCTCAGAGGGTCTAGTCTGGAAGGCTGCCTGCGACGCGCAAGGAGAAGGTTTCCCGAATCATTGTCAACTACCCCTGGCGGAAGGAAAGCGAAGGCTGCTCCTCATATACATCCATGGCTTTTTGGGGTCAGAGGACTGCTTCCAGAACTTTCCCAGGAACGTCCATGATCTGCTGACAGTCTCATTAACCAAGACGCATGTTGTATACACAAAATAATTTCCTCACTATAAGACCTGGGGCCCTTTAAAGTTCACATGTGATAACATCAGCTGGTGGTAAGCAGTTTTCTCAAGCACTAACAAACCCCACTCTTCAAAATATATCTTACTATATTCTTACAGGTTATCACCTCATAAGGCATCAGACTTGGATATCATACTCCTTGGCCACAGTCTAGGAGGTCTTGTCACTGCAGAGGTTACCCTCATGGCATCATCCAGCACCATTAGCTATATTATCAGCAGGAACCTAAATCATTAAGTTATAGGCTTAGTGAACTTTAATGCTCCATTCCTTGGACTACACCCTTGCATTCCTAGAATGGGAATTGGCAGACTATTTGGTCAGAAAGCAAATACCAACAACCAAGGCAAAGAAACCCCTCAAGGTAATAAACACGGCCTAAAATATTAATGATCTGAACTTCAACCCCAGCTGGACAAATGATGTTAACAAGCCTTGCTGGAAAGGCTGGAATGGAGCACCCCATTTTGTTGCGAAGTATTTCCATCATTTATCCTGTTCTGCTCTTCAATATGTGTTCTCATACTATGACCATGCTGGATATCTGAACGATTACCTTGGACTCCTCAAGAGATACAAGAGACTTTGCCGCCTCCAGGCGGCAGATGAATCATCTGGCTCGAGTAGCAGACGAGTCAGATTCGTTAATTATTACACGACTGCCTACTGAGCCGGCGAGAAGCTGGACGGACACGATGACACGAACAAAAGACCATGCCATGAGGAGCAGCTACTTTCATACAATGTTACAGAGCTGCATGAGCAACACAGAACCAGTCACATATCTACATCGAATCAGCAAACAAAAGGACCAACGTACAGCTCATCCTACTCGGTACTCGATCGTTTCGCAAAAGCGAATCGCAGAACCGCTAGGACAAACCCATGCAATTCAGTTCAGCTTGAAACCAAAAGGGACGAGTCTGATTCGCGACCATTGGGACGCAAGTTCTGTTATGTTCCAAAGGAGACTCGCGGAAAGCAGCTCTGGGTCCCGTTGTATATGGAAGGCATGGACGGAATTACCGCTCACCAATGCATGTTCCTTCCCCATGGTATGTATTATGACCAGCTAGTTAAGGGTACTATAGCACAAATTGAAAGTTGGCTAGCATAGGCACAGCCTTAATCAGCTGGTATTACTAACAGACCTATGCATAGCACTAGTCAAATATTAGACTACCTCCCAAATTTCTTTAACTATCCAGCTTAATCAAAGCAGGACTGCAGGAGAGATAGCACTCTATAGTCTAAGGATAGAGTTGCATAAGTGAACTGCTAAAATTGAACCCAAGCCACACTGAACATGTAGCAGTTTGAACTCAGTGCCTAGCCTAGGGTAGGACTACCAGCGCCAGTCAATAGCCCATCCCCCCCCCCCCCCCCCCCCCCCCCCCCCCCCCCCCTAGTCACTTCTGTCGGGAGGTCGGCTATGCTGGCACATACTTCTATCATTCACATGTTGGGTTCCAGGCAGTCACTCCTTCGGGCACCCTTATTGTGGAGTCAGCCCAGCCACCACGATATAAGTATGATGAAGACCACATTATCACTCTATCAACACTTCTTTTGCAAAGGCAGATGAAGAGACTGAGAAAGGTCTCACGTCAACTAATTTCAAGTGGAGTGGAGAGATCAATGCCGTCTTAATAAACAGGCAAGACCAACTAGTCGCTAATGCTACTGGGTCGTGTAAGCTGGCTGCTGTCAGTGTTAAGCCTGGGCTGACGTGCCGTTTGCGGTTCATTAGGACAACAGCTCTATCTTTCGTCGTTGGCCATTGAGAGCCACGACATGCTTGAAATTACTGAGGCGGACGGTCACTACGCAAAGCCTATGATGACAAGTTACTGGCAGATTTCTAGCGGCCAGCGGTAAATTGTTCTTTTGAAGGCCAAGACTGAAGCCGACTCGCAGAAAGTAAAGTCCCGACAGTTCTACTTCTCGATCACTAGTTCACTACCATAGGTCGCCCAAATGTCCTAACTGTATTCGCAGTCTTAAGAGTATCCATCTCCCACCACAACTGAATGAGCCACCGTCCCTGCCCTCTGTAGCTGATCTTACTTATAGCTGGCAGGACTATGCCCCTTAGAGCCTTACTACCCGAATCCTGACTTCCCAACTGTTGAAGAACTAAATCGGTGAATTATCATTAACGTTCACCAATATGTTAGTAATCATGTCATCTGGCTCCAGAGCGGGTATGGCTGGATGGAGACATTTCCTAAGTCGCCATACCTGGTTGGTGTCTATGAGGGTAAACTTGACGTTGATGCCTCGTACAGCTGTGCAGTTGCTAGTGGCTATGGGTTCGGTAATCAGACCCGCCTCTTCCCCACCAAGATGACCGAATCATTAAGATTGTCTGACAGAATCAAGGTGCTGTTAGTACTGGCCAAGTTGAGAACCACCCATTCCACGGACACGGCAGACAATTCTATGACATTGGTGCGGGGATGGGCTGTACAACCTGACGGAGAATGAGAGGCGCTTGTATGGCACGCCCATATCCAATACCCAGGGACACGACGGTTCTGTACGCGTACAGAAGCCAAATAACTCCTCTTGCGCCGTCAGGCTGGAGAGCGTGGCGTATACGGGTTACAAATGCCGGCGTTTGGATGATCATTGCCATATTCTCCAGCATATGGTGATGGGCATGCAGACAGTTTTTGCTTTTGGCAACCAGTCGGCTCAAGTCGCAATCAGCACCTGTTGACGGGAGTTATCTGACATATGGTGGCTCGGCATACGGGAACGTTAGTTATTTCCCTCTTGCACAGTACTTTTTTTGATTTGCTGAAAGGCTACCCAGACTGTGATTTAGCCTTCTCGGTGGGCAGTAAGTGAGTTAGCCTGCCTGCTCTATACGGAGAAATTCTAGGATATCCGTGAGCTGGTTGCAGCGGAGTCTTGTATCTAGAATACTTAGGGCCATTGAAGGGTGTGTGGCATGATCCAGTCAAGAAAGCATTGCAAACGGGCATTCTACTCAACTGGTTATAATACAATATAAAGACTCCACAACACACCTTAGTGATCAGTAGACTTCGCCTATGAGAGGGATTCTTGGGAGGTCTAGGCCAAGAGAACGAAAAAGTGAAAATAAATACATCAGCTGCGTATTAGTTCCCTGCCTGGAGTCACAGCTTTACACATAGCCCGTTTCCAATTGTAATTACATAGCCTAATAGTATATTTGTAGTCAACGCTTCCCCAATTATACCTCACATCATCATGTTGTATGACTGAAATAATTTTTTTTTCCAACACAGATTTCCCACTAGACGAACCTGCTCATGATGTTTCTTTTTCCAGGCTGTTTGAAATCCTCCACTTTTTCCAGCAAAAGCACCTCTCTATCATATTATGTAATACGGTGTCGTGATAGGCAGCTCTAACTATCAATCTGGGTTTTGTAGTCTATGATGCCACAATTACGTGGTGTATAAGACTGGACGTTCTAAAATAGAGTCTGGGATTAGACAACAGGCCAGCACTTGACTATGCAAGCAGCATGGGATAGGTAAAGTATCCCGGAAGCTCTCTGCCTTAGTCGCACTTGCAAAAAGACATCTAAGCCAACTAGACATTCAAACATAAATAATCTCTAGGACTCACCTAACTGGTGTGACATTTTATTAATAATTAATCGCGTTGATAGTCTCATTTAAAAAGCGCGTTAGTGACGATGGCAACCATAAATCTTCCTCCAGGTTTCAAGTTCAATCAGGTCCAGTTCTATAAGAAGCAAGTTCCGCCACGCACACAACAGGCGCCTTTAGGTGCGCTGGCAAAGCTTGCTGGAAGCTTTACTGGAACAGGCTTTAATACAATCTTCCGCCCGAACAGCGGACCACCACCACTAGGAACAACTTTCCCCAATCCTGTCTCTCCAACCCCTCCAGCGTTCCCCAGCGACAACGTCTTGGAGTTGAATCTGACAAAAGAGACAGTAACATTCTCGCAACCACTTTCTGCTGTGCCGAATCGCGGATTTGGGTCACAGAAGGACATTTTTCTCAATGGCGTGCCTTATGTACAGGCTGTCAATGATGTAACGAACATGGAGACCGGAAGGGGTGATGGCACTGCTACTGGTATTCACTTCAAGACTGGATTGTGGATGAACATCCCGGCCACAGACAATAGCCCAGTCCTTGGAGATTCGCTTGTATGCATGGCATCCATTCCGCATGGCACAACTATCAATGCTCAATGCCTAGCGCCTACAAACACTTTCCAAGGTCCACCACAGATATCACCAGTCAGCTTGAAGCCTTTCGGCGTGGGCAACATACAGTCAAAAATTGAGCTTAATAGCCTAAATATTCAAGACTCCAATACTCCTCGGCTCCCACAGGATCTCTCAAAATTTAATTCTGCTGGCACTATCACCCAAGATATCCTGGATGATCCGAATACCGTTTTGCGCAACAGCATAGAAGGACAGAATATTACCCAGACCATCGTCTTTACGGTGTCCACAGATCCTCTGCTTCCGGAGTTTGGTGGTGGGACGGCGAACATCGCATTCTTATTAGGCAATCCTGGGGCCACGGCGCCGAATGCAAATGTGCCCCAGATGCAAGCTACCTTCTGGATTGAGACTGTGGGATACTCTCTCACGGTTCCAGTCTTCAAACCTGGACAAGAACCTATGGAAATCTCAGCTCCGGAGTCACTATCGGGTCAGCCGCGGCCAGTGTTCCTCGTCAGCCCACCATATGAGATTACTTCGCCCAAAACGATCAATGTCACTTCAACACAGATCCAATATTCTCAGGTAGTATTCATGAACTTTGACGGTATAACCTGGCCGCATGTCTCAGTATCGACGCTGATTCCGTCAACGCCTGTGCCGGTCCCAGATTCAGTCTGGAGTTGATGGGCGATTGAAATTGCAATTATTGAGTGTCGCATAGTGTTGTGCTATCCAGAATCTATCTTTATTGGAATCCCGCATTTGTCTGTTTTTATGCCGCCTACCGATGCAGCTACCAAGTCAGGAAGGAATGCTTGCTAGCCATAGCCTTCTTTGCGCGAGGTCTAAACCATTAAATTATCCCAATGAAAAGGATGATCAACCCACTAGCAGATGCTTTCAAGACAAGCCTACTCGACATTTCTTCCTACTTGATGATGGCTGATCCCTGCTCCGTAATTTACCTATTGTCATATCCGTGCATTGTGTACTGTTGGGGACAGTACGCCGCAGTCGTTGGATCAGTCAGTTAAGTTTGTTCGGCGTCAATCTCCTAATTTCGATAGTAGCATGATTACCAGTCTAGTGAGTGCATGGATAAGAAAGTCTCATTCCATGGACAACTAAATGAGGTTAGAACTTGGAAATGAAATTAGGCCATTGAAAACGGACACAATAATAGGACAATACTAGGAAATATTAGATTAAGTCACCCGTGAAGTTCTCTCTGTTCTCCCGATGTTGAACCGCGGTTTCAAGCCAACCCAACCCAGGTCAGGCTGTATATTTACGACTGATTTATGGGAAAGTTGTCTGTGGGACATGGTTAATCATAACGGCTCCAGAACTGGACCAAATTCGGGATAACTAAGACAATTGACACCCTGGTCGCTAGCGTCTACTCAAACGTCCAGGCTCTAAAATATATCTGGTAGAAGCATCTTCCTAGGCCCATCGTTTCAGGCGGTAAGATAAATGGGTAAAAATCCGATTATCCAAAAGTATCGAACGATACACCTGGCAGAAACGTACAGCACACTTTCCTCATAAGGTGTCAAGGTGCAGGTATAATTGAAAACAAAACCCCAATGAACGAATATCCCACTATGTTTTACGTTATATAGCTTAGATTGGGTTATAGTAGTATATAGATAAAGTTTAATAAGGGATCCTAGTCCACATCGTTTCTAGTATGAGTCCATGGAATCATGGGTTCCAATAGAAAATGCTCATGTAGTAGGGTGCAGACTACACTAGATAGCAAGAGTATTCTGTAGTGGATGACCTCAGTAGCAAGGAGCATCACTTTATGGACTATTATGAAGGCTAGTAATACATCCAACATGGTCACCACGAATTTTGCAGTTTATTTCTCAAACGGCATACAACACTTCTCATCTTGATCATGCCTTACAAAAGGCCTATTCCAGACTGTCACTCTGAGTTAAGTGGCCCTGGTATTCCTCTCCTGAGGAGCCCATACATCCGGACGGTTTGCCGTATTGCTGTCTCTCACGGAGGTATACTCATTCCAGAAGGCTATAATCTGCTTGTAGGTCACTTCCCTAACTCCTGCTTTCAGTCCACTCTCACAGAATTCAATATCATCTCGAACTTTCTGGAGACTATGAGCATAGTTGATTAATCGCGTAGGCTGCCCTTGACCCTTGATCAAGGATAGCACACCAGTGATGAGTGCAGTAATGGCGCCTAGGACAGCGACGACAATATGATGGTCTCCACTAATTGCAGAAATAATGACCAGAGTTGAGGAAATTACTAGCTGAAGAGCCAGGCATGTATACACAAGTATTTCAAATGTGTATAGCCGTCGCAATGTTGACTTCTCCTCCCTGAGGATCTTTGGGTATATGGCCATGGCATCTTGCGGTTCGCGATAGTCTGATTTCATCCACTGCGGGACCCAGCGGTACCATATCCTTCGGGTTGGGCTGCTTCTGGCTGTTCTGCCATCGGTTCCTAGCAAGACCTGGAAGTCGTCCAGTCTAATAGATGCGTCGTCACCCGGTACCGCCTGTGGCTCTGATAACACGACTGAATTAGGAGTGCGGTCTCTGTTGGCAGGCGGAGCAGCGTCGGCAGAGCTCATATTGAAAATGAGAGAGTAATCTTAACAGCTTTCTTCGGACGTTCTGGGCGAAAGTCTGCGTTCTATATACAGCAATAACGGATTCCCCAATATATAGACAAAGAAACTGGTTGAATAGATGTAGGATTAAGCCTTTCTATAAAATCAGAAGACCTATTCTAAGCTCGCCACAAGGCATACGCGCAACTGCTTTAACAAAGTATATCCTCGTTAAGGCCCTGTTACGCAGCAATGGTTCGCTCGTCTTCATTGACAGTGATTATTCTCTCTTATTCCATCTTAGTCGCTTAGAGAGACCAAGAGGTAATTCGGCATTTTACCACTAGGCAATAGATGTGCAACGGTAGAATCCTGTCGTAATCATGTACATAGGAGTGGTGTGATTCTCTTTCCTTTCCTCTTTATTGGCTGTCTATTCAGCTTAGATGGATAACGGTGAGCATTCCTGTGCACACAGAGTTTGACACAGCTATCTGCTTGCAGTAATTGCTATGTCATATACTATAAGTTTATGGTCCATCTTCTCTTTCTCCCTCTGCTGGATTGGGGGATGCAACTATAGTGGAAAGTCCACTGGTGGCGCCTAATGCTGATAGAGTTTGACGTTGGACCTAGACTATATGTTTCGATGGGACCTTTACTGTAGGATTACTATTACTTATTTGGAGCTGTGGTTACTTAATCAAGAATAGGCCTCACCACAAAGTCTATCATTCTATTAAGGTTTAATCTAAGCTTATTGTTAGTCTAGAGCGCGGAAACTTGTGTCATCTGAACATAATGGGGGACAACCATGGTAAGCATAGCTGATAGTAGTATCCTAGCCTTTAACCAAACCATTGCTGCCCCCACCTACTAAAAGTGCCTCTAACAACAATAACTGAACATGGAAATAATATCATTAACTCTTTTCCCTTCTCATCTTTAAAAGTATCATAGTCGCAAACGGAAGTGAAAGCATTGGTCTTGAGGTCATCATGACTCCAAAGCGCTATCACCACTTATTCATCTATTCTCTAATGTATTCGGGCTGGGTCACGTATTTGTCCTCGAAAGGCATAAATAGAGGTTACTTTCCCGGCGTCGGTGCTTTTAATCTTTCCTGCCGCATCAATTGAACTCTCAATTAAATATTACTATCCGACTGTTTGTCAGACATCAGAGTGCCATTGCCAGTATGAGGTGTTCTTTTCTATTCCTTGCAGCTGCCCTCGTGGCACCTACCCTAGCCATCTCTGAACCTGCCTGGATGAAATATCTAGCAGGACTGGATGAGCCAGCTGACGCAGCTGAACAAGTCGATCTCAACTATTTAGCTCATCTGGCTGACATAGCCGATTCCGTCGGTGTGGCCAATCCAGTCACCCCGGATGAACTGGCTTACCTAGCTGAGATTGCGTATCTAACTGACGGTAAAGTTAAGATCCGCAACAATTGTCCACATAAGGTATATTATTGGGTAGCTGTTCCAGGAAACCAGTATGGGCCATTCGCTATTGAACATGGCAAAGAATCCCCTCCCGAGACAATCACGGATGGAAAAGCCATTAAATTCACCGACACCAGAAATCCACCAAACAGTTGCAAACAGGTCGCCCTTGGGGTTCCCCCCGGTGATAAGTACAACTGGGAAGTGGATAAAATCAGCGATGGCCATGAGTTCCGTCATGACGTCTGTGCTCGCTGTGGCAGCCAGGACTGTGGAGAGGGGAGTTCGTGTGACAAATCTCGAACTCTTCGAGTTAAATTATGCTAAAGGCCGCTTATTTCTCACTTTACTATGTATGTCCACCTCAAGGCTATTCCTTACTTTATTCTTGTGCTCACTAAGTTTAGAACTAGTAGAGGAACCTCTCGTTGGGTTCGGTGTCTGTTGAAACACAAGGTTGAGGGGAAATCGAAGCGTCTCTACGCAGGATCTTGTTATATGTTTGGGGCTGACTTGACCTTCTGATTTTGTGCCGAGAATCATTCCTGCAACACAATGTTTATATTAATATCACTATCTTATGCTCTTTCTGAACTCTGCCACTATGGCAGTAGCGTAAGTATTGATCAAACTTTTGTATACTCCTGTTGGATGATCAACCAATAAAAAGAAAGGATAATTTAAAGCTTTAATTCCACATCTAAGATTTGTCATTTTCCAATGCATGACGTATCAGCCCAAAAATAAAAATTCATTACATATAGTTCTCAAATGCTGACAATGGTAATATAACTAACTACTCAACAGAACTACAGTCTTTACCAATATCGCCTTCACCAGCAAGTATATGATGCCAGATCTTGGACCCACTGGGAAGTCTCCGCCATGGATATTGATAGTAATAACGATGGGGCAACTGTATTCTTTGTCATGTACAAATCAGTACGTTGTTTCACTGTGCAAGGCAGTAGTAGCAGCTGTAGTAGTATTCATACGCTGACTCTCGTCCTTCAGTTGTTTATAAATCACTCACTCTACATTATACTGGATATGGATTCGTACTTTGGCCATCGTTATGTCGATTTCCCCAACACTTGACTGCAGAGGTAAATCACTCTTGGATTTGTTGTATATAGGTCTGCCTACTAAAGGCAAAAAATTATTGATCCCTACCAGGACGGCCAATTTACTGACCAAATCCAGGGCAATTCGGTAATATTATCCTATTGTCATTACTCAAAGGATATAAGATAGGTTATATGCAACCCCGCATAGACAAACGCATGGTGATATGTTGAATCCACCAGCCTTTACAACACAGCTTGTTGAACAGCTCTCCACACTATTACCTGGTAGTCTGCTTTCTTTTCACAGCAGGAATTCATGTGGAGACTTCCTCATATCGCTAGCAGGATTAATCAGCAGAGACTTGAGATCGTTGGCTCTGAGACATACCTAGGCTGATACAAGGTGACAGGGAGCTCAGTGCCAGCTTTGCAGGTCACTGGATGTGTTGCAGGTTGTCCAGCACACCAATGCAGAGAATTACATCCATCTGGTGAAACACGAACACATCCAGAAAAGCCATTGCCAATTGGCTGAATGACATAGTTAAACGTGCCTTGATCACCAGAGACATAGCTCACTTCTACCTGTTGGTTAAATTTCACATCCGCAACCAGTGCGCCTGGAACTGAGTGGTGCTGCCCAGGCGGAATATTAAATTGATCTCCCTGTGGTTCTACATCCACATCGACGTCAAAGGGGGCCTTGTTTTGGATATAGACAGTACCAGCATTGGCAAGATGGATTGGACCAGAGAGGTAATGCCGCCAGTAGTAGGCTGGATTTCCCAAGGCAGGGGCGATAAGAGCCGCCATTGAGAGCACTGAATACTTCATGTCGTCGATTCTTTTGAGGCGAATATTAAGGATCAATGCAGATCGATGTTAAAGGGGTGAGGATGGTACTGGAGATTTAGCTATTAGACTATCTTTGGGAAACCTCCTTACTTTATGGCTTTGCTTCTATGCGCAGAGATTCTAACGAGAGTTGATAATGACCTCAGTGAAACATGTCATGATGTAAGGGCTCAAATTTTTTGTCTATCAGTAACTTCCATATCCGGAATAGATGTCAGTACTTCTATAGGATTTCGGACCATAGAGTGACTTGAGATGGTTGATTTTGTTGATGAAAACGCAACTCCATTGCAGAGGATTGAGTAGAAAATATTGTGGTTCCACCAGAAACCAAAAGTGATAGTGAAATAGTTTCATCTCAGAGGTTAAGCTTGCTCAGTTCAATGGTTAACTACACCTAGTCCAATATAAACTTTCAATACATTCTTGCGGAACACTCGGAAGAAGAGGCGACATACTGCAAACAGTTGTTGGGTGTCTGATCTAGGCATCATAGAAACTGACAACGGAGCCTTGTATTGTGGGGTGATCATCCGTCATACAGCGATAGGGGAAAACCATGGTATGTGTCCACAACCACCCAAGCTTGTAGTATATACTAATATTTTTTGCTCTACAGCAGGCTCTTAGTAATTTTATAACTTCTTCCCTTTTATTTTTATGTGTTTTCATTAATTTTATAGTATAATTAAAAAGTCTTGACCTCATAAGTAGGGTCTCAGGGATGGTTGATAATTCTTATATAATAACTATCAGCCTATGCAAGGTCAGCCGGAATGGTCTGAGGTTAACTGGCAAGAATTGTAGCCTGATATGATAATAAAGAACTAAGGGTTGCTTTCAATGATACAAGGCATGTTGGAGAGTTAGAGCCAAATAAACTATAGCAATAATGAAGCTTGGCATGATTTATCTAATTGGTGAGATAAGAGTACTGGATCTCCATAGGGTGGTGCGCCTCTCAGGAGAGCACTATTAAGGGTTTGAGAACTTCCTTCTTACCAGAGGATGGGGCCCATATCTAAGGTATGCTTGCGGAGCTACTTTGGAGCTGGAGCATCACCACAGTTTTTCTAAAGCTGATGTCTGGAGTGGGTACAATGCTCTGAAGGAAACTATTTAATTTACAATACTGCCACACAGGAAGAGTGTCTTATCCTACTCTCCAACTAACTACTACTTTGCCCTGGCAACGCATCATATCATCTTCGATCAAGCCAGCACCGACAGTTTCATGTCTGACCTTGCTCGCATCTACAGAAACTAATATGAAAATATAGCCAGTCCCCTGCACTACCTCGGCTACTCCAATCAGTTGCATGAAGAGAACACTTCAGGTAAATGGATAAGCGCAATGATATTTAGGCGCTGTGAGTTTGCCATCATCCTAGAGCTCCTTCCCCTCCATTGAAGCAGCATCCCGGAGCGCCGTTCTCTCAAGAGATATAGCTCTCGCACTGGGCTTCCAGAATGCGAGTTTCGTATTGACAGCAAGCTCACAAGCATAATCCGGCAAGTCAACCACAAGTATAGGCCCATGTCACTCCGCTTTCACCTGACAGCCTTCGAGGATTTCCTCTTCCGCTGGCTGAGTATAGAGGAAGTTTGCATTACCTTTGTCAACAGCTATCATGGAGACGAAAGCATGTGGACTGGAATGAGCCCATACTTAAGCATCCTGCCTCCTCACATAAAGGTACTACCATCACAGTCCTTTGCAGATGCCATAGTCAACTCACAGGAAAAAGCCACTGGGCTCTCTCCAACGTGATCTCCCTTGAGGTCATCACCACTAGCTCAGGCATTTATAAATTCGCGGAGACGAGCATTGAGAGCAGACACGAGGTCTTGGACTGCGACTGTGAGATGATGGCCAAGGATCAGGCAGAGCTTCCCTGCAAATATTCCTTTTACAATCATTACCAACACAGCAGCAGATGGTGCGGCGGACACAACGATCGCCCTTAATATTCAAAATTCTTTCTATAATGCCGACGCAGCCCGGATTCTTACAAACGGCTACAAAGACATCCTGCAGTTTGCTGATCGGCCAGCCAATCCAGCGAATAGCAAATGGCAGTTCAGGCAATCCTCTTTGTCAAGGGCTATCGCGGTTGGTCATGGTGAGTAAATAACAATTAGGTACCTCTGTATTGCCAAAGCCGACTTGATACAAGGTCCTGGCTTCAAAAGCACCTGGACGAGCACTGTCGTACACAGATTAGATGCGCTGCTCCCATCCATAGGTGACCGGTTCACCGTAACCGACGGCGTCAACAAGGTCGTCACTTACAAGGAGCTTTCGAGGCAACCTGACCGCCTCGCATCGTCACTGCTGGCTCAAAAGTCGCCGTTTACTAAAATCCAACCATTTTCTGGGTTGCCTCTGTGGTGGCGATCCTCAAGATTGGCGCAGTCTACGTCCCGCTTGACGCTGTGACTCCGCCCGTCCGTTTGGCTCTCATGGTCCAAGGGTGCAGGCCTGCAGCGGTCTTGATTAGTGAGTCTACCAGAGAGATAGTGAGAGATGTGGCACCTCGAGTAGCCGTGATTGACGTATCCAACGTTGACACGCCTGCCAAATTTCTTCCCACGACACTGGCTGATGTACCGGTGATGGCCCTTTACACCAATGGCTCCACGCGGACAAGTCCTCACTCACGAGAGCTTGTGACATGAGTTTGAGCACTGCGATACCGTGTATGGACTTAAGCAGGAGGATGCTGTGCTGCAACAGATTGTCTGAAGCTTTGAGCTCTCCATGACACAGTTATTCCTGGCCCTCACCTTGGCGCGCCCCTGCATGTGGCTTCCCATACTTTGAGAGCTGATGGGCGAGCCATAGCCGAGCTTATGCGTGATGAGGCCGTGACTACCACGTGTGCCACTCCGACAGGGTACAAGGCCTGGCTTCATGATGCGTAGTGGATATCATCCAATAATTGCCTTCGTGACTAGCCTTGATGGCAGGAGAGGCCGTCGCAGTATCGTTACGTAGAAGATTTAGGAACTTGGACAGGGCAGACAGTCTTTGTCTCTTGAATTTGTATGGACTGACAGAGACGACATGCGGGTCCGCCAGGATGCGGCTTGATTATGCTGATCCTGACAAATACGCCGGTGCTGTGCCCGTGGGCCGGGCATCTACGAGCGAGTGCTTCTATATTCTCGATAACAAGCAGTGCCTGCAGCCCTCTCGGTTTATCCAGTGAAGCTGCCATTGGCGGCGTCGGAGGCGCAAAAGGCTATCTGAACAACGCGGAACAGACGAAGGCGTCTTTGTGCCCGATCCATTTGCATCCTCCGAGTAGACCGGGGGTGGATCGATTACTACGTGGCGTATAGGTGACGCTGGCTACTTGAAAGAGGACGGGACGCTGGTCCTCAAAGGCCGCCTCAGCGGTGACACCGAGGTCAAGCTGAAGGGAATTCGAATCGATCTAACAGACGTGGAACAGACTGTACTAAAAGTGTCTCAAGGCCAGCTCGCCGATATGGCGGCGTGCGTGTGCACCAATCTGTCGGCATCTGGGGACGATGAACAAGCAGCACTCAGATACATAGTCGCCTACTGTATCTTCTCTTCTGAACGAGTGCTAGGCGAAAGCTACGACGCAGAGTTGACCATTCAAAGGATCCTAGAGACCCTGCCTCTGCCGTGTTCAATGCGACCATCCATCCTTTTTCCCGTTGATGACCTTCCAAGAACAACAGCGGGAAAGCTGGATAGGCGCGCTCCTGAAGATTTGCAAATCCCCACAGACCATTGGATAGCGTTAATGTGGCGACCATGACTACAGTGATATCTACGCTCTCAGACGCCGAGGGCAGGCTGCTCGGGCTGTGGCAATGCATTCTCTTTGAGGAGGGGCTTCGGCATGTCGACATCTGCGCCAGGTCTGACTTCTTCAGCGATGGTGGCACCTCCATGCTGTTGGTGCAGCTGCAACAAAGAGTAATCGAACGATATCAGGTTTTTGTTACCCTCCTGGATCTGTTTAGAACGAGGACTCTTGGTGGCATGGCCGCGTCCTCCAGAGCGCCTTGGGACCTGAGAACGATGTACCGGACGCGCCAGATGGAGATCCGTTTAACTCTATTGACTGGGCCAGGTAGACAGTGTTTGAACTGGAAGTGCCAGTGGTAGACGCAAGAGCTCCGTCCCCCAGACAGCCCCTTCGGGTGGTTATTTTGACTGGTGCAACTGGGTTTCTTGATCAGCATCTGCTTCACCGGTTCTCGAGCAGTGGGGTGTCGACAAGGTCACATGCATCGCAAACAGGAATTTGACTGATGAAAGGAGGAGAGAGCTTCTCCTGTCTCCACCAGTCGAGTGCTTGGAAGGCGATCCGTCAGCTTCCAATCTTGGTTACCTCTGATTGACATCGATCGCACGCGAGGTTCTCTGGGATGGGTCTTGTTGGGACTTGGCGGTTATCACACCCAATGCTACGGAAGAATCTTTCAGCCTCTTCGGCCCACATTCGCCTAGTCTTTGTAGGGGAAATGCTCGGGACTGAGGACTCATATCGGTTGGACCGTACATACTGGGACTTCTAAGCCCCTAAGCTCATTGCGCCCCAATTATTATTTGATGTTCTCATCATTCAGTTTAGAGGCTTCTTAAGATCCAGGATTTAAGCAGCTTGGCGGCAGTAGAAAAAGATGTTTGAACTTTGCCTGACTGCATAGGCAACTGCTCTGCACATATGCTGTATGCTACAGCTCCCTTGGCCAGGATGAAAATTCCATGGTCAAGCTTAGAATTCTAGCGAGTTTCTATTGAAGCGTCCCGGTGTAAAGTTTGGTAAGAATGACCCCCAAGAATGGCTCAGACTGTCAGACATGAGTTCATTGTAGTATAGGAAGTACAGACAAGATGATATACTTAGGATGAAATGAATCATTAAGATGCAGAAACTACTTGGATACACCCCAATCCTTGCCTGAGTCAAGCACGACCACCCCCATAGCCACGTCCATGCGGTCCTCCAACGTCACATAGCCCGTCCTTCTCGCAAGGACGGCATTTCGCACAGCGTCTTTCCAGCTAGTCCACCAGCTTTGCTCATCCTGGACGGCACAACATCGACCAGCCTCATTGGCGGGAACATTCGCAAATGGCCAGATCACCTCGGCACACTCGTAGCGCATGGTGCGATCTTTCTTTGGAGGTGGCTCCATACTCCAATAGAAGAGGTCTTTGAATGAAGCCTTCGGCTCAGCTCCGTGTCGGACAGCGACCTCTGCAAAGGTTGTGGGGAAGCTGACCTCCACCACGCCTTGGTAGCGAGTCGACGCCACAGTGGTACGGATCAGGCCGTCGACTCTGTCTTGGTCGAAATTGACCACCCGACGTTTAAGGGTGAAGCTGACGGGGTTTCAGGCACGATGTCTTTCTTGGGAAGAAAATTGACTCACCATTTGAGGGGAGCGGGGTCCTCGCAATACAGCCTGGTCAACGTCTCAAGATCTGCAGAGGTCATATCGTAAGCTGGCTCGGGTGACACAGGCTGGTTGTGTATCGTGATGCGGCTCGGATCCAACTTGAGGTAGGACCAGCGCTCATCCTCCGACACCAGCAGCGGCAGTAAGTTTAGCGTGAGATCAAAGTCATCTTTCGTCTCTCCATATTCAAGATGTGTGCCACGAATGCGGACGAGCAGCTTGGGAGGCAGCTGAAGCTGCTCCTGCATAAGCTGCAGAAGGGCACCAGGATCGCGACTGAAGCTCTCGTAACTGGTCACAGTGGTGACGTGGTCATCTGTTAGCCTACCGCCTGGGATCTGGTATTGCGAGAAGTCGAGGGACGTAAACAACGGTGGTCGGTGAAGGTCTTGGCTCAGCGTCAGCGTGAGCGAACGAGGAGAGGTAGACACTGGTGTACTGATGGCAGTCGAGGAGTACGCCGGCGGCAGTGGGCTGGAATCGCTCGACTGCTTGGAGTCTGCCATATCGACGAGAGTGTAGTTTGATTCTTAAAAACGAGATGCGAGAAGACGGATATAGAAAAGTTCGTTGGTGGAGGTGGTGGAGGTGACGGCGGGGATGGAGTCCTAATATGACATGAATGCAGTGGCTTGGCTGCTTACACTATTACCCCCAATTAAGAGGTATTACAAATACCGGTAACAGTTGAGTTTCAATCTTATGTACATAGTATAGACTATACAGCTGCCAGTAGCACTATACTACTAACCTACTGATTTTGTACAGCAGATATTGCGTGATTGGATTTACTCTATATAGGCTTCAAATATGAGGCAGTCCTTAAGCGCGTGCAGAAATCAACAAATTCCGGCCCTCGCGCACATAAGCATGTCATGGATGTTCAGCAGCAGAGTATCTGTTGTTGAGAATTAGAGAATGTCAGACCCCTGAAATGTAGTAGCTGGAATGCCCAAAGGTACTGCTATGGAGTGCCCTCTCATAACTGTTGAATAGACCTTGCTACGTACTACCCTACCACTCCTGAATCTCACTATTGCTGTATGTCTGCATCTTCCGTTCACTCAGTATCTTGAATGGCTTAGTTCGGTATTTGTAATACGGAATCTTGACTAGGTAGTCTCGATTCCTGCAACCTTGTGCCCACTACTCGATGAGGCTGACAGAATCGTGGGACGGAGACGAACGGAGCTCTCAAAGAAAATGGTGATGCTGCTGGCATGAGATAGACATGGAGACATCATGACGAGCGTAACGGTGTGTTTGAATTACTGCGACAGGGGTAGATTCGAGGCAGAGACATACTAGATGCAGCCGACTAGCAGAGAATAGCCAGATTGGAATACTTCTGCCTAATCTTGACCTCGATGTATATTCGTAGGTTTTTTTATGAAGGGTTTTACAGATCTTAGTGAATCATCTAATATCGGTTGGTATGGTATAATCTTGTATCATAGTCAGCATAAATATTTGTGACTTCAGCTTGGAGAAGATGGTGACTGTCGCTTATTTGGACTGAATCCAGGAGATAAGTACAACTAGGTGGAATGAATCATGAATAAAGTTTATTTAAAAGTGCAGATACGACTCTCAAATTATGTTGCTAATTCTCAACCAAGCTTTTTTACTGGATATAAGAAAAGTCTCCTTAGCATCTACATATACTGAAGCCACGCCCATTTGTATTCACTTTCTTCGGGTTGCCATTGTAGGATGCAATTAAGCCAAAGAAGGTTCTTGTAGCTACAGGAGAACATTATAATGATAAAGCACTAAATAAAGCCTGCCTGTCTTTGGGCAGTGACGCGATATAACAGCTACCTAACAGCAATACTATACGCAGCAACCGCCAGGAATCCAATGCTGCCCGGACCAAGGAAAATCAGCATCGTAAGTATTTTGTATATGCGACAACCTTCAAACTCATGTATTCTAGGAGGACCATTCCTAAATAAATGTCCGGAGTCTGCGGAGACTATATTTGATGCATTACACAGTAGCCTAGTCTCACCTGAAGAGAGAATAGTAGAGCAACTGCAAGCGGCAGGCATGATGTGCTTGCTGCGGGTATAGAAACTACCCCAAGGGTATCAGCTCTATACACATTTCACTTATATAAAATCAGGCCGATATTGCGCAAGCTACAAGACATGCCAACACCTACTAGCAAGGTCTCCTGTACGCAGCTGGAGAAGCTAACCATACCTGGTAGGCACGTCTGTTTTCAGCTGCCTGGAAACCTATATCATTGTACGCTCAATTCGTCCATAAACTTCGGTCACCCATTACCTTGCCAGATCATGACTATTGGCGGCCGGGTGATGGCTATATAGCTGCATCAACCATGGGAATGGAACCAACATAACCTGTAGCTCTAGAACAAATCAATGTAAAAGGCAGTTAATTTGCCATAGCACAGACCCACCCCAGCTTCTAACTGTATCTCAGAATATCGTGAAACTTCTCCACACTCCAGATGGTGTCATTTATATTGTAGCTACCAAAACAATGAATAATAACTGATTTATAAGATTACTTGTCATTCCATAATATCTTATTTGGGAAAAGGGTCATGTGGAATGGGTTATAGCAGCTTTTAGTGAGGACCAAAGGTCTAATCAGCACATGTGTCCGAGATCTCCATCCCCGTTGAATACTCATGCGATGACTGTACAATACTAAGTGAATCCAACCACCTCAGCACTCTCACAGCCAGCGGCCACTCCTCCTCCTGCATCACAAGACATCAAAGCGCAGTTCCAAAAGCCCAAGTGAACTATCCGATGCTGGCTGTCATGACAATCAAGGTAGCCTTGACAGCACATCGCCAAGATATATGGAATTGCTAAATCGAGGCACAGGGTAAACCTCCCGCCAGTAATGAGATTGTAGTATCTTCTGAATATCTGGATACTCTTGGAGCATTGTTGTGACTTGCGGGTTGTCAAGATAATCCTTCTTGAGAATCCTAACATCAATGTATTCAACAAGAAGTTGAGTTGCTTGTTTGTTGGCTGATTGAATAGCGTAGAATAGTGCATTGTGACCCTCCTTATCCTCATGAAGGGGATCTGCACCTTTCGTAAGGAGCAATCTGACCTCAAATCCGTTGCCCACCATCGCTGCCCAACATAATGCCGTTCGACCCTCATCATCTTGAAAATGTACATCGAAACCGTATTCTTCCAGGAGTAAGCATATTATTTCTCTGGAGCCACTGGATTCCAGTGCACTTGACAATAGACGGTGGCGATTGTGTGCATCGTCCTCGGTCCGAGAACAAAAGCCTTGTTCCAAGAAGGCCCTGACAACTCCGGCCCTGACATTTTTTGCAGCTGCAAACAGCACTTCATGATTGGAAATGTTGTCAATGTCTCGACATTTTGCACTGTACTCGAATAACAACTTGACGATCGCCCCGGCTTCGTTTCTAGAAGATATTGCAACAAATTGTAAAGGCGTCCAGGTTTCATCTTCTCCATATTGCCTCCAGTTGATTTCGGAGCCAGGATCTGCACCCGTATCAAGCAGCATTTTGACTAATGATACATTACCACCTATTACTGCCAAAGCTAGAGGCGTCCGTCCGTCGTATATCTGATGATTTGGATCTGCTCCTCTCTCCAGCAGTAGCTGAACAACACTATCTGCATATTCGTCGGCAGCTTTAGACAGCGCTGTGTGCCCACTTGAAGTGTGAGTCCTATTGACGTTAACTCCTGTATCAAGCAGCAGCGCAACTATTTCTCTGTGATCATTGCCTGCTGCCGATATATGCGGGGGTAAGTCGTCATCGTCTTCGGGGCAAAGGTCGACAGCTCCATAGTCTAGTAAGATGTGAGCATTCCCATAATAGCCCTTCTCTGCTGCCGATGATAGGGCAATGCGTCCTCCAACAAACCATTCACTCCGCGTACCACCTCTAGAATCAGGGTCAACACCCTTTTCAGGCAGCTGCTTGACCACCGACTCGTGGCCAAATGCTGCTGCTGTCGTGAGTACGGTGTATGCTTCCGGACTACCTGCTGCGATCTCATTTTCTATATCAATATGCTGCAAGAAGCAGCACAACACATGCTGGTCGATCCTGTGCTGCAGCCGCAGATAATGGGCTTTGACTGTCGTTGTTTCTGGGATTTGGATCCACTCCCTTCCCGAGCAAGTACTCGACCATTCTCTGATGGCCTCCTTTGGCCGCGCAAAAGAGCGATGTTTCTCCTCGCCGAGCTCGAGACTCAGGATCAGCTCCATGGTCAATCAACGCTTGAGCCGCTTCCACATCTCCATAGCGTGCTGCACGTGCTAACGCTGTTACTCCATCACTATCTCGAGCATCTACTTCACACCCCAGCGCAATCAGGCGCCTGACAATGTCTGGATTTCCCCCTTCTACTGCCAACATTAGAATGGACTCTTTTTTGTTTGGTTCTTTCCACGTTGGGTCTGCCCCCGTTGCGAGCAACAATTCGAACACGTCTGTATGTCCTCCGGCCGCTGCCCATCCCATTGCTGTTAGGCGGGTTTGGTCGTAGCCGGTTTCATTCTCATTATCCGCTAGGTCGTGTATTTGATCCGGAGGTATACCGTGATCGAGCAACACTTTGACTACCCCTATGTGTCCCTCCATGGCTGCCGTGAGGAGCGGCTGGGAGAGGGCATAGTTGTCGACCCTTATATTTAGATTCGCCCCTTCCTGAATCAGTTTTTGCAGTGTTTTCGGCCGGCCACGTTCTGCAGCCCAGGATACAGCTGAGCTTCCCCTCTGCTGCACATTTAAGCGGTAGAGATATGGGTTTAGTAGAGTGTATAGTGATCGATTAGTCTGTGCGAGTGTATTGAGGTCGCATTCAAACTGAAGATTTTCTGCTATAAGTTCGATCAGTTCATTAGGTAGGCTGAGAAGATGCATGAGGGAAGCAGGAGCAGGACTAGTGAACTCTTTTGTTTATAATGTTTCTGGTAAATTTGGTCAAGTGGACTAAAGATGAGAGCAATCAAAGGAAAAGATGGTTAAATGAAGGAAGGAGTTAACTGTTTAAGTACCCACATCCAATATTCAGCGTGGCGTTTCTTTTAAGGCCTTGCCAAAGTGTGTGCCCGAACTTTGTTGTTCTCAGCCAACAACCTATTTTTCTGTAATTTCAGCTGCCAAGTAATTACCACAAACCCTTAATGCATTAATTAGTCCATGACATAGGCATCTTGCTAAATCTGGCAAAGCTTGGTGACTTAGATAGTGCCAGCGGCATACATACTTCCGCCCTTCGTTCCATCCAGAAGTGACTTGTCCTCACCAGCAGTGGCTCGCTCATCCGTCATGCTTATCTCCTCATTAAACGGACATTCTCCTATAAATGAAATAACCTATTAACCGGATTTTTCATTATCCTCCTGGGCAAAGAGCTACCAGGACTTGTTACTCAAGTTGGGTCTGGTACATGTGCTCTCTTCTATGCTATGCTATTCTGACAATCCAAATACACGCTATCGCACCACATATGCTAGCGTGTTCACTAGACTGAAGCCAACGAGCTTCAGATTCTGTTTTAGGATTCCCTGGTTGAGTTTAGTAGGTTCTCGCCAGATTCGGCACTTTGACTGAACGGGACCCACGATTTTGGTTCCTTCTCCAACTTCCCGAGAATAACCTCACAGCAGGTCCAGATCCGTTGGCGATTTTTGATATTTAACCAGCTATCCTGGTCTCCGTCCTTTCCGTCTTCTGGTCTTGCTGCAGCTTCCTTGATGAGGCGAATGAGGTCCTTGTAGCTAACCTGTCCGCCTGCTTGAGCAATGTTCTGCCGAAGTGAGTCTTGGTCAATCGATGGACAATCGTAGGCCAGACGTAATCTCCAAAATTGATCAGGCAGGTCTCGGGCAGCTCCACGAAATGCGGTGCTGGCAATGACCAGATCGATGATGGATGGCGAAGGAAGCATTTGCAGAATCCTATAGCGGACGTCCCATGGCAGACTTGAAAGTGGATCTACAGCTGATAATTTTAGTGCATCCCCGTTTACAATTGCATTTGTTGAGCCTGGATCTGCAATTTTTGAGGCAGAGACGAGCTCAGAGATGTCGACTGGCTTCAACGGGTCCACAACTAACCACTGAAATGCGTCAGCTACTACTTTGATGCAAGGGAGTTTGCGTTTAAACAGCATAATGCTGGTCAACTTACCTCATACCCTGGCTCTGCTTCCCACTCTTGCCATTGAAAGTCTTCCGTTCCACCATAGACTCTACTGTCCTCCCAGTCGATGGATCTCTCCGTGTCATGCCCTAGTCGAGCCTGCATAGCGAGATACACCCGGCGCGGCTCTAATGGTCGCGAACTTGAACCGAGAGTTTGATGTACAAGTTGAAGCATCTGCCAGCAGGTATCATGCAAAAAGAAGCCATCTATATTCGCCCATAGCCTTCCATCGCTACTCCCTGTGTTCTCGCCAGGAACCTCTAGTCCATACCACGGATCATAGCTGCCCTTGGGTTCATCAGTTACAGGCACTGACATGACCATGGACACCTCTACAGCTGAAGTTTTAATGACTTACATTTTCAGTGATATAATACGCATCGTCACCGTCCTGCATTTCATTATGCATTGCACCTGGGGAATCCCTAGGACGCAGCATTCTCACTTTCTCCAGCCACTAGCAAGAGTCAGGACGATATTCTTATGTGGATCGTTTAACATACCAAGATATCCTTCTCAGATACCAATTTTCCGCTGTATCCCTTGAGCGATGCGCAATAACTATCATGTTCACACGCCGCGGTGGAGTTCTCGACATCTTCTCCATCCTCATCATCTTCAGCTTCTGGTCTGGTCCCAGCCTCGCAGTCACAGTCATCCTCGTAACAGAGGCTGAGGTCTTCGCCTTCTAAGGCGGTGGAAGCCTTGCGGAGATCATAGCAGGACAGTGGCCCACCGCAGATGTTGCAGTAGAAGGTGATTTTCCCCATTATCACTGCGTGGTGAGCCGTAACAGACACCCAGGCAGAACAATGAGGGGAAGGTAAAATGTAAGTTTAACTGCAATAATAATAATAAGAAAGATCAGTGTGGATCGTAATGCGCCAAGGAAATCCCACGAAGCAACGCAGAATACGAGGCACTACGGAGCAGCTAGTTCTGGTTGGTGGATGCTAACTTGAAATACGAGGGTCTAAGCTGATTCTGTAATAGAGCTAATGAAGGGATCATGTCTATTTCAGTCTATCTCTGGGTAACCCGCTTCGGAACAAATCAAAGCCCCACAAAACCACCGTCGGCAGGTCGAATTTATTAGGTATCTGGCCAACTAGACCCACGCCTCCAAGGCATACCCATTTCTGTACGCCAGCGCAGTCTGCGGCCCCTCAGCATCCATAACATAACCATATTCACATCGATCAAAGGAGACTTTGAACTGGTCACGGTAGAAAGCATCATACTTGTGATCCATAGCATCCAGTAGATTGTGCACTGATCCATCTGGATGAAGCACGTCCCATGGCTTGACGCAGGTCTTTCCCTGACACGACTTGAGGACGAGGAGAAGGGCGTCAAGTCTGGAGATCACTTGGGTATTATCAAAGCCCATGACATGATGCTTATCTGCCTGGCCCTTCCGTGCGCTGGGGTGGAGATTGTTGATTTGATACGGGTCGGTCTGCCTTTATTAGCCTTCTTCAACGATACAATGGAATGGAAGACAGACGGTGAGATCGTAGAGCTCATGCTCGTTGTTGCACCAGACCGAGTAGTAGAGGTTGTACTCATCACTAAGGATTCGCACCGCTTTATAGGTGTTGTTCGGGACCGTCGGGATTCCTATAAAATCAGACCCCGTCCTAACCTTGAAGAAAGAGCACATACCGAGGTTAGAAATGCCGCCTTCTAACATAGCCTGCCCCCAGTACTCAACCGCTACATGCTCATGCAGAGTTCCCGTGGAATCAGCAATCCGCATCGGTGTTCCATCAAAATCATCGCGGAGAGGCAACCCAGCTAGCGTGAACAACGTGGGCGCAATATCGATATGCGTCGTGACGATATCCTGCTCCGCGCCCTCGGGGATACCAGGGCCACGAATGAAGAACGGCACGCGGATGTCCTCATCAAAACCGCAGGTCTTGCCGGGGGGGAGGCGGTGTTGTCCGACGTGGAATCCGTTGTCGGAGGTGTAGATGATGTACGTGTTCTCGAGCTTGTCGCTTTGCTCTAACCGGGTGATGAGCTGATCTACCAGCTCGTCGACCCCTTGGAGTGCGCGCAACCGCTGCCGGTAGTAGTGATCGTTGTAGTCGACGACGGTCTGGTTCCGATAGGGGAGATCATGAATCCAGCTCACGCCGGTTGGCTTACTTGTCAGTAACAGTGTCGGTCAGGTATTAACTTCAACTCACCTTCTTAGGATTGAAGTTGGGAGTCCGCGGGACCTTGGCGTCCGGGAAGAGATGTTTGTGCCGATCCTCCGGGATAGGCTCATCCATCCACATGGGTCCGGCACCTCCTCCATATGTCCCGTTCATGTTGGAATGCGGGGCGATGGGTGCGACAGCCAGGAAGAATGGCTGCTCGCCGTCTAGCGCGTCTTCCAAGAATCCCATGGCCTTCTCCCGGAGAACTTCGGTCGTGTGTCTGCCGAGATAACTGACAGGAGGATCATGGTTGCGCTGATACGTCGCGTTCATGTAGTCGTACGTGTATGGATCCAGAACAAAATCCGACGCGGTGAAGCCGGAGACATGCGGACTGTCGTAGTTGTCGATCGAGTGGGCATTCATCAGCTTGCCGGTGTAGTACGTATCGTACCCTGCCTGCTGCAGCCAGACGGGGAGGAAGTTGTCATTGAACCCGCGATCAATGAACTTGGGGTATCCTCCTGTACGCTATTAGCATTGCTCTATTGGATCTATGTTGAATAAATAAATACCCCATGGTGGATGAACATCAGTAACATTAGTGTTATGGGCCTGTCGCCCCGTCAAAAGACTCACCCGCGACGGGCAGCAGAGAGCAGTGGTCACAAAGTGGTTGACGAACGTCGTCCCCTTGTCTCTCATATGTTTCATGGTCAGCGGAGTGTACGACAGCGAATCCAGCTTGAGATCCTGGTCATCTGCCATGATGAAGAGGAAGTTAGGCTGCTGTTTCGTAGAAGCCGAAACGAGGCCTGCCTTGAGGGCAGCCATCAGGCACAGAGCCGTGGTGAGACGGTCACTGAATGTCTTCATTTTGATGACAGTCTGCTTGGTAGTTGATGTCAGGACATATTGCAGTAGGCGTAGTGCTTTATATACATAAAATCCATATTGTGCTAATGCCTATACCAAAGATATACTTCATACTTCCAAACTGTGAAAGAACAGTTCGCAAAAGCCAGGCGCACTTCGGCGATTACTCTGAGTCATGAGTCTATTGACGGCATCTCAACTCTTCGGTGTGCTAGTCCCCGAGGCACCCGGCCCGAGTCAAACGTACTAGCCATTATATAGGAATGCCTCATAGGATAGGTTTTGTAGGCAGAATGTGACAAGCGGGGCGATTGGAGCCACTTCGTTGGGGGCCAAAAGAGAATTGTGTCGCAATGGCAGTGATAATTGTATTGTAGTATTATAGTGTCTGCTATCCGGTCAAATGAGGTTAGAATAGCCGCCGAGGCCTCGGAGCGTGGGGACGGCGAGAGCGAGAGGCGTCGTAGGAGTAGCCGTGCCGCGTTCCCTTTGGGGACTGGATATGATTGTGAGAGGAGAGCAAGAGGTACGGTACTATACAGATCATGGAAGTCATGACTCAACAATATTCACGATTATCAGCTGTATCGGTTCTAACGCCATGTAACGTCGACTCCCCGCTGTATTAAGTAGCAGAATAATTGAAGTAAGCACAGCTCCAGAGCGCCTTGACCGTTTCTTCCGACCCACTTTGGTTGGCATCATCTATGCAGTGAGAGGGAATGTGTCCAAAAGTTGCCTGGAACTGCATGGAGCTGCAGCCTGTATTTCCATGACGATCTCCCGGATACGTTGCATGGAGCTGCCAGCAATGGGCCAGGTGTCACCCATGGACAGAAGCACGCCAATATTCAGTGAGAGGTAAGGTTGGTTGACAGCTGACAACGGCAGACATTCCGCTGCAAGCAAGGCGACTTGGAGAATTGAGCTTAGATTGAGAACACAGGCGAAGAATGGGGTGTGATTGGCGACCGCTGTCGATAACGACGCCAACTTGGAGAGATTCACTGAACCGGCCGCTACCTTGGCCGTGTGCATCTGCGGATCGAGCGAGGTGGACGAAAAGACAGGGGGCTGCGAGCAGAAAATGCGACCGCTGATGGGGAGAAAGGGTAGGAGGGAGGACCGGGGGAAATGGAGGTAGATAGAGGCGCAGTGGACGAGGGCCGCGGCCTGCAGCATCATCTCGTCTACCTCCCCCATCGGATGGAGAATGGCACGCTTGGATTTTGGCAACCGATGGAACCAGCCAGTTATGGTTGCGCTCAGGCTGTCCAATGCTTCCTGGGAGATATGCGTCTCGCCTGCCAGCAGACATTTCCGAAGCAGCAGGGCCGCTTCAACCCGGTATGCAAAGGAGGAGAACTGGCTGTCGCAAAGAAGGCTGCGACGCTCCAGGTTGGCCATTGTATACATCTGTACTCCTATACAGCCCTGCTGGTATTCCTCCTGCTCGCATGGCAGAGGCACGTCGGGGGTCTCGGTCATGTGGAACTGCAAGACGCCATCCAGCTGCACCGCAGCCAGTAAGACATCCACAACCACGATTTCCCACCAGGTGCGTCGCAGAGATTCCGCTTGAACTGGATTCTGCAGGCTCATGGCGTCGGAGATCTCCCGGCGATGAAGGCCCAGTTCCAGGCTGAGTTGGATGGCCTGCGCCAGGCAGGACTTGGCTTCATCCGGCTGTTGTCGTCCGTGCAGCACAATGGCCAATAACAAAAAGGCTTGCACCTTTTCAACGCTGGACTCGGCCTCCTGCACGGACGTTTGAAGCGAACCGCAGCAGTCTGGAACGAACCGGGAGAGGTAATGCAGACTGATGAACTCGATGACATCAAGGAGGTACGCTGGGGCCCCTGCTTGTAGGAACGCCTCCATGGGAGGCAGAAAGGGATGGGCCTGGTGGAAATGCAGATAGTACAGCGAGATTAAACGGATTCTCCGATCTCGACTCGCAGATGAGGGGGGATATGTTAGGTATGCTTCTGGGTGCTGACGCTGCTGGCTCAACGAATCAAGTGGCGAAAATGGACTCATTCCGATTGTTGGCTGCTCAGCTGCCAGAGAAACGGTGTCTTCTTGCAGGGGAAAAGATGGGGTCGTTGTGCGATAAGGACCAGGACGACACTTGCGACCTCGCCGCGAAGGAACAAAGTGACAAGGGACACTCAAAGAGGCGCACCGAGCGCATCCTGACAGGTTTCCGTCGCATTTGAGATGTCTGTCTCGGCAATTGAGACAAGCAACTGGAGAGGCAAGATTCGCTGAGGCTGGGCTGGTCGATTCGTGAGAATCCATTATGGTTGACGGAGTAGTTGCAGAGGTGAAGAGGTGAAGAGTTGAAGCTATAGAATGTCGGAATTCCTGCGGGGTGTTCGGACTTTGAGAAAATGCCCTGCTTAGTCATCATCTGCATGAATTTAACTATCCCTGAGTCCCTGACAGTAGTTTACTATATGCCTTATGACCCCGGTGCAATAGGATAGACTACGGTGGTACTCGTTGTCAACTAATCTCTATCTGATCATGGATGCGGCAAGACATGTATATATGGTAGTGCCTACCTTGCCAGGGGAAAGGCATGAATTCATGGTCTACCAAGTTATTCAACATTGAAGGTCAGCTCGCAGTCAATATCAGACACGCTGGTTCCAACGAAGCATCGGTATTGTCCCCGGTCTAACTGCCACTGACCCTCCTGCTCATCGTACCAGCGCAGTTCCTCACTCTTGACAGAAATGGTAACATCTCTCTGCTCTCCTGCTGGCACCCATACCTTGCAGAACCCTGCCAGGGTTTTCCTGTAACTGACCAGTCCCTTGTCCTGGATGCGCGCTGACGGTGAAACATACACCTGCACTACCTCATGGCCGTCCCGACCTCCAACATTGGCGACTCGAGCGTGGACGACAATCTGGGACGAGATCATGGTCATCGCTCCACCGAGCCGGACATCGGACAGCTTAAAGCTGGTATAGGACAGTCCAAAGCCAAACGGCCACATCGGCACAATCTCCTCCTCTTCAAACCACCGATAGCCCACAAGCACCTTCTCGCCGAAGACGCTGCGATCCTGCGCCGCCTCGGCAGGGAACCACGCACTGGAGCCATGATCCTCCAGCCGCCGAGGGAAAGTAATGGGAGACTTGCCGGAGAAGTTACAGACGCCCAGGAGGACATCCGCCAAGGCATGTCCGTTCTCCTGACCCTGATACCACGCCAGCACGATGGCGCGCGCCTGCTCCGCCCATGGCATGCTCACCGCGCTGGCAGCCTGCAGCACGACGATGGTGTTGGGGTTGGCGGCGCAGACGGCTGCGACGAGCTCGTCTGTACGGCCGGGAAGCTGAATATCAGGCCGGTCTCCTCCTTCGCCCTCGGAGTCCTTGTTGTGGCCCACAACGAGCACGGCCACGTCGGCTTCGCGCGCACTCACAATAGCACGTTCCATCATTGCCGTCTCGTCTTCCTCAAGGGCCAGGCCGATCCGAAGACCGGTGACATTCGGAAAGAGAGTGTTGTCAAAGGCCTCCACGGCCGGCAAGGTGACCACGTTGTCCACCCGCAGCGCGTACTGCCGACCAGCCTCCAGCTCAACGCTCACCATCTTATCCTCACTCGAGCAGCCGAGGAACCCGTTGCTCACCTTCGTCCACTCCATGTTGTCGATAAGAAGTTTCTCGTCTAGGAAAAGCTTCGCCTTGCCCGTGTTTGCCAGGCTGAAGGTGTACCTGCCAGACACGCGCGGGGTGACCACGCCCTTAGCCCGGTAACAGTACGGCTGCCCTTTTAGGAAGTCAGGTACATCGCCATCACTCATGAGGTAAATGAGCGAGTCGGCCCAGTGCCTCGTGGCGACGGCGGGTCCCTCGAATGCATGACCCGCGAAGAAAGTTATATGCAGACCCTGCTGGGAGGAATCGGGAACGGTGAGCAGATTACCCAGGAGCGGCGGACGAAGGCTGAACGGCATGCCCGACTCATAAGTCACCTGGACCTCAGGATGCGCTGTCTGAATCGCCTTTGTCAGACATTCCTCTGGCGTGGTGATGTAGAAGGGGTTGACGGCGGCACTGCCGGCCCCGCCGGCCGTAGGCTTGCGGGCGTTCGGACCGAGGATGGCGACCTTTTTAAAAGATGACGGCTGGAGGGGAAGGACGTTGTCTTCATTCTTGAGCAGGACTAGTCCGCTCTGAGCCGCCTCTCGGGCGATCTGGTGGAAAACAGGATCGTCCATGGCCTGTTCCGCGGCTTCGTCTTGGCTGACGGACGAACGGTTCCCATCGGAGTCCTCTGATAGCAAGCTGGCCTTTTCCAGGAGCTGCAGCATTCGCCGTACACTGGGGTCGACATGAAGTGCAGAGTCAACCTGACCGTCACGAATGGCGGCCAGCAGGCGCTCTCCGCGGCGGATAGCGGGGCCCGGCATCTCCAGATCAGTGGTAGCAATGAGGCTCTGGACCGTGTCATTACACCCACCCCAGTCGCTCATAACAAGGCGGTCGAATTGCAATTCCTCCCGCAACAGCGGCCGGAGAATCGCAGGGCTCACATCGGCATGCAGCCCGTTGATCTTGGGGTAGCTGACCATGGCCGTCCAAGGGGAGGCGTCCAGCGCCATGACAAACGGCTTCATGTAGACCTCGCGCAGGGTGCGGTCGTCGATGGTCTGATCGACGTTGAACCGCCGCGTCTCGGTGTCATTGGCGATGAAGTGTTTCATGCATGCCCCCACCCCCTGGCTTTGGATTCCACGGATCATCGCTGTCGACATGGCGCCCACCAGGTACGGATCCTCCCCGTATCCCTCAAAGTTGCGGCCTCCGAGCGGCGACCGCGACAGGTTCATGGTGGGCGCCAGCAGCACCTGGCAGCCCTTGCGCCGGGTTTCCTCGCCCAGCACGGTCCCGACCTTCTCGACGAGGGCGGGATCCCAGGTAGCAGCGAGGGAGATGCCGCAGGGGACGAACGTGGTCAGCGAGCCGTATGTCCATTTGGAGCCTCTCGCTCCCGCGGGACCATCCGTCATCTTCAGACTGGGAATGCCCAGACGGTCGATTTGGGCCGTCTCCCACATGTTCTTACCGGCCAGTAGGGTGACTTTCTCCTCGAGGGTGAGGCATTGGAGAAGCCGTTCGACAACGGGAGTAATTGGATCGCGATTCATCCTGCTATGCTGAGAAATGTAATGTGCAGATTAGAGAAATGAATATATCTCTAAAAGAATGCATGAGGAACTATGTTGAGAATGGCATTTGTCTCCAGTCTTCCTAACCTATCTATACCCAACAACAGAACAATCCATATCACATCCAAGTGTACCCCCGGCTAATCCTCGGACAACTCAGTTGTTCATAGAAATGCCGGGAAATCCTAGTGCGTGCTTATCCCCCCTCCAGTTGGTCTTGGTACCGGGTCGGCGATATAGTGGGGCGCCGTTCTGATTCGACTGCATGTCCCATCAATCATAATCATGGGGTCATGGAAAAGTCCCGCCACCCGCCGAATTGGTGGGTCTGGCTTGGTCAGAGTTCCGCTATTTGGTGTAGAATGATTGGCCAAATGCCTAGTATATGCTTGACGGGGTAAGTATCCAGAAATGGAGACTAGTTCGGGTCCGAACAGACTGATACCTTCCCCAAGGTACAGAGCCCCCAGACTGGGATGCGGCTGTGGGTGCAGAGGCTCTGCGGAAAAATGCCGGGGATGCATGCAAAGACCACGTTTTTCAATCTGGAGAAGTATACTCATTTCTATGGTCAATCCAGATCATGATCACAGGAGAGGTCGAGTGCTGTAGGTAGCAACTAGCAAGTTCTTCTTGTGATTCATACCAAGAATAATACTAATAAGCTATCTAGGAGTCTAGGCAGGGTATTGAATCCTTCCCCGTGGACCAAGATGACCAAGACGCCACTAATTTCTTGACCGGGGCAATTATACGAAGGATTAAGTTCTGTGTACCAGCATGACTCGATATCACTGGGCATCAGCTGTCACGGTCAGACCGTCAGACAATGGGACACCGGCGAAGTGAGCCATAATGACGGTCTGATTACAAGTCATTCGATCGCTCAGAGGGGACGGTATAGATGTGGATATCATGGTAAGACGGGAATCGAAGGACCATGGGCAAAGTTGGGGTCATGCTTAAAGGCAGCAGTTTGCCAACGGGAATCTCCAAGCCCTCCTGTCTCATTCAATCATTCTTTTTCGCATTATCACCTTGCCTAAATGGCATCCACGTCTGAATCACCTGGATTAGCCCGGGGCATCCCCGGGATCATCTGGGCCATCGTCATCTTTGGCTCCTTGTCCTCTGGGGGATTTGGTTTTGACTCGGGCTGGTGGTCCGGCATCATGAGTTCCTCGCAATTTGCCCGCACCTTCGGGTCCTTTGACCCCGTGCAGCAGAGGTGGTCTCTCACCTCCAACCAGCAGTCCCTGGGCACAGGACTGGGCTACGCTGGGGTGATCCTTGGCCTGCTCTGTGGCTCGCCGTTGAACAAACGTCTCGGACGCAAGAGGTGCTTGTGGATCCAGAGCTTCGTCGTCGCTGTCGGGGTAACGATCGAGTCCACAACTCAGACCAGCTATGCACAGTTCATCGTCGGCAAAGCTGTCGTCTTCTTTGGCGGCGGAATCGCCACAAATGTCATCCCCGCCTACCAGGGCGAATGCGCTCCGCCGGCTCTCCGCGGCCTCATGGCAGGCACGTACAACGCCTTCCTCATGGTGGGCGGGTTCACCGCCGCCCTCATCGTCTACCTGTGCCAGCACATCCCCAGCGACTGGGCCTGGCGCGGTGTGGTGGTCGCGCAGATCGCCATCCCCGCCATTGGCTGGCTCAGCTTGCCCTTCCTCCCTGAGTCTCCCCACTGGCTCATCTCCCGCGGTCGATTCGACGAAGCAGCCGCCACGCTGCGCAAGCTCCGCGGGCCCGACTTCCCTGCTGATGCGGAGGTCGCCCTACTGCAGCAACAACTCGAGGAGCAGCGCGAGGGCAGTGCCTCTGCCAACGCCTCGTGGGCTGCCTGCTTCACAGACCCAGTAAACCGGCGCCGGGCCATCGTCTGCCTCGGGGCTCAGATCCTGCAGCAGGCGCAGGGCATCTCCTTTGTGGCCAACTACCAGGCCGTGTTCCTGCAACAGATCGGGTTCAAGGAGGTGCTCCTGCTGTCGGTGGTCGTGTATGTCATCGGCATTGCGGCAAATCTGATTAGCATGTTCACGACGGACCGGCTGGGCCGGCGCAGCGTGCTGCTGTATGCGGCGGGACTGCTGGGCGTCTGTATGCTTGTCATCGGAGGTCTGACTGCCCACGGCGCCGCGGGCATGTCCTACGCCATGCAGGTTGCCATCGTCGTCATGCTGATGCTGTGGTTCTTCTGCTTCCAGATCACCTGGGGCCCGCTGCCATGGGTGCTTGCGGCCGAGGTGCCGCCGACGCAGGTGCGTGAGAAGATGGTGGCGCTGACAGGGTTCGCGGGCTACGGGACCGGTCTGGTCATTGTGTTTGTCAATCCGTTCACGCAGGAGGCAATTGGAGGCCGTGTGGCTTTTATTTATGGGTCCTTTTCCGTTTTGGCGGCTGCTTTTGTGTGGTTTGTTGTTCCGGAGCTGCGGCAGCGCTCGCTCGAGGAGATCGATGAGATGTTCCAGGAGCGGCTGCCGACAAGGGCTTTTGCGTCGTATGTCTGCCGCGTGCCGGATGAGATTGCCTTGGAGCAGAAGATGGCATTTGAGTGTGTGGACGATGCCTGATGGATAGATATGTCATGGTCATGAAGTGTAGTCGGATGAGAACGTTTAAGCAGTGCTTTATGTGTTACGGCATCGTCTAAAAGCCTTCCCATGATGAGGACTAAGGTACAAATGAAATGAACTGGCTGATTAATAAGTGATGCTCTATCTATGCGAATTCTCCATGCACATATGTCCAGGCCAGATGAGGCGCTATCCCAACACTAAGCACATACGTATCGACAGTCGAACAATACATGACAATATCTATCTAGGTATAAGCACTCGACTGACGAATTCTGGTTCCAAACCGGTAGAAAATCCATGGCAGGGGCACGAATGCCACAGCCAGAAAGGCCAGGAGACTAGAGGCCCAGCTGTAACCGAGATTATTGTACACTACAATAATCAGTAAGACTCTCGAGTAATAAAGGTGAACACATACTAGCAATGGTGAACAGGGGAAAGGACCCTCCAACCGCATAGCGCAGCAGGCCGTTTGCTGCCAGTGCCGAAGCCCCGTATTTGGCCCCGTAGACATTGGTGAGGTACAGCGCTGTCGACACCTGGGCTGGTTAGCATTGAACAAGACGACGGCGGGAAGGACTCACAAAGATGAGAATATTGGAACAAGCAAACAATCCCGTCGCCGTGATGCTGCTCATCCAATGCACTCCCGGCCGAGCAGTCCAGGCAAACCAGAATAATGACGCCGGCATCAGGGGACTGCCCACCATTGCGCCCCAGAGCAGCCGCTCCGGAGGGGTGGGCACATCAGAGGACCGGGCACGATGCTTAGTCAAGGTGTACGAGTCGATGAGAATCAGCGCGGTGGTGCCAACGACGCAGCCAACCGGGATTCCAATAAAGACCAGCCCACACTGGCCCGGCGAGAAGCCATAAATGGTGCTGTAAATTAGTGGAATCGAGGCCAAAAAGCAGAACAGCACAGAGAAATTCAGCGACGCATAGAGCGAGCAGAGCGCGACAATAGGCTCGGTCAACAGCATGTACACCGGCCGCGCCAGGGTCACCATCACTAGGAACCGAAGTCCCTCAAGTCCGCTGGGGATGGGTGCCGGTGGCACAGGCAGTCCCAACTTCTTTGCTCTGCGCCGGATAATGGGGCCCGGATACGTCTCCTGCGCACCGAGTGAGAAGAACCAGATACCGGCCCCGAGGAACAGTGTCGTCCACTGCGACCATGGCCAGTTCTTGTACTCTGTGATCCAGCCGCCGACCAGCGAGCCCAGCGCGGGTCCCATGAATGCGATCGCCATGAGCAGCACCACCCCGCGGTTCGTGTACACGCCAGTCCAGATGTCCATGATGGTTCCGACGCCCACGGCCAGAGGCGCAGAGATGAGAATACCGGCCAGCACACGGCAGACGGCGAGCGTGGCCAGATTCTTGGCGAAACCGGCGCCCATGATGAAGAGCAGAGCGAGCGGAGTGATGAAGACATAGATGAATCGTCGACCATACGTCTCGCTCAAGGGGGCGGAGACCATGGGCCCAAAGGCCAGTCCGTACACATAGACGGTGAACGGGAGGAGGGACAAAGTGGTGCTGGTGTTGAATTCTTTTTGGACGTGTGCGTGAGATGGAGAGTAGATGGCCAAACCAAAGGATCTATATCTGTCAGCACGATTGTAAGGATTATAGGACACTAGATACTGACACGAGAAGACAGAGCAAGGATGGGATGGCGGTGTTGTATAGCTTCTTGCCCAGACTCCAGTTCCTTGCATTGGCTGGGTCAACCGACCATTCTGGGAGGTCGAGCTCTTGTTTGGACTCGACAGCGGAAGGAGACATCTTGGGGATGTCCGACTGCATGATACGATGGGAATTATTGCAAAAAGAGCGAGATACTCAGGGTATATATCCTAGCTATCGGTTCAAGCGGCAGACTTGCAGGTTACATGTCTGGAGTTGACTAGGTTGTTGTTGTTTTTGCAGCTATATCTCGACATATCCAACAGTGTATGGGACCCACTATTTCGGCGACGAGAAGTGACATGATCCAGACAATGAAATAGACACTCAAATGCCGATATCCGGTGAGGAAATCCTTGTCAATTGAAAGGGAACGTAGAGGCCACGGCTGAGTATATTTTCTTAAAAACAAGGTCAAGAGACCGAGCTCATTCATGTATATAAGCTGGTAGCTCGTTACTACTTCACATCATTTCCTCCACTGCTTGTCTCTTCTCTCTTGAACCTACCCTACATCTAGTCGAGCTTTTATGATCCGCATCTACGCAAGATATTGTGAAAACTATGTGCTCGACGATGGTGCAAGGCGGTCATTGGCATTGAGATAGATCAAGGGGATCTGTTTGACTTGTTCAAAGACCATGAACATGAACATCATGACGTAAGGAATATTCGGAGCTGAGAGAATAATTGCGAGTAAAGATTGATGGCTGCATAATGAGCAGGAAAGATGAACTGTGAGGCAAGATCATAGGCACATATGCCATCTGCATTCTGGTGAACATCCGAAATTCCTTGATCTATTCGGGATCTCCATCTTCAACGAGATTCGCCGTTTCTATCGTCCAGTGGATCCCGGTCCGCCTCAATCGGCGATGTTCCGTGCCTCTTTCTACTTATTGGTTTCTGGCCACGACTACTTTTGCCTTCTCCTATTGGTGCATGCAGTAATAGGGTTTATATGACCTAAACAGAATCATCTTCGTCCTGGACATATATCCATGTCTTGGCTCCTTGGTCATTTTCCTACGAGACCCCGGCTGCACGGATTAAAGCCAAGAGAGACCCTAGCAGAGAGCAAGGCTTGAACTAGTCCTCGTATAAATATTACATATATATATAGCTATGCCTCTAGGTAAACATTTTGAGTGACTGAGTTCATAGATTTCATTCAGTCCCTGAGCTTGCTGACATCATACATTTCCCCCCAAGTGCTCATTTGGTAACTTTGTTAGGGTTAACTCAGTATCCCATCGGCTCCACATCATAACCTGTTCCGGCTTCATCTCAGGGTTCGGTGGGTTTAGTAGCGTGCTTGAGCAGCCTTTTGTACCCTGTCCCAGATTTGTCATGCTGAAAAATCCCTAATGAAATCATCTGGTCTGGGCATACTCAATAAAATGTGCGCTCTTCTCTGTATGGTTATCAGACAACCATCAGCTGAATTAATTGACTACCTTACCTATCCTTCAAGTCTCCTCTGCACTCCCTAACATCCCATGCGACCGTCTTCACCTACAATATGGCCTTCGCTACAACCAATGATGCCCGAGAGATCTACTATGAAGTGCACGGAACCACCGGCCCGATACTGGTACTCGTCTCCGGCTATATGGGCATTGCCAATCTGTGGCAACCGTTGATTGCCCGCTTGAGCGCCAAGTACCGGTGCATTGCCTACGACCTTCGTGGATATGGACGGTCATCGAAGCCTGAATCTCCGGAAACATACAACATTCCCCAGCACGCTGCAGACCTCGACGCCGTGCTAAAGGCTGCCAAGATCAATGAGCCCGTTGTCCTGGTCACTCATTCGATGGGGGGCAATATCGCCTCGGCTTATTATCTGATGAATCCGACCAACGTCTCCAAAATCATCTACACTGCCACATATTATGATGGCACGAGTGCGAAACAGTTCTTCCCATTTGAGGGGCTCACCGCAGGGGTGGATGAGCCATCAAAATGCGTCGACTTCTACACTATCCTGGGACTTGATCGTTCGATTGCCCTGGAAGCGGCAAAGTGGCCTGCGCATGGCCGCTGCAACAATGCAAGCTGCCTGGTGTCTTATGACATTGGTGATGGATACAAACGAATTACCGTCCCTACTCTGATTATCTATGGAGAAGAAGACAAAACTGTTCCGGTGGAACAGGGTGTGCAGCCTATGGTCGACACTATGCCAAATTCCCGGCTTGTGTTTCTCAAGAATGTGGCCCACTTTCCTCCGACAGAGGCACCAGAAGAAATGGAGAGATGGATTGATGAATTTATTGGGGCCTCTAATTAAGCGCTGTACCGCCGACAATATCATGGAACCTAAATCATATGTTTTCCTATGCATTCTGAAGGTGTCTTCCATATCAACATTGCAGTTGACGTCATCCTTTTATTCATCTGTCTTAATCCGCTTAGCCCTAATCTATCAGTGGATGCCCAGAATTAGACATTTAATTCTGACCACTCACTAACATAACATTGACCATTTCCAGGCTGAGGGGGCTGTGCGTGAATTACCTGAACTCAGCTTGTCAGCACTCGCGGTCCGAAACACCGTCAGCTTTGTCAGCCAGTCAAGGGATAACTAATTAACTATGATGATAGCGGGGTATTGATTACTATATAGACTACCTTACGCTTCTTCAGAATCCCTTCATCCATCTCATTAACTAAGATTACATCCTCTCAAAATGGCTATCCCAACAAACAATGTTGCTTTCACTGCTCCCATAAATCCTCCTGGGGCTGATCCAATCCTCAGCCGCAGTCAGATCTGGAATGGGTTGCTCCTCAAGATCCGCTCCGCAGAAACATTCGTTCCAGCCGGCATTCAGTCAACGGCAGTCCTCAGTGAATCTGTTGATGAAGAAGGAAATCCCGTCACCATCCGCGAAGTGGTTTTTCGTCAAGAGCAGCGCAAAGTCAAAGAGACGGTGACGGCCCACAAAGACTCCCGGGTGGATTTTGTTCAACCTGATGGGAGTAACATCAGTAACATCGTCAGTGAAGGTGCCGAGGGGGAGTTGTATATGACCTATGTTTTTGAGTGGAGGCACCCAGGCGCTTCTTCGGAGGAACTGGCTGCCTGGAGGGAAAGAGAACAGATGATGAGCAAGGGGGCTGTTGAGGGTACAATTAGTGCCATGAGGGAGCTCGCTCAAAAGGGGGAGATTTGATTTCACTCAAGGATGTTTGGGTTTCTTTGGATCTATCTCTATGTGGATGCGATGGAAGGAACATTCAATGTACTCCAATTTGATGATCACGCGGACAGGCCTCACATATATATGAATTCATGACCATGCTCTAGTGCGGGACTATATATTTACGGAATCAGTAGACACAAGGAGATAAAATTATGATCGTTTAGAAAAACTGGCTCCATCCAAAAACCATGAAAATTTAAAAAGAAGGTCCCTATAAAGCTCGAAAGTATATCTGGAATAGTAGTATGCATGCCATCTGAAGTTATGGTTTACTGAGCAGTAAAAATGCGGCTTTCCCTATAGAATACGCCATTTTCTGTGGCCTAGGTGACAAGCTCTCTGATGTATGTCAAAAACCAGGTCTCCACATGAGTCCACCAAGTGGCATAGTTGAAGCATCCGGTAGGGTTCGCCGAGCAGTGGATCTGAGCTGGTGATCCTAGGGACAGACCACATGATAAGAGGTGTTGATAAGGTTGTAATGTCCCGATATTATACGCATGATTGACCATGGATGACTGCACCTACTAAGCAAGAAGGCCATCTTATGTAAACGCAGGATGAGTTCATTATGCATGACTATATCAAATGCCTCCTATATATTTATTGTGGCTAGTATAGTGATTTGCTTGTCGCTTAAGGTCGGCCTTTTTTACTGTGTATCGACCTATTAATAGGCTGCCCATAATTATTAACATATGACACTATTGTCTCTGCGCTGGGACAGAGTGATCCAGTAATCATCTGCACGGATTTCTAAAGCACAACAGAATGTAGAATAGTAACACAATGCGGAGAATCTTATGAAGAGCGCAACTAATGTACAGGACAAATATATACAGTCTATAGTAGTCACTCAAATAAGATGAAAATGTCCGCGGTATAGCTGTTTATGCCAGCCTGAAGTGACTATATACTCAAAACTGAGAAAGGTTCACGGAGGACGACATCTTGGTAGAGGGATAATTCGAAGTCAACAAAGGGGACGCTTTCTAATTTAGCCTCAAATAAAACCATAGATCTAGTCACATCTATCTCTCTAAGCCATGTGAATGCTGAAATGTTCGTAATGGGTCGTTACTTGGCGATCTCAACGCCATTGGTGGCACCTAGGGGGTTACAAAGTCAGCCTTGGTCGGGGGAACTAAGGAAGTAAGCAAACTTACCGAGAGCCTTCTTGATGTCACCGTAGATGGCGAATTGCCCAGCAGTAAGACCACCGATCATGAACAGACGAGTGGGAAGGCCAGCGAAGGAACCACGAATGCCAAGCTCACCCGCAATCTTGATGAGACGGGAAACGGTGCTCTCACCGGGGAGACCCTTGGTCTTGTTGATCTTGGACAGCATGGTATCTGCGGGCTGAGAGATAATGGCGGCAGCGAAACCAGCAATGAGGCCGGATCCCAAGTTAACTCCGGTCTGGGCGCCGTTGGACAGCTTGGACTTGTCAAGGCGCGCAAAAACGGCCTCGGCGACCTTTTCGTAAACGACAAACTTGGTCACTGTATAGGGCACCCTGCATAATATCAGTTTATTGCTGTGTCTCTAGTCTCATCACCGAACCAACGTACTGCTTCAAGAGGATAGGACCGAAACCACGGTAGAAAGCACCAATGCCCTCATTCTTGAAAATCTTGCCGAAACCACCAATCAGACCATTTGCGAAGCCAGGCTGAGAGACAAGACGGATACGTGTAGCCTCGAGAGGACAGAGAGCGATCGAGGCGAAGAACTCGGCGGAGGCGGCCGAGACAGAGTAAACGGCCGTACGGTTCTGACGGGCCTTTTCAAGACCAAGAATGTTGATCGATTGCTGCTTGAAAAACTCGTAACCACCGAATTTAAAGGCTCCCTGCATGAAGTAACCAGCAAAGGTTGGTCCGATGCCGGTCAAGAGAGCGCCGGCGCCCTCGTTTTGGATGACTTGACGGAAACCGCCAAACATACCACGGTTGTAGGTGGCAGGGTCGAGTTGGATCCTAGTCTTCACACTGTGGAAGTGTCAGTAAGCCGCAAACATTGGATACTGGAGCTGAAGCTGATGGGACAGCATACACATCGACTGGAGTGAAGGCACCATGAGTGACAGAACAGCAGACAGCACCGGCAAAAGCGAACCGAGAGTAGAGGCTGAGGCCCTCAAGCTTCTTCTCGGGAGCCACAACAGCAAGAGACGCAGCCATTGGGGCGGTGACGAATGCGCGCGACACGAAAGATTGGGGATAGAAAAGGAACAGATCTTACTGATCTGGAAAAATGAGAGTGTTATTAAAAGTTTGAGAGCGAGTTGTTGACAGTTTGCGACTGCGGGTCAGAGTCAGACTAGGGGGAAGGGCCCACACGATTTTGACGTGATCGGCGTTTTTCGGCGTTTTTAGGCTATTCTCGGTGTTTTCCGATTGTATTTAAGACATGACGCCTCATGGGCGCACTAGGGACCGTGGACGGCGTGGAGATCTTACAAGAACGGTGGGTGGCCCCTCTGCCCTAACAACGCTAGTCTTGGGGTAGTAAGGTTGATGGTCGATGAGAAGTGATGAAAATCATAGTTGACCTTGTTGAGGTTTTCCACCTTACTAGACTCAGGTAGTAGGTTAAACCCTCAATAAGGTCTCAAGATGTCCTAAGACTTGACTCAGAAATGACTGAATTGTAACCTGATGGCTGCCTTGCTTGCATACTACGTAGAAGGCCTCCAGATATGGATCAGGTCCTGCCGGAGAGGCCGTTTGAGTGCAGCATGGGTCTTGGTATCCTCCGTGCCTATGAGACTCGGATAATGGACACCCTTCAGCTCAGTTGGGAGCGGCCGCCAGTGATACTCTGAGAAGAGAGAACCTGTTATGAGAAGTCCCCAGCGGAAGGGCGCCCTAGTAGCGTAGAATTTTTCTATCATGGATAGGTTGGAGAAAATGGCGGTTCATAGGCCAACTTGCACCACGTCACCATATTGCTTGTGTAAGCGCTGAATGACTTGGCGGGTTCGTCCATTGTAAGCATAAACGTCTCAAAAATGTCTAAGGAAACATTAGACAGCTGAAATAAGAGATGAAGACTTCCATTTCACCTGCATAGCAGCACGCCGCACCACCAAGGCCCCGGAATGTGCCATAGTCCTGTTCGAACGGGGGTTGCAAGAAATCAGACAAGGCCTGCAGTGGCGAAGAACACAAACCAGACGCCAATCATCTTTGGGCAGCAGCAGAAATGCGCGATGAAGGTCTTCTGCTAGTGTCGCAAGTTGCAACTGTACTGTCGCGACTATATAGGGCGGTGTCAGAGGACCAACCCTGCTAAATCAGTGAAACGCCGAAATCAACGAAGCTGGGTCATGGAACATTATTGCTGGTGCATGGCACGGTTCTTACGTTGACAGTCTTTCTATTTAGCCAGACTATCATAAGTATCAGATTGCATGGTTTGGTAGACGTCGGGGGTTAGTTATCTGATATGTAATCCTTCACTATCTACGGAGGACATCGCCCGGAAACCTTTTTAGCCTAGCTGTATTATAATTCCATAATACGCAAATCAAAAATACTAAGACAGCTGAGCAATAAACCCGTCACTACCCAGCGAAGTGGACTTGTATCCATACAGAATTATACTCATGTAGATTGTGGATGGATATGACATAGATACGTTCTTAAAACCTCGCCCAGTGAGACTTTACACCATTAGCATTCTCTGGCTCCCTTGTATGCATATATATATGGATGCATATACATCCATATTGAGGTAGGTTAGGCACTGTGCGTTGTCCTGGTCTTTTGTCCTGGCTAGTCTACAAATGGACGATTTTCCACGAATGGCAGGCCGGATCAAGAGATGCCCTAATGCAGGCGTGACATGATATCAGATATCCTATCTTATCCATACCGGAGTTCGCTCTGTATCTGTATCTTACTAGCGGCGTGGGAAATCACTAGTCGGTCTTTTATGAATGCCTGACCTCCCAACTCAACTCCCAGCAGCTCTTGTTCTCCTATCCTACGATCGTCTCCTATCCTCAACTCGCCTTCATTTTTGAATCTAAATACTCGTATCTGCCCGCCAACATGCGTGAAATTGTGAGTCCGCTCACTGACTTCGGAATATCCTGTCGTCGAGATCGCTGACCTCTGATCTCGATTATGCTGAATAAAGGTTCATCTTCAAACCGGCCAATGCGTGAGTCAATTCCCGTTCTCTTGAGAAATTGAAGTAATGCTAAGCGATGATACTCCTTCGCAGGGTAACCAAGTTGGTGCTGCCTTTTGGTAATTCCAGCACAGCTCTCTATAGCTCCCTACTTCTACCGTTCTTACCTCTGACACGGTCCAGGCAAACCATCTCCGGCGAACACGGTCTCGATGACTCCGGCATGTCAGTGATCCGGTCACTGTCGCTTCTATCTATCTGACACTAACATAGGTACAATGGCACGTCCGATCAGCAACTGGAGCGGATGAATGTCTATTTCAACGAAGTCGGCAATTCGAAATACGTCCCCCGAGCGGTCCTCGTCGACTTGGAACCGGGAACAATGGACGCCATTCGCTCCGGCCCCCACGGAAGCCTTTTCCGACCTGATAATTTTGTGTTTGGGCAGTCCAGCGCGGGCAACAACTGGGCAAAGGGTCATTACACGGAAGGCGCAGAGCTGGTGGATCAAGTCATTGATGTTGTTCGCCGTGAGGCGGAGAGCTGTGACTATCTGCAAGGATTCCAGATCACCCATTCTCTGGGCGGCGGAACTGGAGCTGGCATGGGCACGCTTCTCATCTCCAAGATACGGGAGGAATTCCCTGATCGGATGATGGCAACATTCTCGGTCCTGCCATCCCCAAAGGTCTCTGATACCGTGGTGGAGCCGTACAATGCCACTCTTTCGATCCACCAGCTGGTCGAGCACGCAGATGAGACATTTTGCATTGACAATGAGGTATCAGTCCTGATTATTCCACGTCGATGCGAGCTAACAAGCATAGGCGCTCTATGATATCTGTACGCGGACGCTGAAGCTGTCTTCCCCTTCGTATGGTGATCTCAACCATCTCGTTTCGACGGTCATGTCCGGCATCACTGCCAGCTTTCGGTTCCCAGGACAGCTGAATTCCGATCTTCGGAAGCTGGCGGTTAATATGGTTCCCTTCCCCCGGCTGCATTTCTTCATGGTGGGCTTTGCTCCATTGACCAGTCGAGGAACCCAGTCCTTCCGCGCAATGAGCGTTCCAGAACTCACGCAGCAGATGTTTGATTCCAAGAATATGATGACAGCTTGCAACTTCCAAAACGGCCGCTTTCTGACCTGCTCGGCCCTTTTGTAAGCTTCCCTTCTACTCGACGTCCCAGAAAAAGCTAATCAAAGTCTCAGCCGCGGCAAGATCTCCATGAAAGAAGTCGATGATCAAATGCTCAATATCCATACCAAGAATTCCGGTTACTTTGTGGAATGGATCCCAAATAACGTTCAAACAGCCCTCTGCTCCGTGCCTCCAAAGGGCCTGAAAATGTCGGCCACTTTTGTGGGCAATTCCACGTCCGTCCAGGAGCTCTTCCAGCGCGTGGCGACCCAGTTCACGGCCATGTTCCGCCGCAAAGCGTTCTTGCACTGGTATACCGGCGAGGGAATGGATGAGATGGAATTCACCGAGGCGGAAAGTAATATGAATGACTTGATGTCCGAATATCAACAATACCAGGACGCCAGTATCTCCGACGGAGAGGAGCAACAGTATGCCGAGGAGGAGGAGGCATATGAGGCAGAGGAATAAACCCTCTGAATTTCATCTTCGTGTGCAAGATCGACAGTAACCCTATTCAGCTTCAAGCTTGTCATTCCTTTGTCTGTATCTCTGGGCAACCTGCCTGGGCTTCCTCCTATGGTTTACGATACTCACCGTCTTAAACAGGAATAGAACTTCAGTCAGCTAATAATTTAGTAGTGGCATTCTCTCCGCATTGCTGTCAAGGCCGAGGTCTAGTAGATATTAGCCTCTGTACTAGTGATTGCATTCGGCTGATATCAAAACCGACTCTCATGTATGCGAAGGATATGTGACACATGAGCCAGCCGTGGAATAAATGTAGTGCCGGTTATCTGCCAGCCACAAGAGCACATTCCGATCGTTACGAAAATAGTCTATTTTTGGTACAGGGCCCGGGTGACGCTCATAACCATATCCGCGAGACGTCACGAAACAAGTTGGTTCTTAGCCTAGCATCAAACTGCTTAACAGGTTAGGTTTGAAAGCATTTCTCCTTACTCTTCCCTCAATGTACTCAATCAAGAGATAACTAGCGCCCATCACGTCATCTTTGGATATGTTGCTGTAGGCATTACGACGAGCGAATTAGGTAGGGAGGGTATATCCAAGCCATGATAGAAGTCGTCAATGGACATCGAAATTGGCGGGCAGATGAAGCCATGGATATATAAATATAACCAACCCTAAACAGTCAACACCCGTTACTATTATGAATATGAGCCCCCACTCATTCAGCCCTCTAGATATCGACTTAATACTTTAGATATAGGTTGATTTGTCGCGAATTACCATGAATTATATATACAAGTATTAATCGTCTATAAACATCCTAGACCATATGCGTTATGGGGCACGTTTAAGATGGGGAAGCTCTGGCGCACCAACTCCTAGTTTGGCTAATGTAATGGTTGGCAGGGATAGTGCTCCAATGACGGAGTTGTTGATGACTAGTGTAAAATAGGTATAAAGGGATATAAATATAGATAGATGACTCTGAATATTTTGGTTATCCTTGCGGTAGCCTGGTTAGGTGATATTTAGTAGTGATCTGGGCTGTTGATCTCTGGGAGACTTACTTGACCTCTAGACTAAAGTATGCCTGTCCATGTAGAGCCCAGCATGCTGTAGTTGAAGACCCCTCTAAAGCGTCGCGTCTCAGAGATATGGATCTACTGATGTCGTTTCCCTCCAGGATCATCAGCCTTTAGAGCTATCTTCCCCCTAGTCCTTGTGCAGGCCAGCAATAAAGTGAATACTGATCATTGCAAAGCGATAAGTGATAGTCAAGTTGAGGACGAACAAGATGGATCAGATGGCCAACTGGTAGCCATACTAGGAATATAAGAGAGTGTCAGCTCGCAAAAGAGTCTGGAATTTTAACAATTAATGGAACGCTATCCAAAGCTATCTGGAGATTAGCCCTCAGCAGGGCGTACAACTCGGTCCGATCCTGCGCCACAAGACTACCCTGGGCGACGCAGTGATTACAATGATGTTGTAATCGAGCTCTGTCAGATGACGGTCTAATTATCTGAGCTACCGATTATATGATTGGAATTTCTGGTCGAGAGTAGGAGTGGCCCTGCTCTAGGGGCTGCTGGCTAGAGGAGCTGCCTCCAGGATCCGACGCTGTACTAGCTAAGCCTGGATAGAATGACTACCTCATAAAAGCAGACAATACCAGAGCACGCGCACATGAAATGGAGATATACAAAGGAGATGATGGGGACGTTATCTTATAGATGCGTATGAGGTTCATAACAGCATTGAGGCCTATCAGGGGTTTTTATTAATGCTACACTATACTCTATAACTGTAACCATCTACCCATTGGCTGAGTCCTATACACAGCCGGCTTGCTGTTGCTATTCCATAGCTGCACAAACTACCGCATAGCGTCTTCATTACCCCATCAGTCTAATCTATGTCATGGAGTCAGGTTTGGAGTGAGAACCGTGTAGTGATCATGTCAATGTCTTAGGTAGTGAAAGAGCATCGGGAGATTCCAGTGCCTTGCTTACGTCCTAATAAAGCACCATTGAGCTCCTTGGCCGCCTTAGCAAGGCCCTTTATACGCCTACTGCCATGTTGCTCGGTAACTACGCAGGATTCATTGGAGCAGTGAAACTGATTGCCGTGCGAATCGCATGCGGAGCCAACGTCCCTAGATGCAAGTGGCGAATGCTTACTTGGCGAGAGCGAAGTAGTGAGAAGAATTATCAAAAGAGAGAATTCTGTTAAATTATTGTAAAGTATGCCCATCCGCACATCGCCCCTGCCCGAATTTAATATCCTGCCGTACAAAGTTCTAGACCCGTGTTTTCGCTAACTGCAAGCGTACACTATGAGCGGCCTTGTCTAAGTAAGCATTATCCATTCCTTGGAGCCTCTGAAGCTTCTCCTCAATAGCTTGAGCTCGGTCTGGGCTTCTAAGCTTAAATTTCACATGGTTTATATCCCAATTGGCGATCAGAGCCATCGCGGTATTTGACTGAGATGGTGGTAATCCCCTAGCTCCTTCATCAGGGGGCAAGATATCGAAAGCCCACAGTATCTGGGCAAATGCAATGAATAATGAATTTTTGCCGAATAACTCTCCGGGGCAGACTCGACGGCCGAAACCGAAGACAGGAGGGTCTGGAAGCTCGGGGTTTTCTAGCCATCTCTCTGGCCTGAAGCTCTCTGGATCAGTATATACTTCAGGGTCCATGTTTAATGCCCACAGGTTGGCAATAACCAATGCGTCAGATGGGATATGGTATCCCATGTAGTCGCTATCCTCCAATCCAGTGAACGGCATTGAAAGAGGTGCGAATGATTTCCACCGGAATATCTCTTTTATATAAGCATTGAGAAGTGGGAGGCGCTCCTGGTCATTGAAGGTCGGAAGCCTCTCAGCTCCGATAACCGCATCAATTTCCTCTCTTACCCGTTGGGTAGCTGCCGGATTCTTTAGCGCGGTAGCAGTGAACATCATGATTAGCAAAGCGGTTGAGCTAACTGCTGCAATCTCCAGCTCCGCAACAAGAAACAGAAACTCATCTCTGGACATGTCCTGGGGTTTGTTGTCATGCAGAATCCGGGTCCAGTTCCAGTTGCTATTCTTCAAGCCACGTTCAACACGGCGTGTCCACAGGCTGATGAGGTGTTGACGGTGTGCCTCACCGGTCTTTTTCCAGCGGTTAATAGGACGCGGAAGGATATTCAAAAAAGGGTAGAGTTCAAGGAATAGATTTTCCTTCGAGAGAGTCCCCTTGATGCCTTTGAACGCCTGTTGAAAGTCCCCAATCTCTTCCTCCTCATCCGGGGTCATTTGCTGGCCACTCGTTAACGTTGTGGATACTCCAACAGAATATGCCCAAATATTCTTAATATTCGCGTCGGAAACCAGTAGTCTGAACGCAAGACGCAGACTTTCCCGTTCCTGCACATCTGCATACGCTTTACAGGCTGAAGGAGCGAGGGTCGTAACTAATAGCCTGTGTATCTCCCGTCGTCTTGTAGAGTAGGGTAGAAATATAGGAAAAGTGCTTTTGCTCATGCAGTCCCCGCAGAAGGCGAACCTTGGTGGAGAGCAGTAGACTTTCCCCCTTCTGTTCAAAAGTTCGTTGACGGTTTCATGGTTGCCTAGGACGATGACAGTGCGCTGGCCCATTTCGAGTTTAATGATCGGTCCTAGCTTCTTGTGCCATTCTTGGTATTGAACCCATGGCTCGGTCGTGCGATGTTGATGGAGGTTTCCAATCAGCGGCAAGGGCATGGGCCCTGGAGGAAGTCGTTTTTGGCGGCGGAGTTCAACGAGGAGCCCATGGATATAGTAAATGATGGCGAGGACAATTGTTGTTGCAAGCAACATGATGCTAGGAGGGTTGCTAACTGGTCGTCGATGCCGGCACGACGACAGGAAGGCCAAATAATGTAAACTGATATGTTTCAAGGGCGGGTTGTTGAACCTGTTAATATAAAAGATTAATAGGCCCCCGTCATACACATACCCTTGTGTCCTTAGGATAATTTAACTTTTGCAACCATGGACTCCAGTATATATAATAACGGTAATGCATTATGTTCACATGCCAAAAGTAGGGTTACATTGCCATCTTTATCTTAATAAGCTAACCTTAATCTTATTTACTGGGTAACCTAAGCAGAATGAGACTCAGTCTGCTGTAATAATGAACTACGTCACCAGCTTGAGACAGTATGACCAGTGGTCATCATTAAGTTTAGGTTCTTAGGTTAATTTCACATTTGCAACCATGGACTCAAGATAAACAAGGGGTAATACACTTGTGTTAACCTGCCTAAAGTAGCCTAAGTATGGTTACATTGCCGTCTTATCTTAATAAGCTAGCCTTAATCTTATTTTTCAGGTAACCTATGAGACTTAGTCTGCCGTAACAACAAACTACATAATCAGCTTGAGACAGTATGATAGTGGCCATCTATTATGATACTTATACATGATGGGCCATGGTGGGTCATGGCGATAAGGACTGATGGCAGTACATAGTAAAGAGCTGACAAGCAGCAACATTAATGTCATTAGTAAAGCAGGACGGTTTAACAGTGAAGCTTGAGGCTGTTCTATGTGCTACCAAGTTTCTCCTGGCGTTGCAAAACTCGGATGGTGGTTGGGGAGCCTTTAAAGTTGACAACGATAGTCATGTTTCTGAACAAAGTGCTATTCAGCTACAAGTATTGTATTCCAGACCCTGTGACCGCCGACGTTACTGGCAGAGTGCTTAAGGCATGGTGTATGTTACTTAAAAGGAGCTAGCATGAAGACTCCCTCCCCAGTCAAGTAATATTCTGGGTGCGTCAGTCGGCGGATAGGGCTATCACCTATCCTGTTGCTACCCAAGAGGCCACAGGTGCCTGGTTTGAACGCTGGGATGTGAATTATATTCATGGCACTAGTAAGTAGTAACGTGCTTTATAATTTTGCATAATTTGCAACTTATATTAACAGCATCCTGGTCGTCATCACACCAGCCCTAGAATTTCTGAAATCTATCCAGAATATGGATGGTGGCTGGGGTGAATCCCTACTTTTATATAAGGATACTAAGTACGCAGGTTTTAGACCATCACCAGCTTCGCAAACTGCATGGGCATTGATGGCTTTACTCTTGTTCATACCCACTACTCATACAGTGGTGGTTTGCGGTATTTAATATCTGTTGCGTGCATAGACAAAAGTTGTAGGGAAGGGCTTGTCTTGGCTGGAAAGCCACTCTACAGCTGTTGGGTTTGTAAATTGGTTCTACATAAAGTACGAACTCAATCCGCACTATTTTCCTATGATGGCACTTGCTCGATGGATACAGGCGGCGACCATCAACAATTGATTTGTGCCTTACTGTGTAGTCTGTCCTTTCACCATATTCCCTTTAGTTTGCTTCGACCGATCCCAAGTAGCATAAGGCCTATCTATAGTGGGCGGAGTTAATCGCACTCAGTCTGCACATTATAGTTGAAATATGTAAGTGTTGAAGCATCCCCAGCCCACAATGCTGATCGAGAGCACGCCTGTTGCGAAAAGGACTTCGGTCAAGATCACGGCCGCATTGAACCAACCCGCCTGGCGGAAGTCGACTCCAAAATCCGTCTTCTTGAAAATCCCTCCGCCTTGCTCCAATCCCACCGCACGAGGGCTGGCTTGCTCGGGGGCGTATGCCCCATGGACCTCTCTGCCTGTTTCTCGCTAGACATGGCGATATGGGAGGACGTCTTGGCGCTCTCCAGCTTCCTTCCTTTTATTTGGAAGCTAGGGAAGAGGATCGAGAAACTTTATAAGAGCATATTATTCATAGTTAGATCCCCCAATGTCAGGCTTTCGGATAGCGTATCCCACTCCAGAACATAACCCGTTCAGTATGACCCACTTAGCGGCAAATGAATGCCATGATTCATTAGCAAAAGGTACTGTAATTGGCACTGGCCATAGTGTGGATTAACTCTCAACCCGCAGGAAAGCATATGCAGGATGATGAACTGGGTAATCCTGTCGGCACAGGATATGGAGTTAGACCAGGATGTGCTCCGGAAATATGTCGCTAACGAGATATGAGGGGCACTGGCCAGTAAAATCCAACGGTACAAGCGCTGTCTCGGATGTGGCATAGACTAAACCGTTAGTATGTTCATTAGCTGCCCGGTGGGACGATCCCCAACTCACCTTGGAGACATTTTCTGGCCCATTTAAGCTAAAGTAGTGTTTGTTTTCTTGACCGTAAGATGTTCTGTTGACGAGGGGTCTTCAATCTGCTCTTCCAGTTGTCGACTTGCAATTGAAACATATTACTCATGATACTGGAATGAACATAACCGATTATAACGTGGTCACAGTTGCTTTCTCTCTATACGATCCCTCCCAGTAATCATGCCACATAGCGCCCAGCAGGGCGATTATCGTCTCGGAGTAGACGTCGGCGGCACCTTCACCGACGTCTACGCCTTCACGCCCGACGGCCAGATCGCAAGAGCCAAGGTGCCCACCACCGTTGAAGACCAAAGCATCGGAGTCAAGAATGGGGTTCAGAAGGTTCATCAAATTCTCAAAGACCGTTACTCCTGGGACGGCAAGTTTCAGTTCATCCACCATGGCACCACCACGGCCACCAACGCTGTTCTCGAAGGAAAAGGGGCCCGTACCGGTCTGATCGTCACCGCAGGACACAAAGATATTCTGGCGGTGCGTCGGTCTCAGATCCCTGGTGGTCTGGGGGCCTGGCTGCACTATACTCCTCCGGAGCCGGTCGTGCCTCTGGAGCGAGTGATACAGTGTCAGGAGCGGATGTCGGTAGACGGAAAGACGGTCGTCGCGGTGGGTACGGATGCGCTGCGGGAGGACCTGAAGGCGTGGACGAAGGAACGACCCGAGGCTGTGGCGATCTCGCTGCTGAATTCGCACTGTAATGGCGAGCACGAGGCTTTGGTTGCGAAAGTCGTGCGCGAGGAGCTCGGGTCCGAAGTGACGGTGATCTGCTCGAGCGACGTGCTCAGAGAGGTCGGCGAGTACGAGCGAACAGTCACCACCTGCACCAATGCGCTGGTCAAACCGGTGGTCCAGAACTATCTCAGTAGTCTGCAGGATTTACTGGCGGAGGATGGCGATACGATCCGCATCCTGAAGTCAGACGGCGGCCTGACGAGCTTGGAGCTGGCGGGACAGACGCCCGTCAATATCCTTATGTCCGGTCCTGCTGGAGGGGTCCAGGGAGTGGCAGACGTCGTCACGCGAAATACGCAGTACAAGAACCTGATCACCTTTGATATGGGCGGCACGTCGACGGATTGCGCCCTGATCAACCAAGGGAAGCCTCAGCTTCGTCGTGAGACGGTGGTCGGCCAGCTCACAGTCCGTTCGCCAGCTGTGGACATTCGAACCGTGGGAGCAGGAGGCGGTTCGATTGCAAAATACATGAGGGTCACTGAAACCATGAGAGTCGGCCCGGAGAGCGCAGGGGCCAGTCCAGGACCCGCGTGCTACCGGAAGGGAGGGACCGAGGCCACCGTCACGGACGCCAATCTTGTGCTGGGATATCTGCCCGAGAACCTCTTAGGAGGCAATTTTACTCTGGACATTGAGGCCGCAACAGCCGCGGTCGGGGACATCGCTCAGCAGATGAAGCTGTCTATCCCCCGGACCGCGGAGGACATCATCAACCTGGTGAACGAGACCATGTACGGAGCCCTGCGCCTCGTCTCGGTCGAACAGGGCTATGACCCAAAGGATTTTGCTCTCGTCGCTTTTGGCGGTGCGGGACCCCTTCATGCCAATGCCGTTGGCAAGCTCCTCGGCGCTTGGCCGATAATTATTCCACCCTCTCCAGGCACGCTGTGCGCTCTGGGCGATGCGACTACTCGGCTGAGCCACTCTCAGTCATCTGCATTCATCCGGTTACTCTCTGCTACGACAGCACAGGAAGTGAGGAGTCAGTTTGATGAGCTCGAAGAGACCAGTCGGGCAGCCATGCAGAGGTCCAACGCAAACCGTCCGATGAAGCTGAACATTGGCTATCATGTGGATTTGAGGTATCGAGGCCAGGCATTGAACTTGACCGTCGATCTGCAGGCAGATGAGCTACTGCTGGAGGACAAGCCATTGCGAGAGCTCCTGCAGGCGAAGTTCGACCAGCTCCATGACCAGCAGTTCAAGTACTGTCTTCCCAACTATGAGCTGGAGCTGATGCGCCTCGAGGTCGTTACCGTCGACGCGTCGCCAGGTGTCGAACTGCCGCAGCTCAGCAAGGCGGAATCGCCTGTGCCACCGGCCGACGCAATGCTCTCGAAGAAGCAGATCGTCATAGAAGGCAAGACGATGGAGGCTACCCTGTGGGATCGGGAGAAGCTAAACCGCCAGGGCCTACGGGTAGATGGCCCCTGCATCATCACCGAAATGGACAGCAACACCCTGGTCCTTCCCGGGTCTTACGGCGAAATTGATTCGATCGGAAACATTCTGATCCGCCCAGCAGATGATCTGTCCACAGAGCGTCCGAGAGACCAAACCGCAGAGGTTGCTCTGGAGACAGTCCGATCAGCACCCCTGATCCCTACGCTGGTTGCGACTGCCTTGGCCTCCATTCGCAGCGAAATGGATACTCTCATGCTGCGTTGTAGCATGTCGCCCGCTATTCGGGAGCAGCAGGATGAATTCAATGTCATCACCACTGCCGACGGCAAGATGCTTGTAGGCCAGTTCGGCAGTTTTATCACTCAGTTCCTGGGCGTCTGGAAAGGTACAATCGAGGAAGGGGATGTGTTTATCACCAATGACACGTACATGATTGAAGGTGCCGTGACACACTTGAACGACGTGATCGTCCTGTTGCCCATCTTTTATGAACACCGACTGATCGGCTGGGCATCGCAGTTTGGGCACCTGACAGATGTCGGAGGAATGGTGCCGGGCAGTATGTCCATCAACGCCTCTTCCATCTTTGATGACGGAGTCCAGATCCCTTGCATCAAACTCTACAACAAAGGGGTTATGAACACCGACCTGGTCGAGCTGCTCTGTCGCAACTCGCGCCAGCCGGACTGGTACAGAGCCGACCTGTTTGCGATCATCACCGCATGCCGAACGGCCGCCAGCCGTGTCAATGAGCTGGTCCTGCGGTTTGGATGTGAGGTCTATCTTGCAGCATGCTCAGAGCTTCTCATGCGTAATCATACCGCAATGGCGCAGATCATCGAGACCGACTTCACTGACAAGCCATGTACATTTACCGATTTCGTCGACGACGACGGCCACGGCATTGGCCCCTGGGCCTTGACCTGTACGATGAAGAAAGTCGACAAGAACAGGCTGCTGTTTGACTGGAGCGGGACATCTCCCCAGAGCGAGCACAGCATCAACTTCTATCTCTCCGAGACCATGTTCAAGATGTTCATCGGCTACTATATGATCGCCGCCGCCGCCCCCGGCACTGTGATCAACGACGGCTTCCACGACCTCATCGACATCTATATCCCGGAGGGCAGCGTCCTGAAGCCAGTCCGACCAGCGCCGATATCCTGTCGTACGCATCTGCTAGGCAGAACAATGGACGTCATGCAAGCGCTCATCGGGCAGAGGAACCCAATGTACGCGGCCGCCGCAGGCTTCAGTGACTCTCCCCACTTCTTCTACTCGGGATACAAGCCCGACGGCGAGTGGTATCAACTGTACCAGATTGGCTTTGGCGGCGTACCGGCCCGCAACGCCGGCGACGGCCTCGACTGCCACTGTCTGTTCCCGGCAATCAAATCGATCCCCACGGAGATCATCGAACTGAACTACCCGCTCCGCATCGAAGCGAACGAGAGCGTGCCGGACAGCGGCGGGCCGGGTTTCTACCGTGGGGGCAACGCCCAGCGCACTCTCTACCGGTTCCTGTGTCGCGGCGAGTTCAGTCTGCACGACGACCGGTGGTTTACGAAGCCGTGGGGGATCCGGGGCGGCAAGCCCGGTTCTCGGTCCCGGAAGGTTCTGTACCGATACTCCAAGTCGAACGAAGACCCGCCGGTGGAGGTCCTGCCATCGAAGTGCGACCACATCCGCGTCGACCCGGATGACCTTCTCGAGTGGATGACATGGGGAGGGGGCGGACTGGGCGATCCATTGGCTCGGCCTTCGGAGAAAGTGGCACTAGAAGTGCGTCGCCGGCTGGTGACTTTCCAGGGAGCCTACGAGAACTACGGTGTGGTGGTGAATCCGGATGATCTGAGCGTGCGTGAAGCCGAGACCGAAGCTCTGAGGAAGAGGATGAGGGCTGCTCGGGATGCGATGGGGAAAGCCCAGCAGTACGATCGAGGAGGCACAATTGAGGGATTGACCGAGACTTGTCTGAAGGAGACTGGGCTTCCTGCTCCGAGTCCGCAATGGGAGTTGGAGCCTTATGGGCCGCATATGTCACTTCCGTATGTCAAGGAGTGGTATGCGCGGATGAGAGAGGCTAGGGGCTGGGTGTTACAGTCATAGATCGGCTTCCATCCAATGATACAAGAATACCAGTTCCTATTACTAGATGAGAGGGACAATAGTAGCGATGCTTGAATATAAAATGGGCCACTGCAGCCTAGTTGGCAACATTGAGTCCATAGTGTCATGGGGAAATTGGCTTTTTTAAAATTCATTTGATCCTAGCGACAGTTCCAAACAAGAAACCATAAAATGACACAGGTAGGCTATAATAGAACCAGTTTACTCTTTCTTCGGCCTCCAATCCTCGTGCCACTCGGGGCATGGATAAGCGTAACGGCCAAGCGCCATCATGGGAAAGTAATGAGAGTAGAACGAATATCCCATGTAGAAGTACTTGGGAAATCCAGTACCGGTATAAGCCTTCTCGTGCCAGGTAGCTCCCTGAGAAGCAGTCTTTGTCTGCGTCCGCAAGAGGTACTCCACCCCCCGTTGGATTACCCCTGAGGACGGTGGCAAGTATGGGAGGAGAGCCATAATCCCCCAGGCCGTCTGTGATGCCGTCGATGGGCCAGACCCAGCTCGCGAAGGATCTTTATAGGAATCGACCGTCTCACCCCAGCCACCGTCTTGGTTTTGAACAGTCTCCAGCCATAGAATTGCTTGGTTGACTGCATCTTTTACACTCCTAGCGCTGGTCAATGTGTCGTTCTTCGAGTCAAAATACGCCAATGCGCAGAGTACAGCACTTGTTCCGTAGATGTAGTTGCAGCCCCATCGCCCGTACCAGGTGCCAGATGGTTCCTGTGTGGCGGACAAGTAGCATATCGCTCTTTGAGACGCCGACACAATGCGATCAGTGAAGACGTTTGCTTTATTCTGGGATTGTTGCCGTGCACTGACTGCTAAGAAAACTCCAAAAGCCTCCAGGACGTGGCCGGTGACATCCGGAGTGGAGGGATCACACAACGCTTCCATGTCGCTGAACGGGATCTTGTTCAGAAAGAGGTTATTATTGTCCCGATCAAAGGCACCCCAGCCCCCGTCCGTATTTTGCATCCCAAGAAGCCAATTTAGCGCATCCAGAACGGAGGCCGAGCAAACCAGCCGCTCGTCCTGCCGAATCATTGCCAGGACCGCGGAGGCTGTATCATCCGCATCAGGGTACCAAGTATTGAAATACCCGAAACCGAACCCGCCGGCCTTTAGTGCAAGGTTGTTTACCTTCCAGTCCCCATAGTTGCCCAATCTCTGATGTTGCTGTATCCAGCCCAAAGACCTTGTGAGCCACGGGCTGGACGCCATGCCTGCGTCGCCGAGAGCTATAAGCATTAAGCTAGTGTCCCAGAATGCCGAGACGGTGGTTTGAATTCTTTTCCCCTGTTTGTCATGATGTGCGAAGCGTTCAATGGCTTCCAGGCCTCGGCGGATCGGGTCTGAGTTCACCGGATATCCTTCAAGACTCAGGGCAAGCATAGCTCCGTGTAGCGCCGGCATAATGTCTCCAATGTCTCCCGTACCCTCCTGATGCTCCAGAATCCAGTCAACGCACTTCCGAAGAGCAAAGCGGCGAAGGGGATTCAATGATCTCAATCCGTTCAGACTGTGCAGAATCGAGTCGGCTAAAGTGAAGAAAATTGTAAATGGGTCCGACCTCCACGCCGTCGGGTCATGATTGTATGGTACCATTTTATTCCCCGGGTCGCACCACAGCTCGTCTAGGTAATTGCTAGAGGCTGACTTTCCATCTGGAAGAGCGTAGATTGGGCGATGGTGCGAGATAATAAGATGAGGCACCACAGTGGCCCGCGCCCAAGCTGACCAGTGATACATATTGACCGGTACCCTTGAAGGCAGCAGGATCAACTCCGGGGGCAATTCTGGTACAGCGGCCCAAGGGAATAAGCCGAACATGGCGAGGTATATGCGGGTAAAGATGCGGACCCTTGCGACACCACCTGCTGAGATAGCAAAGTCTCGTGCGCTGCGCATTGCCGCATCATCCTCCGAGACTCCCAGGATCTTCAAGGCCAGATACGCTTCTACTGTCACCGAGATATTACCCCCCTGGCCTGGCGCGATACTCCAACCGCCGTCTGTACCCTGGGTTGAACGAAACCAGGAGATGAACGCTTCTCGGTCCGCGTCGAGCTGGATGCCGAGAGCCTGGCACAGCAGGACATGCTCTGCGGTGGTCGTTGCGTTTGTTTTCACTTCGCCGCACCAGTGTCCGTCAGAGTGCATCTCGTCTCTACTGTGCTGGCCAGAGAGCTTGAGCGCTCCCTTGACTCCAGGGAGCAAGAGATCATATGAGACTTGGCCCCGAATTCGGAGCCCTTCGGTCGTGACAGCCTCCGTCTCTGACATGGTGAAAAATAATTCGTTACGGAGTATTTCAATTGACCGACATACCAAAGTATGGGTTCTACGTTGAGACGGGCTGGCTCGCTAAATATGCTACTTGCGCCGTAGTAGCGGAGCCATGGCGACTTCTTGCGATGCATTTACTAATACATCGTCCATGACTGTAGTCCTTACGAATCCGGCAAACGAGTGGACAGTTAGTAACCTTAAAACTCTATTAGTATCCCGCGCCTGATTCCTGGTGGTTGTAGTCAGGAGGAGTATAGCTCCTGGATGCTAAGCACTATGTCTATCCGTCATCCCACTCAGTTAGAATCTGGGCGGAGAGTATACTTGGAAGGTCTATACATGCTTAATTGCTTCAATGTAGCGGTAATGATGATTGATGCACCCTCTCTACCAAGTGGAAGTTGCTACCAGTACGTTGTGAGGTTGCAAGTAGTGCAGCCGCAAGCTCTGCCTATAGAGTGGTGATGCTGATATAGAGCTCTCAGATCTCTTCTATACACCGTCATGCATTCTCCTGACTGGCTGGGTGAGTTCCGGCTAAGGGACCTGCAGAGCCAACAGCTGGGTCACATCCTTCTAGGGCAGTGGGACGTATGACGGCGGCCTGGACCTTACCATGAAATATGATAAACAGGGAGATAGCCTTTTGAGTCCAGTATTAACGGGTTTTAGCATGGGTCCAGGGATCTGACAGCTGCCGATGCAACCATGTCACATTCCACAAGCCTGCGGATATTCACGGTGTAATCACCCTGTTCTTACATCGTTGTAATCTTGCTATGGTCTTAGCTAATCCCATATAAGATTAGTTAGTATTTATGCTTATTTAATTCGTACATAAAATAGAAATTTATATCCATGTTTATGGGACAGTCATTCCAATCATTGTAGATGTGGTTGATATATGAATATATTTTATACCACTCCTATACCAAATCGAAAGACGCCTATCTAATTAGTCCTTAATAAGTCAGTGATCACTACATATTTAATTAGATCTTTGAATATATAGACCACCTACCCATAGGTTAACCGTAGTGTAGTACTACTAGTAGGCTGCCGGATCGGGAGAGTTCCAGCCGCCGCAAGATACGGATGATCCACTATATAGGTTGAAATCGCTGAGAACGGATGACTAGCACAATACTGCGTAATAAGGGTCAGATAGACTTCTACTGAGTAGAAACGTTATTCTTCTGTAGATATATCGTTGCATTACAGCAATTATATGTGCTCCTGAGATATACATGAGTCTATTCCCATTATATCTAGTCCGTACTGAACGAGTCCAGCTCAATCTTTTCCCAAGCGATAAGCACAGTGACGAGTATTGTATATTCGGTACAATGTCCGAGTCCAAGAGATTGGAGATCCCTCGCGATGTCCATGACCAGCCCTTGATGGTCACTCTCTTCACCATCGGAGTGTGCGTGGGCTGGCTCACTAACTACCTCGCAATGATTCAGAAGTCATTCCAGGACAAGTCCTACGGCATGCCGCTGGTTGCCCTTAGCTGCAATATCGCCTATGAAATGGTATACGTGCTGTATCCCATCGACGCCCCAGTTTGGCCGATTGTCTTCGTCCTCTGGCTGGCTCTGAACCTGGTGGTCTGCTACACTACCCTGCGATTCGCCCCCAATGAATGGGTACATGCGCCTCTGGTCCAGCGGAACCTACTCTGGATATTTGTTGTTAGTATTGCCTGTTGGATGACAGCACATCTGGCGTTCAAGGCCCAACTTGGACCCGTCCTGGCAGCAGCCTGGAGTGCCATGTTCTGCCAGGTGTTTCTCAGTGCCGCGAGTCTCTGGCAACTGATGGTCCGAGGGAGTAGCCGTGGGACCTCCCTTTTTATTTGGTGAGAACTCTTGCCCTCGCTAACGGATTGCATTTAACGATTCTTTCCTGATTCAGGTTCAGTCGCTTCATGGGAACTGCGATTGTCTTACCCCAGGAAATTCTGCGGTATAAGCATAAGGATCCGACCGTGGTATGGAACAATCCCATGGGCTGGTGGGGCGCAGCAGCTTTCTTTGTATTAGATATTTCCTATGGGATCCTTCTCTGGAAGATCCTACGATCCGAGAGGACAGTGGCAGTGAAGTCTGGGGGAAAGGGCAGACTCGAGTCGAACAAAGCAGAGTGAAAGAAGTGGCAGTCAGGGATCTACTGTTTTCTTCGTATAACTGTGATTCTTAAGAAATGGAGCCGGATCAAGTTCTGGCTTACGACCAAGTTTGGAATAATCAGCGCCCATGTACTCGTCAGATAATACCGTTTTGATCCATGGTAATCCGTGGCATGACTCTCAGCCCTGTAAATCCCGATTCCAGGGCTCTAGGCCCCAGGTTCAGAATAGCCCTCCTTTGGTAACGAACGTCATTATGCCGCTTGCAAATCGACTGAGACAAGGTCCACTTGTACTGTGCACAAGGTTGGCCTGCAAAGTTGGTTCGGACCTGGTCTTTTTTGAACTCTATTCGATACTTTATCATTCGAAAGCCTCCGCATGTGATGATACGGATATTATACACAGGTGATACTTCTTAGACTCCTCTATCAGGCTCCAGCAGGATGGACCCTACTTTCAAGATAATCATTGTCGGGGGATCAATTGCCGGCCTGACTCTCGCGCACTGTCTGCACAAGGCAAACATTGCCTGCATCGTCCTCGAAAAGCGACCAGAAATTGCTCCCCAGGAAGGAGCCTCTGTTGCAATCCTGCCAAACGGCGCGCGAATCTTGGAACAACTGGGGCTCTACGACGCGGTCGAGAAGCTGGTCAAGCCGAAGGACGTCTTGAATATGCATTTTCCGGACGGATTTCAGTTCAGCGACCCGTATCCCAAGACCATGAATGAGCTGTAGGTTGCGAACCTCGCCTTGCCTTGTCTCGTCCTGTCTGATCGGTCATGTCTCGACAGCTTCGGGTACCCAATGGCGTGTCTGGACCGTCAACAATTACTCCAAGTTCTGTATCAGTCGTTTCCTAATAAATCGAACATTTACGCAGGCAAAGATGTCATCCGGGTTGACCAACAAGATAGCCATGTGCTGGTGCACACCGCAGATGGATGTACCTACGAGGGTGACCTGGTCGTGGGCGCCGACGGGGTCCACAGCCGTGTTCGAACTCAGATGTGGCGCGCAGCAAAAGTGCGATGGCCTGGACGGATCAGTGATAGAGAGATAAAGGGTGAAGATCTCTTGAACTATGATAGGCGACTGATGCTGACTGTTTTCATGGCTGATAGGCATGAGCATCGAGTATGCCTGTATTTTCGGCGCGTCGGCTATGGTTCCAGGATTGGACGAGCGACACCTGCATTCAAGAGTCGACAACGGGACAGCATTCATCATCATCCCGGGAGTCAATGGACGACTGTCTTGGTTCATCATTGTCAAATTAGACCAAAAATATCAATACGGTAGCGCGCCGCGGTTCTCCGTCAAAGACGCTGCAGCCTGGGGTGAGCGACTGACGGACAAGTACATATGGAACGATATCAAATTCAAGCATATATGGCAGAATCGCGAGGCCTTTGCTATGACGGCGCTGGAAGAGAATATCTTTCAAAACTGGAGTTTTGGCCGCATTGTCTGTATTGGCGATAGCATGCACAAGGTACGTTGCTGACGGAAGTGGATGAATACCGTCGGGTCTGACAATCGCTACTTTAGATGACACCGAATCTCGGACAAGGGGCCAACTGCGCTATTGAAGATGCTGCTGCCCTGGCCAACAAGCTACACGATGCTCTGAGGGCTAAACATCCCGGAGACAAGCTTTATGATGACGAGATTGAGGAAGTCCTCTCCGAATTCAGCAACATCCAGGTCAAACGCATATCCAAAATCTACAATGTGTCGTGGATCGCCGCGCGCTTGCAGTCTCGAGCAAACCTGGTATACAGGGTATTGTTGCGGTATTTTGCTCCATACGCTGGAGACAAACCCGCGAAAAGAGTACTGAGAATTTTAGAGGGAGCTACAGTGTTGGACTTCATCCCCTTGCCGACCCGCTCAGGTCCAGGCTGGACACCGCGCAGGAGAGATCAAAGAGTCTTTCCGATATTGGCTGCAGCTGCGCTTGCATTTCTGTTACTGGTATCAATGGCATCAGTCAACCTGAAATCTGTTGGATATTACATATACTGGATGTCGGTTCTCGGTGGCTTTCTCATGGACAAAATACGATGACACCGCAACGCTACCTGCGTCGATGGCACTATTGTCTCTTTACTGATAGTTCTTCGTAATCCTTGTCGAATCCAGGTCAGGAAATGGTGAGGACGAACTGGTGGAGATGCGATCCCGGAGACCCAGGCCGGAAAGGTTGAGTTACATTGCCGGCAAGCCACCTTAAGGTTATATGTAACCTTAACTTTTTCCGGCCAACCAGAACGTCAGATTTTGACAGAAGAGAGAGTGTGACCATATTGAATAGGACAGAGGCTGATTCTGTATACTGCTTCCGGTTGAATCTTCCAGTGTCTCTCAAGCCAATCATACCACGCCCTTTGGGTGAAACGTCTGGGCCTTTGTATACTGTCTCCCGGTCGATCTTCCGTACTGGCCCTCTGCACAGAAAAGTCAAATAAAGTAGCAGCATAGTTTGTTTCCGCAAGTCACGTTGCAGGATTGAACCATGAGGCTACGCCCAATGATGAGCTGTCCTTGTGAAATCTGGCTCAGGCATGACTGAAGGCCTATAGCACATGCACAATCCTGTATTCGACAGATTCCGGGTTGACAGCGACAGCGTTGAGGCGCTACAAAAGTTTGTCTGCGCTAGTTCTAATTTATTCCTGATTATACAGCCCGCAGTGCTGTAATCGCTTTGCCCTTCTGTCTCAGTGGTCAACGGAAAGAATTAGAGCTACCTTAGTGAACGGAGAACAGCGACATCGAAGGAATAGATGGAGTCCATGGCTGTTCAAATTCCTCTTCGTAGCATAGCCTTTTAAGGTCTTCTATTAGGTTCACCCCACTAGGGATACTCATTCTCGGCTGGCCTCTTCGCTGTCCCAAAGCATTGTCTAAATATGGCCAGTTAGTTGCATTTTCCTTCATGTCATTCATCTTGTTCGCACTCACCGATTCCATTCCCAACACATATTCAGATCCTAATACTTCTCGAAGAAACCGAGAGCCGACGGAATAACATGCTGTATCTCGTCATCTGTCTGCAAGTGGAACAATAGCGGCCCAGTCAGTCACAGATTTTCCCGCAGGAGAAGCGATATACGACAAGAGCTGCGATGTATGAGAAACCGCTCTGGCCTCGTCTGTTGGCTTGTATGGAGGGGCATCGAGGCGCTGAAGGACTTGGGTAATATGATTATACCACTCGCTATTGCCTACTTCTACCAATTGATGCTGATTGGAACATCCCTACCAGGATGCTGCATGCCAAGAGAACGGTGAAGCACAACGCTGCGACACATTCGACTTGGTTTAGTAATTCGGACAAGGATGGTAAGAGACCGACTTTCCGTCTGCCTAATAGATTTAACGGATCCGTCCTCCTTTTGCATCTCTCACGACGAAGAACTACTCTCTCCACCACAACCATGGGCTCTGCGACAGAAGCTCCAAACAAAGAAAAAGATGAAGAGATCCCCGACTGGAATCTCACCGAGGTAGACCGCAAGCTCCTTCGCCAGACCGACGAGGAATACGAACCACACTCCTGGGACGAGCTGAGATGGATAATCCGTATGTAACTGACCGCACTGTGCGGGATATGACCCTAAAGCTGAAGCACAAACTAGAGCAGAATAGACTCGAACTCTTCAAGCGTCTGCCCTCACATCTCAGACGCTACATCAAATGGTCAAAGGGCATAAAAGAGCAATACGGCGGCATCCTCAACTACATCTGTCAGCAGCGACTCCGCTGGGACCAGGAAGACTCCAAAGTCGTGTTCAAGAATCCCATCCCTTTTGTCAGCCCATCCGATTATTGCATCCGCTTCAACGACTGGCCGTACGGGGTTGCACCGGGCATCCGGCACCTGGTCGTCTGGCTGAAGACCCCGTTTCCTGTGCAGGAAGACGGAAATCTGACCACTGAGTCTCGCGCGCGCATTGAGACATTTGTGTCGGCTACGTTTGTGCAGCGCTTGGCGAAGGAGGCCCATGCAGATGCGCCTGAGGACCGCGTGCTGTGGTTCAAGAATTGGGCTGCGTTGCAGAGCGTGTCCGCACTGGAGCATTTCCATGTTATGGTGAGGGATGCAAGTGAGGAGGCTCTGAGAGAGTGGGTTGGGGCAGATAATATGGTGATGGTTTGTGATGTGTCCAAGTGAGCAGTTTATTATATTGAGTTTTCACTACTGCCTTGTCAACATTGCTTTTGCTTTACTATCTGTAATAATGCTTTTTCTCTCTAGGTTTTGCTAGTCGCTCATAGTGCGTGTGGTTCAATGCCTTTGTTTGCCGCATATGTGTTCACCCTGTGAGTTAGACACTTGTTTATAATACTGCCTCAAGCCCTACGAGAACGATCCTTATTCCGGGGAAGGAGCACCCAGATAATGATCAAGAGGACCAACAATGCGAGAATGAAAGGTTGCAGACTTTGCACACCACGTGCCCCGGATATAGCACCAGCAGCAAAGGGCAGTCTACGGCCAACGGAGATATAAGGTTAGCCCGATACTCGAGTAGCTGTTCATAAGCATCGTAGACGAGGAGGCAAACTTACATTGCAGCACCACCGCCAGCCAATGATGACGCGAGCCCAATGCCCGGAGTATGCAGATGCTTCGGAAGCAGCTTGGCCGCCACTACAATTGCTGCGGGAAAGAGAGGGCCTGTAAAGAAGCCAAGCAGCGAGACAGCAACGGCAGAGACGACAAACTTGGGGACCAGCCAAAAGACAAGCTCCAGGGCAATTGAAATAGCAAGGTAGATAGTAATAGCAGTCCGCTCTCCTTCACTCTAGTCAGTATTGAATTGCTAGGGCTGCGTAGGGGGTACATGCCCAACCAGTCGTTCACGACGCCTAGAACCAGACGCCCGACAGTGACGCCAGCCCAGAATCCAGTTGGAACCAGACCAGACTCGAATGGCTCTCCGTTGCGGACCTGAACCATGAAATCGACGACCCAGCCACCCACGGACACTGTCAGATTTAGCGATCAGGTTATTCGCTCAAGAGAAAGTCAGACAACGCACCTTCGACACCCATGTACACAAACAGCCAGATGGCTATCAGCCAGGTAATGGGACTTTTCATCGCCTCCGCGGTTCTGCTCCCACCGCTGCTATCGGGGCTCCTGCGGTTTTTGGCTCTGTAGCTAACTGCATTTTCTTTCCAGAACGTAGCCACGCTGACCAGCAGTTCTAGAACGGAGCCCCCAAGCAGAGTGTAGTAGAAATAGTTCCAGCGCAGGCCAGACTTGATCATCTGCGTCGCGATGGTTGGGCTCAGTGTTGCCCTGCGTCGGCCATCAGCATTGCTGTAACGGTCATCGGACATGATCCACGTACCCGACACCATAAGACGCCCCGAGGAGCCCCGTCATTGTGTTTGCATTGGCCATATCAGCGATCCCGGAATTCCATGCAGCGTCGATGAGGCCATTGCCCAGGCCAACAATCACATAGACAGCCAACATTGCCGGCCAGGGTGGGTGGATGGCCATGATCACGAACGGAATGATATGGCATAGGGGACCGATGATCGCAATCCCTCGTTGTCCAAGTGTCATATGAATCTTGTTGACGAGGAGAGTGGCAATCGTGTATCCGGCAAACGGGGTGACGAAGATCAAAGAGACCACGGTTGTAGACAGCTTATAGTCTTCGCGAAGCTACTTGGCGTTAGTTTCTCGGTGATGAGCACTGATTTAGTTCTATGCATACATATGGAACGAGTGCCTAGGAGAGAAATCATTAGTCTGTACCATGAGTCTGTACAAGGAGAGCTCACTCCGTAGACCCCATCACTCGCTCCTACAACAGCGAAACTGGCGAATGTAGCTAAAATGCGCCATTTGTTGATAGGAGGGTCATTCCATTTTTGCTTTGCTTGAACGATCGCATCGTCAGCAATCGGACCAAATGTATGGACCGAGCTCTGTGACTCTTGTTGTCCTTGCGAAGCAAGCTCAACTGTTGTCGTCGACATATTTGCGGCTCCAGAAGAGAGAAACAGAATTATACAGAAGGAGACGGAAGGAGACAAGAAGGATACGAGATATTAGTGCTGTCATTGAGTCAATAAATACTGCCATGAGCATCTTTCCCCACATGATGAGTCAAGAACTTCCTCTTTCTTGTTGGAGGCTGACCCACTGAGACAGAATCATAGCAAATCTATGGACAGCCAAGTCTCTAGCCCCCAGACTATGGTTGTAAATAGAAAACTGATTCACTGCCTTCTTTCTGACATCCTTAGACCTAGGTGCAGTAGGCTTATATCCGCGCTAGCCGAAAGGAAGGACCGACTGCTGCTTAAGCGTATTAACCAGGATACCAGGATGTAATGACACTATAATTTTAGTATTATATCGCTTTTCTACTCACTTTATTTTGCATGTTGACAAAACGTTCTTACATATAACAATATATAGTAACCGTCTGCGTAACTAAACCTTCATGGTCTTCTGTGGATCTCTCCACCAGGGCGTTGCATTCACCTTGTACCAATCCACAGTCCTCTTAACGCCTCTTCGAGGTTGACAGCCGCATCTATGCAAGTTTGTGGAGCGCGAAAAATTCCATGCTGATGATCGGATCTTAATATCTGTGGCCAGGGATTCGATTTTCCAGTCCTCGACGTTGCCAGCCTTCGTGCCGTCATCTTGATTCGGCACCATAGCATCGATGACTCCGATACAAAGATTGTATTTTGTCCACGCGTGGTCTAAATCTAGATGGTGAGGAGCATCGGGCTCATCGCGCTGAAAGATGGTGTTGACGGGATTGCTGCAATCGGAGACATGCGGATGGGAGTCATCATGGCACCACCAACACCAAGGAGTCCTACTTCCTGCCCGAGGACATGCGCATGTCCGATTCCTCGTTCTTCAATATCTCGGCCAGCGAGGCCGAAGCCATAGACCCTCAGCAACGACTGCTGCTAGAGACTGTCTACGAGTCCTGGAGCGGGCAGGTCAGCGGGTACTCCTCCATGGGTGTGTTCTGTGGTCAGATGATGGCAGTCTGGGCGACTTGCGTGGAAATCAACAATCAAATATGCCCCCGGCTATACCATCACCGGCCTGGCGCAGACCATCCGTTGTGATCGATACGGCTTGTTCTTCGAGTCCGGTTGCCTTGCATCAGGTCGTGATGGCTTTACGCCAGGGAGAATGTTCAACAGCAGTAGTGGCGGCAACCAACCTTCTGCTACACCCCAATCGTCTCTGTGTCTCGACTATCGAAGCTTCAGATGTTGTCGTCCACTGGCCGCGGCCGCATGTGGGACGCAAAGGCTGATGGCTATGCCTGTGCGAGGGCATTGTGTCTGCTGCCTTGAAACGCCTCAGCGATGCAGTGGCTGATGGTGACCCGATTAAATGCGTGTTCCGAGCCACATGTGTTAACCAAGACGGCCGCACGCCGGGCCTCGCCATGCCGTCTGGGAAAGCGCAACTGGAGCTGATCCGGTCCGCTTACCAGATGGTTAACCTGGACCCATCGCTTCGTGCCGAGGATCGATGCCAGTACTTCGAGGCCTATGGAACCGGCACTCCCGCCGGCAATCCTGAAGACGCTTCAGCCATCTATCAAGCTTTCTTCAGAGACATGCCATCTCAGCGGCATGCCGAGACTGAGAAACTGTTTGTAGGATCGATAGACAGTGATTGGACATACTAAAGGCACAACTGGCTTAGCAGGTATTGTCAAGGATTAATTGTGCATTCAGCATGGAATTATCCCACCCAACCTCCTGTTTGGCCAGCTCAGCCCACAGCTTGAGCCATTTTCTGCCAGTCTAAAGCTTCCAGTCACGGCTATGTCATGGCCGGGCTCTGAAGCTCGCGGTCCCACGCCGCGTGTCTGCTAACTCATCTAGTTTTGGGGGGACTAATGCGCATGCGATTTTTGAGGGCTATGAGGAAGGCATAAATGCCGTAGACAAACCCGTTGAATTGGCACTTAAATCTCCAATCCCTGTCGTGCTGCCATTTGTCTTCTCTGCATCTTCTGCAAGCACTTTCTGGAACAGTACATTCAATATCTCGAGGACAGTTCCGATATCGACCTGCTGGTCATGGCGTAGACATTACTACAGCGACACATCATTTTTGACGCACCGTATCGCCGTCTTGTCAGATACAATAGATCTCCAAATTACAGGAATCCGCGAAGAGCCGGACCTCCTCAAGGCCAATAGCATCGTAAGTTCCCAGCCACATACCGATGGGACGAAGCACGTCTTGGGGGTTTTCACAGGCCAAGGCGCACAGTGGCTGCAGATGGGTTTGCACTTTATTACTCACTGCCCAGAGGCCACGATCTGGTTGGACGAAACGGGGAGATCACTCCCTGTCGCGCTGCGACCAAGCTTTTCCCTTGAAGAAGAGCCGGCTTGCATCTCAGACTCACCCCAGACTGCATGAGGCCGTGTTGTCACAACCACTATGCACGGCGCTTCAAATCATCCTTGTCAATGTTCTTTCTGCCTTAGGTATCTCCCCTACTGTAGTCGTCGGTCATTCATCTGGTGAAATTGTACGCTGCCGGGGTTTTCTCATGGGCTGACGCCATCCCAGTCGCCTACCTGCGCGGTCATGTTGCGAGACTGGCAGGTGAGGGAGCAATGCTGGCGGCTGGAATCTCTCGAGAGGAGGCCATCGCGCTCTGCCAGCAACCAGGGCTTGATGGCAAAATCAGCTAGGCGGCAGTAAACTCATCTTCCAGTGTCACACGCTCCGGTGACCGTGATGCCATATCCCAGGCGAAACAAATACTCCTGGACGAGAGGAAGCTTGCGCGGCTTCTCCGGGTCCACACTGCATACCATTCCCATCTCATGGCTTCCTGCGCAGAAGCTTACCTGCGAGCTTTAGACGCAGTAGAGATTCAAATCCGCTCCCACACGTGGTCACGGTGGTATTCCAACGTCTATTGAAGGACAGGAGATTATGACGGAACAGCAGGGCTACAGTATGAGCATGGACTACTGGAAGGACAACATGGTCAAGCCTGTCTTGTTTCTCCCCGGCCTTGCAGGAAGCATTACGCTCCAGCAGTGACGATGTGGCCCCTGATATGGTCGTCGAGGTTAGGGTCTCATCCGGTTCTCAAAGGCGCCGCACAACACACGATCACGGATCTCTTCCCTTCACAGGTTCCCTGCGTCAAATTACTGAACCGTAGCCGAGGTGGCATCGAATCATTGGCCAAAGCGATCGGCGCCTTGGGACCAAATTCAACCCTAAGTCCTGATCATACACTTGATCAGCAAAAGCAAACCATGGATCTAATAGCAACATTTTATATTAATTAAGATTGCACCTTCGCACCACCGCCAGTGATACCAAGATAGATGACGTATACCGGTTACTCGGGAGGAAAGTCAAAGGAATGGCAACGAAGAGCGAACAGTGACTGTGATGGATTCAAGACGTACAAATTTATACAATTCCTAATATCCTTAGCCGGAAGGCTACCCTTTACATGCATCCTCTGAGTTTAGGCTGGGTAATAGATTATGGCAAGTGAGAGGTGATGTGATATGCTCATTCCACACGGCCTGATATCCGCGAACCCTCAATAATTCTGCAAAGCTTAAACGAAATATGAGTGCTCATTAGTGCATAGGCTGGATCAGGCTGTGTGCAGTAAGATCTTATTATGCCATCATATCCATGTAAGACTCTGAAGGGTGCTATTCCATGACGCAACACCTGTATCAGTTGCACCACCCTCCGCTTTTTGATATATATAAGATACACAACCCTCAGATTTTGCAGTTTGCTTGGGATAAGAATTGAGTTTCAAGGTTCCTCTCCAAGCACTGATTAAAGATGAATGTGCATGAGTTATATGTGTACCTGTGTGGAAGAGGTGGAATTACCGTTGGCATTTCCATGGTATTAACTCCAATCTCTTCATTCCCCGGCTAATTGATGGCTATAAGTTCTGATGCGTGAACAGGTGGTATGCTATGTAATTACCCACGCCGTCTATACTGTGTTCTTTCATCCCTTAAGTCGCTTCCCCGGCCCACTATTACACAGGGTGTCGCGACTGCCATATGTCTATCGGTTGGTCAAAGGGACGCTTACCTTAGATGCACTCGAAATGCATCAACGCTACGGAGATATTGTACGAGTCGCCCCTGATGAGCTCTTTTTCGCTCACCCAGATGCCTGGTCGGACATCCACAAGAAAACCGGGAAGCAGATGGATAAAGCACCATGGTTCTACCGGCCTATAGAGCAGAAGCCACGATGCCTTGTGGAGGAAAGCCCCGAGCAGCATAGCCGGCTGCGGCGACAGATGGCGACTGGATTCTCAGAGAAATCGATGCGAGACCAGGAGCCAATCATCCGGGGTTATATAGATCTCCTGCTGCAAAAACTACGGGAGAAGAGCAATGACGGTCAGCCCGTTGTCATCTCAGACTGGTTCAACTACACTACGTTTGATATAATTGGTGACCTGGTCTTTGGGGAATCCTTTGAATGCTTGGGGTCTTCTAAGTATGATGGGTGGGTCAAGAGTATTTTTGACACCTGTCGCCCCTTAACACTTGTGCAAGCTCTCTCGTTCTTTCCATGGTTGAAACGAATTGCCCTAGACCTGGTCCCTAAGAGGAGGATCGGTCTGGAGGAAGATATCAAGAGACAACAACAGCATACAGAAGCCAAAATGCGGCGCCGCATGGCTATCACTGCAAACCGGCTGGATCTGATGGAAGGGTTGCTCAAGAAGAAAGGCGAATTAGTTAGTAGTTTGGCCCTTTGATCCAGGGACACATTGGCACTAACAACCGTCCACTGTCGAATTTACAGAACCTAAGCACTGACGAGCTTATTAATAATGCTCAACTCCTCATCTTCGCAGGTTCAGAGACGACTGCATCCCTCCTCAGCGGAGTTACCTATTTACTGCTCCAGAATCCGGTGGCCTATCAGCAGTTAGTTGATGAGGTGCGCTCAACTTTCGGCAGCGAGAAAGAAATCAACTTTGGCAGTGTCAGCCAACTCACATACATGCTGGCTTGCCTGAACGAAGCTTTGCGAATGTATCCACCAGTGGCGAACAGTCTTCCGCGTATCGTTCCTAAGGGAGGAGCCCAGATTTTGGGGCAGTATATTCCAGAACAGGTCAGAAGACATTGATATGTTAATGAGTCATGAGCAACATCATTAACTATATCTACAGACATATGTGGCTATCCCCCAGTGGGCGCTCTACCACCACGAGGAATACTTCGCTGAGCCTAATGCTTTCCACCCTGAGCGCTTTCTTGGTGATTCTAGGTTTGCGAATGATCGACGAGATGCGCTGCAACCATTCAGTGTTGGCCCACACAACTGCCTTGGACGGAAGTAAGTTAACTTTAGATGTTGTACTGGGAAGCTTACTGACTCCATCTTTAGCCTTGCATACGCCGAAATGCGTTTAATCCTCGCCCTTATCATTTTTAACTTTGACATGAAGATTGATCCTGACTGTCGTGACTGGATCCAGCAGAAAAATTATACCCTCTGGCAGAAGCCTCCGCTTAAAGTCTACCTGGAGCCAGTTGCAAGGAAGTCAGAGTCGTAATTAGGTATAATGAGTCTATATTTTGACCATTTTCAGTAGTAATCCACATCTCTAATATCGGACTTCTTCCAGGGACGAACTTCTGGAGCATTGTCGTCATCTAACACAGCCAGTCTTTCTGGTGATGTAAATTAGCATGGTCATCTCCACAATTTTGAGGATATTACTATACCTGTACTGTTCTCTAATCCAACCCACACTGAACTCAAGAGGGTTTCCCTACACTGGAACTTTGTAGGATTCGGTCCAAAACCATCAGTTATTAGTAACCACTAAATTTAAGGATATCTCTAGAAATTTAGATATCACTAGATAGCCTAGTGTCTAGGCTTATAACTTCATTATCTTGAGGAACTGCTTGGCTGGAATAGAATGTGAAAATGGCAGAATAGTACTCTAAAGGGACCAAGGGGTCATCCACAGTCCCAAATTCTGCACAGGACGGACCAAATCAAGTACTTGGACAGCATTGTGGCCGTCATCGACACGTTTCGACTAGACAATCAATGATGTAACACTGAAGAGAATCCTACAGCTGTATCCACGCCTTCGCAATATGTTAGCCATGCCATCTCACGAAAATGTGTCTAGGTGGAGATGCTGTGGCCAGCCATCCGGTAACACCACGGTTAACCCCAAAATAGATGACTCGTGTTGAAATAAGGGCAACCCAATTACGCACAGGGCATGGCCGAAAGCAGGAGATTAGAGACACGGCAATAAGCTAGTCGTCATATCTACACACTGAGTCCCTTCCAGCCGATGAGATCATTTCCTTTATTAGGGCTCAACAATGTCAAACGAGCTGTATTAAATAAGAGTACGACCTCATATATAGTCTACTCAAGACTTCAACTACCCGGACCAGTGCATTCCTAGTCTGAAGAGACCCTACAGTGACAGTTCCTCCTGACACTACCGTTGCTAAGAATGGCCCAGTTCGAGGGGCTGCAGGCGACTCAGGGCTATCTCGAGAACCCTACTGCACTCACTGTAACGAGCGTCGGCATGTGTGTATGCTGGCTTGCTAGTTACGCTGGAATGATCCGCAAGGCGTTTCAGGACCGTTCCTACTGCATGCCATTGATGCCACTTTGCTGCAATTTCGCCTTTGAGTTCATCTTCTCTGTGATTTACCCCCCGAGGGAGGACCCCGTTCTGCAGTATGTCTGTGCAAGCTGGCTGGCTGGCAATGTCATGGTGGTTCTCACAACTATAAAGTTCATGCCAAATGAGTGGAAACATGCGCCGCTAATCCAGCAGAATATTCTCCGGATATTCGCTGTTACTATTCTTGGTTGGATGACGGTACATTTGGCATTAGTCGCCCAGTTTGGACCAGATGATGGATTAGCATGGGCTGCTTGTTTCAGCCAATTACTTCTTGATACTTGTGCCCTGTGCCAACTGATTGTCCGAGGAAGCAGCCGGGGGGCATCCTTTTTCATTTGGTATGTCAGGGAACGCAAGCGATTTTCAAATATGTCTTAACTAATTAATTCCTTTACTGGTTGACAGGCTCAGCCGCTTTGTGGGCACTATTTTTGCCGTACTATATTTTACTTTGCGGTTTCGCCATGGACACGTCATATGGCACAGTCCGTTAGCATGGTGGGGTGCAGTGGTCTTCTTTCTGCTTGACAGTCCCTATGGAATCCTTCTCTGGCATATTCAACAGTCTGAGGGGAATGGCCAGCGGCGGAGAAAGGCTGGGTCAGAGATAAGACCAAAATGAAAGAGGGAAAAAAAGCTGGACAGCTGGTGAGCGTTAAGGGTGTTCCTCTGGTAACCGGACCATCTGGCAATCCTATGTGGAGCCTTCAGCATCTAGTGTTGTCCTTCACAAAACGACCTGGGAAGTAAGAAAAAGTAAAAAGGAAACCATAAAGTCTGGCTGGACGTGTTGGATTTGGCCATTGCATTATCCAGAGCCGGAACTCATGTACAACCGGGATAAACAGTGGCGTCCCATCGCTTCAGCTGAGACTTTCAACTGGATTGCCACGGCAAACCTAAAATTTAGTTCCTGCACAGCCAATAATTCATGGTTGCAGCTAAAAGCATAATACAGCTTCTAGGTAACAAGGGTAGATGGTTAGGAGCTCTGACGCGCCGGAGTTGAACACTCGGTACGGATCCTGTCGGCAGGCTGCCTACCATTCTATTTGTTCGGCTGGAAGGTGCATCCGTCAATCTCGTCCGTCTGATTCCAGCGGCCAGTACGAGCTCCAGATGAACTATGACCACACAAAATGTCCCAAAGACACTCGCTTCTTCCCAAGAGTGTGTCCGCCTGCATATCTATCCGATGTTCTAGGGTACTGTTACAAGGGCCACGCAATTTGATAGAATCAGGAAAACTTACCTCGCTGCCGGTGGTCAATATATCAAGGCATACTCTGCTACGCAGACCGAAGTAAAGCCAGGCCTCGTCGTTGACTGGGTTGGGTCGGTCCGATGACTCTAACCAACTGTCTGTCCGGGTCGGTCCACTTTTGCCGCCAAGGTCCACGGGAGTCTGGTGCTGGGTGAACTCTGACATAATGGCCAAAAAAATTAGAAAAAATTTAAAAAAATAAAACTAAAATTTCATATTGAAAAATAGTAATTAATACTAAACATGAGAAAATAAAAATAAAATGACAAGGGTGGGATTCGAACCCACGCCCCTTTCGAGACACGGAAACTGATTAACAGTTTATAGGTCCAGTTCCTGAACCGTGCTCCTTAGACCACTCGGACACCTTGCCTTAACTATTTATAGTGCGGGATTATAATGTATAATTGGAGACTCATGAAGGCAGGCTCATTTATACACTAGGAATTTACCATTTGAGTATCAATAGAACAGTGATTTAGAGCGTCATTTACATTCTCTGTCGAAAATCAAACCAAGTCTGCCCCACGCTCATACTGCCTCAGTGCTCGCACATACCTGCCAATTGCCATCATGGGGAAACAATGCGAGCTATAGGACGAGCTGATATATGTGCAGGCTGGAGAACAAGCCCTCATTGACTGATCCTCCGTCCATGTTGCCCCTCCAGGAAGTGTCTTGGCCTGCGTTTGTATCAAATACTCCACGCCGTTTCGGAGTACGCTATCCATGGGTGACAGGTAAGGCAGTAATGCCAGGAGTGCCAAAGCTGTCTGTGACGCTGTAGACTCCTCACCTTTTTCTCTCCAGCAAATGTCGCCCCAGCCTCCATCTTGATTGTGGAGGCTCTCAAACCAGTGGATAGCTTGGGACACATCGTCGTTGATACTGTCATCTCTCTCGGTCCATCTGTTGCGCTCTTTGACCCCGATGAAATACGCCAATGCGCGGAGGACAGCGCTTGTCGCGTAGATGTGATGCCTGGTGCAGCACCCAAACCAGGCACCGCAGGGTTGTTGGGTGACAGACAGGTAGTGTATTGCCCTTCGAGAAGCTGATGCGACATGATCGATCAATGTCCCTTGCGCAACCAGTTTCCTATTCCGTCGACTCACAGTCAGAAGCAAGCCGAAGGTTTCGAGGACATGACCAGTCACGTCTGGCGTTGACTGACGAACAAGTGTCTCACTGCACCCTAGCGATGCCCATCCGCCATCTGAATTCTGTCGCTCTAGGAGCCATTCGAGAGCGGTGACAAGGTGTGAGCGGAGCATGAGAGGATTCTGTTGAATTATCGCGTGAATCGCGGATGACACATCATCCACACGACGGACCCGAGTATCGAAAGCCTTGAATGCGTGGTTATTGACGTCTGAAAGCAAACAGCCCTGCAGCCATTGCACAGAGTTCCTGAACCACGGAGCATCGGCTGCGACGCCAGCGTCTTCGAGCCCTGTAATCATCAGACTGCTGTCGCGGAAGGTTGTATTCGCGCTCGAGATCCGCTTTCCGTCCTCATCTTCATACACAAAGTGTCCGATACTGTCCAGACCCGTGCGCAGAGGACGAGAGTGGACCGAGTAACCCTCCAGCTTCAATGCAAGTATCGCCATGTGCGGCGGCCGTGAGAGATGCCCGACACCTCCCATTTTCTGCACGGTCTGAAGGATGAACGCAACACTCCGATCAAGCGCATAGCGTCGGAGGGGAAGGACGTATTTTAGGAAGCTCAGGAAATGTGCAATCAAGTCTAAGGAGGTTGAGGCCAGTGCAGTGTCCCCGCAAGTGCGAGGTGGAGAAGCGCAAAAGGCTTTCTCTTGCGGTTCTTCTGGTTTGCACCGCAATTCATTCAGGTATGTGCTGGCTGCGCAGTCCTGAATGGGTAATGGGAAGATTGGACGATGGTGGCAAAGGATGAGGAGAGGGACCAGCACTGTATGGTCCATCGCTGGCCAGCAGCATATACTGCTTAGGATATGTTGAGGCAGCAATATCAACTCCGGAGGCGGACTTCGGATAGCATTCCAGGGATATAAGCCAAATATTGCAAGATGAATGCGGGTAATAAAGCAGACCTTCCCTATGCTTCCTTCCGCTAGGATGAATGATTGCGATCTGCGCATTTGATGGACATTCCGTGACACACCTAAGATTCTCAAAGCAAGATAAGCCTCAACCGTAACCGAAAGATCGCCAGGGTCCCCAGGGTTGATGCCCCATGAGCCATCTGAGTTCTGGACAGCATAGAACCATGAGATGAACGCATCTCGGTCTTTATCCAAGTTGCTGCCAAGAGCCTGGTGCATGAGGATATGCTCTGCGGTTGTTGCAATGCTGTCGATCCTGGTTTGTCCGCGCCAGTTACCACCTGGTCCTCTCTGGAGTTTGCTATATTGGATGGCCAATCGAAGCACCTGATTCGTCTCTGACAGCAGGCAATATTCCTCTGGAGAACAGCCAGCCAGAGGCGACCCCAACTCCACTGTACGAGACATTTTGTTATGCGGATATGTGGTTATCAGGCCGGCGAGCAGCACCCAGCAAGCAAATGTATATCTAAACCCTCATGCCAAATACTAGACTTAAACTTTTGCAGACGTGCCTGCCGCCTCACTGATAACTGCATACTAAACACCAGAGGCCTAACTACGCTTACACTTTGGTCTTCTCTGAGACATTGTGCCTCTAGCCTGGGTTTACAGTTCTATGATCCGTATATCAGCATAGTAGACTTCAGTCCCCTTGGGTGGCGGTCTCCTCCCTCACAAAGAGCTCTGACGTCTATAGGCTGGGACCTAAGATCAGCCGGTGGTTGCGGATATGACGGATATGACAGGGATTTTGGATGGTGGCTGAACAGGCTTTGGGTTGGAGCAAGGGGGTTATCCTGGAATTTACCAGGGAAAAATGTTCCCCTTCCGTGGAATGGGATTGTCATGGACGCCGCTCCATTAACTTACTTTGATGTAGGTTAGCTTTTTCCTGTAAATAAAGTTCTAACGGCTCCAGCTGTACAGTTTTGGGTGGGCCCATGAGGTTGATTATGCTTGATTCATCGATGTCGTATCACATCGCCCAGATGGCGAACGTCCTGGTAGTACTAGATCGATGGAGATCTTGTTTCTAGGAGGGCCCATGTAGGATTTTGACAGGCACTCGGCTTCGCAAGCTGAATCAGTCTCTGGCCGAGTTGACGTTCCAGAGATGCAGCTTGTTCGGCAATCTAGGGTGCCACTGGCAACTGGTAGGAGACTCCATCACGCCCGTCAGTTCTAACAGTACCTTGGCCTAGATTAGCCGGACCATGCAAGGGGCTTTGTGTGACATGCCATCCAACGGTGGAATTCCTCTATTCGTCCTGTGCTCTTATATGAGAGTACTGTTGTGAAGAGGCGTATTGGCCAACACAAATCAGCAACAGAAAGACTCTTTTCCCGATGAACCGCCACCGCTCAAGGTGTTTTAGATAGGTTCTTCTAAACTCTGTGTGCTGTAAGAGGATAGATACTCGCCTTAGTGATACTCGGACAGGAAATACCAGACTGTACCACGGATCATTGACGGGCACCGCAATAAACTCAGCTTGACAGTCCATGACATCTTAATACGCCCCAGGTCGGGGTCGCTTTACTCTCTTTCCTTGCCTTGCATGCCTGAGCTATGAATCATTTCTCACTGCATAAAACGGGGCCTTTCTCAAAATGCCATCTTTGGAATCTATGACCTCACAGTGATTACCTGCTGAGGTAGTCCTTTCCAATCTGTAGTACGCTTTGACCTCGAGGAAATGCTTTCTGACCGTGTGCATCTACCGTCAATGTAACCTCTCCGTGGCTTCTGAATTTGTTCAAGGCTTAATCTGACGAGATAGGGTTGAAGACGTCAAGAATGACAGGTCCCGAAATAAAGAGTCCATGACTGAACGACTGCAAATGACAGCAGAGCAAGGCAAACTGGTTCTGTCCCACTTCCCAATAAATTGACAGAAAGAACGCAGGATATTCCCTTCGCGCACTTGGCAAGCCCCTTGTGTTGCAGTCGTTCTGCAGAAGCGGACACTCCATAATTTACTCCAAAAATGTCGATCATGGAAGCTGTACTGGGCCTACTGGCTGTCCTCTATCTTCTACCACGCACCCTTGCAGTCTACATTGTCAGTTCATATACAGTCTGCATCATATGCGAGCGCTTAAGCTTTATACCGGCCTCTTTGCTACAGTACGAGGCAGGCGATTAGGTCAGAATCCTGTTGAGTGGGTTGAAAGTGAAGACTATGCTCACTCCTAGCTAGCTCTATTCGACGATGTTATCAAACAACATTCTACCCTTGTTGCAGGACGGTGAGCTGGATGTGAATTTAAATATGGATGAGCTTTTATGAATTACGCAGCTTGTTTGGCTTTTGGCACTGTGTCTAGCATACCGAGAATGTATACTATATCACAGGCGCCATTCGAATTAAGACCTTGCTAAAGAGTAGGCGAGTCTGTAGGCAGTAGGCTAATTAGATTCTTGTGGGCTTGCACGCCATCTTTAAATGCGACGGCGCATCGATATGTTCCAAGTCCAATGACCACATAAGTATTGTCGTCCTCGACCCAGCTCAAGCAAGATACCGGGGCAATCCAGAAAACCACCACAGTCGAGCCTTATAACACTGTAGCTGGCTCTTAGTTGACTTCGGCGGTACAAGTATATGTCCGCCACAAATTATATTCTGGAGATTTTTGTCGAGATGTTCGATATCACAGTTTAAAACGATATAGGTGATAACCATTTGAGCAGATGAAGATCAAAATGTCGATCCGGGCTGATGAGTATGGTAGGTCAGTGAGAAATCATTCAAAGCATTTCCCAAAGGGAGAGAAAAGCTCACCACGCATGACGTCCGGAGTTGAAAGGCAGATATATCGAACTAGGTGTTAGCCTAGCTGATCTTCTGCGTGGGCATACCCATGCCTTGGAGTATATCTTTCCCTGCTTGGAGCTCATGCCATCCCCGATAGGCTGCTCCTTGAGGAATCAGAATGGCTGGTATGACTGTCCTTCATGGTAGAACCTCTCGTCCCTATGGACATCCAAGGTGGACGCGGCAGTAAACATACCCCGTGGCAGGTGTTGGCCCGTGGACAATGTGATTTCAGATGGATGTATACAGAAACACCGGAGTCAGACGTAATGTTTCCCGAACAGCACTATCTATGTAATGGAGCTTCTTGAAGGACAATGGGACTGCCCTTTATTTCTCTGAACTGAGGACTGTTGCAGCTTTGCTAAAGCAATCTTTTTCAGAAGTCTGCTCTCTTTATTCCTGCTCAGTTTGCTCCAGCCACTCCTTCATGAGGGGTGTGGTGGCAGACCACTCTCTCCTTTCAGCAAAGTGCAAGGGGACTGAGAAAAGTGCCAAGCAGCAGCTGTAAGAACTAAGAACCAGGGAGTTAATTGACCACACGCTAACATGGCGGCCCTTTGGAGATTAGTCAATTGGGTAAGAGAACCTAAGTAGCTCGCATCGGGGCTCAGCGGCAAGCCGCCCCATGAGATCTGGCTACTGATCCCGAGCATAACTCTTTGCATCGCTTCAACAAGCCGGACTCTTTGCCAATTATGACAATCCTTGCCAAACTCGTGGTCGATATTTCGGCGGAGTTCTTCAGCGAACTCACACTGAATGCGGTGTATATTCTGAGTGCGAACCTGGCTGACTACATGAATGGCAATCTTCTCATTCAGCGCAGAAGCACTGATGCGAAAAGAGGTTCTTATTTGGAAACTATGACCCAAGTCTTCAAACACAGATAAAAGACTGTCAGGTTGACGGCATCCATTCAATGTCCTTCGCTGGCAAAATGCCTTGAGGGCGTAGGTTGGCATTGGTATGGATAAATAGCCGATCATTTCGATTAAACGACTCTCATTGGCATTATTAGATCACAGCATGTGTAAAGGAATATTTTTACCTTGTCATATCCTTCTGAAAGACTAGTCACGAATGCAGACTCTAAGCCCACCAGAAATATCCTTCCTTGCCCCAACGCGGAAAATCCCCCTGGGGAATGAAGGGGTAACCTTCCATTGCCCAACAACGACAGCGATAAAAATGGGGAACAAAGCGCAGAGAATGTGAGCAATAGATAAATTTGGGGAGATAAAAACTACCAGCAGCTGGATCTTCCTGCGAAATTGCTGCTCTACGGATACTGGACACAGAAAGGTTTAGGATGCATATCCTAAGGTCTAGTGGCCGGATCTGGAAGATACCCAGCGAACATATGTAGGCCAGGCTAAGCCATGAGAAGAGACTGTAACCTATCATGGTTATGACAGCCAAGAAAATAACCTTAAATGCGGTCCATGGTCAGCGTATCCACGGGGCTAGAATCCAGACAGGGTTACATTCCGGATATTCCAGGCCGGATAGGCTCAATTACAGTGGGGAAATGATAAAGTCTATTGCTGATTGCAGAGCAGTCTCAGCAGCCTCAGTACAATTCGACATTCTGCAGTTATAGACCACCCAGGTTGTAAGAATCGTCGGTGTCGATGGCCACTATGCCGTGTCTTTGATGTCCTGCAGACGAAACCCGTTAAGCCAACATATCAGTCGTATTCATAGACATGGATCCTTGTACCCTTGGCATAGTTACTAGAAGAATGCTGTCACCCAAAGTTTATCAGGCCTGTTGCTTGAGCCATAAGTGTAGCAATTTCAGCCACGAGACATAGCCAGGAAAATAATTCCGCACAAGATTTGCCTCTCATAATAATACTATATAGTCACACTTCTGGCTCGTTTGCAATAACCCCTTCAAAACAAGCAGCGTAATCGCGCCATCTGGTGCAACGCAGTGCGAGGTGCGCAGCGGAATATGTCTTATTTCTTCATACTCGCGCTTGAAAGAGCGATGGGGAGCGCGAGATCTCGGCCTCGTGGCTTCTGTTCCGCAGCGGGAAGACAGGTCCTAGAGCCTGATACAAGTTGCCGATTGAGCATTATATGTCGCTGTAATTGCTATGTTGAATAATGACGAGGCACAGAGTATGCTCCAGTGTCGCTTTCAAATCGAACACAAAGTGGAAAATGATTCTCGACATACACTGTTCGTGCCTCATACCCCGATAGAGGGCAGCAATACGAACAGCCTAGACCACGATAGTACTAGAACTAAGACACCATCAAGTCCTCCAGGCGTGTATTTATAACCTGCAACACTGCATTTCTCCTCTCATTCTTTATTTCCTATCACTGCCTTAACAGATAGTGAAAGCCACATCAGCATGTCTGACAACGAGGGCAGCCAATTTGTGCTCGAAGATTCAGACGGTGCATCCGTTGGCCCTATCCCCAAATCTGCCGAAGAGATTGCGAATCTCCGGGACTGGCGTATCACTGCTTACCTGAGTGATACAAGCGAGTCCAAGAAGCATTTAAACGCACACGTTCCTGGTACTGGAGAGTGGTCCTCCAGACAGGATGCGACGTGAACTATCTGAATTTTGACGCCCAGACGGCGTTGCACTACTCTGTCGAGAATAATTCTCCCTGTGACGAGAGGCTTTTGTGGCTGGGAGCAGACGTACACGCCACGGACACCATGCGAAACACGCTGCTGCACTTTTTCCGCCCGTCCAATGCCTCGGAGCGGACCTTGGAAGCTCTGATGCAATATGGAGCAGGCTGGGATGTCATGCGAGCGGAGAACGGCAAGTCAAATAGTCGCTTAAAATGGCTTCATGCGGACTGTCTCGATGTTCTCATCCCATATGTTCAAGACTAGAACATTCCAGACACCCAAGGCAATACACCCCTTCATCTGGTACAGTCGATGCACGAACTTGTGCCGCAGCTGGTGGCTCTGGGGGCTGATCCGAACCGGCCCAACAATGCTGAGAAACTCCGTTGCACAAGGCCAGCTCTAGTCAAGATCGTGAGTGCTTGATCCGCGCAGGGCCTGATATAGAAGCCAGATATCCCCGCGGGAGGACCGTTCTTCTGCAATCAGGAGCATTCAAAGAACTCCTCGACATGGGTGCCGATCTTCATGCCACCGATTATCAAGGAAACGGGGTTTTACATTTGGCTTGCGATGTGTCCTGAATCCCAAAAGATACAATTCCTGTTAGGCTTGGGAGTAAATCCACTGCATGTGGATCATGAGGGAAATACGCCTCTGCATCACTTGATCCAACATGCCGTTTGTCGCAATCCAGATAGAGTCATTTTTGCGCTCTACTTGCAGGACGAATGTTCCAGTCACTGCCGGAAGTTTAAAGGTCAAACAGTTTTACATTCCATGTGCAGCGGTGATTCTTTCCATCCTGAGCGACTGCTTGATGAGGTGGATAAACCCATGAACCACTTGCCAGCGTTGGAGAACCTGTTGCATCTTATCGCGAGGCTGGGCTGCACCCACAAGTCCGGCTTTGCTGGATCCTCGGCAAAGGAACGAACGATATATGAAGTCTTTCAAATATTTGATGGGGCTCGGCTTGGATCCGTTTCACGAGGATTACAAGCAACGGTCTGCTGTGGTGGGTTCTCTTCTGTCCGGGGTCATGGGTTAATGCTAACAGGTATAGGATATCGCGGCCGCAAAGGGAAAAGTGACATTCTTACTCCTTTTCAGAAGAAAACAGATCAAGAGGCGGCATGAGGTTTGCAGGCTTGGTTAACTCTAGATTTCTGATCAAATCAACATGCTTTTTAAAATTCCTACAATGAATCCAGATAGGACATGATAATATAAAATAGCACTACCTATACTTCTGCCCTGGGTTCAGATCGCTCTCTTTAGCAGAGAAGTTGAAATCGGCTGTTACTTCAGTCGAGATGTACGATGTGGTCCTCTGAGCTTCAGAGGAATATGATATCCTCTGTTCTGATACGCTGATGGCCCCAATGTCATTTTTTTCTTCCAGCGGTCATAATATCTCCCCGCTTGACCGCGCAATACACGTTACTATTCTTCATACCAAATGGCAGACTCTAAATGAAACTTTGTACACAGATGATCTACTTGAAGCCACTAAGGGAACATCCTCTCGGCACCATTCCATCTTCTCAGCAGCTATTTCCTGTATCCTAGTGTAGATGATCTTCTGTCCGTGGCGTGTAGTAGCTACTATTCCCAAGCTGGTCCAGATCCCCACTGTCATCTCAGGTTCCTCTGCAAGGCTTTGAGTCAGTGCTTCATCTTGTTTCACCTTAATCCACATAAGGTATTGCGTACGTACTCTACAGTATACATGATACAGCCCTACCGGTTCTAGCAGGGCCCTGTAAGCAATAGTAATTATCGAATTACCGCGGATGAAAGTACCTTCGGGCCCCAACTGCGTCAATCTCCGATCCAACAATCAGGGAACAACGTCGCTGCATTCCCCTGAATTGGCCGCCAGGAATCCACCAATACACAGAATTCTCCGGCATAAGCGTAGCAGCTCAGTGCCCTTATCTCAAACTGGTCCGACCTAAGCACAGACCAGGATGACGCGTACCACTCACTAGTCACAATACTGCAAGAGGCGAGACTCGCTCACCAACGGTCCAAGTCCAACGTGAATCACTGGCGCCCAGCTCGAGTCAGTGACGCTGCCAAATGCGTTTTGGCTTTGCTTGGCGTCGGTTATCAACCAGAAGCAGGTGGCGTGTCTGTTGTTTCACTCCCTCCAGCCGTCCCTCCACTGGACTCGTCAGTCGTCACTTGCTAGCTTGTAATGGGCACTGACGCTGCAGGACGATCCCTGGGACTAGACGAATATTCATTGTGCCCGGCCTTTGTAGGGTGGAATCTTGCAGGGTCGAAGCAAGTGTTCATCCTTCTTCGCTTGTTTCGAGTGTTGGCGATGTGTTTAGTCTCCACTTGACGATCCCCTAGAGCTGACGCGTACGAGCTTTAGTAGCTGCAGTCTTGAAGCTGGAGGAAGGGTGGAACGCAGAAGGGTCATCTAGTGACCTGACTCAGTATGGACAAATCGCCCAATTCGGAAATTCCCAGTCAAAGTAGGCAGTCTACTCTGTACCAGGATGGCTATTTAAATGCCATCAAATCCGCTCTCGGTATGCCTTTTCTTCCCCATAGTCCCGGTGACTCCAGAATCTAGCACACAGCTTTCCATTCGTTTTCAAAATTCACACTCTTTGACTCCAAGGCCTGGTTGCCATCTTCAATCCTTGAACTTCAAATCAAATCTTCTACTTCGCATAATCCGTTCATTTCGTCCACTTCACGATGAAGCCTCAGACTGCTGCTTTCCTTCTCAGCCTTCTCGGCTCTACTCTGGCTGCTCCCATCCAGCACGCCGACAAAGGGTCCGATGTAAAGCCCACCTCTACTGGACAGGGCGCTTCTGGCGGGTTCCTCACTGGCTTCCCCTTCGGTATCCCCTCTGGCATGCCATCCGGTTTTCCTGGTGGTCCTATGTCTGGAGGATTCGGTGGTGAAGGCCAGAATGGTGCCATGCCATCCGGCCCTGTTCCCACTGGCGCTGCTCCCTCCGGCTTCCCTTCATTCGGCAATGGTCCCGCTCCCTCTGGCGCTCCCCAGGGTCAGGGCGACAACAACTCCTTCGGCGGCCAAGGTGTTCAGGCCCGCTCTCCTCAGGACTTTGAGGGCTCAGGCGCCGCTCCTTCTGGTGCTGTTCCCTCTGGTGCCATGCCCACCGGCGCTGCTCCCTCGGGCGCTCCCGGTGGCTTTGGCGGTTTCGGTCAGGGCGGCCAGGGCGGCCCAGGAGGCCAAGGCGACGAAGGCTCTGGTCCTTCTCCTACCGGCACTGTTCCTTCTGGCGCCATTCCCTCTGGAGCCGCTCCCTCCGGCGCTGTCGGAGGCTTTGGCGGTTTCGGACAGGGATCTCAGAACTCCGGGAACGCCCACTTCCAATCCTCTGGCACCTCGCCTTTTGGTGCTTCTCATTCCGGATCGGGTAGCGGTCGTCAGGGTGGCCGTCACGGTGGTGGCCACGGCGGTCACGGCAAGGGCTCTGGCGCTATTCCTTCCGGTGCTGCTCCTTCTGGTGCCGCTCCCTCTGGCGCCGCGGGAGGTTTCGGTGGTTTTGGACATGGCGGCGAGGGCTCTGGCCCTTCTCCTACTGGCGCTGTTCCTTCAGGTGCTGTCCCCTCTGGCGCTGCCGGATTCGGATTCGGTGGCCAGGGTCAGGAGCAGGGCCAGGGCCAGGGCTCATTCCCCACCGGCGTCGCTCCATCTGGCGTTCCCTCTGCTCAGCCTACTGCTTGAAGCGTCGACAATCTTCTGGGGAGATGATGGGATGCTACGTTGTAGACTTTGGTCAAGCAAACGACTTTTGATCACAGCGTGTATGTAATATGCTTTGGGAAGACTGGCACATGTTTGAGAGATGTGGAACAGATTTGATGTATTATATAAGAATTCAGGAACTTATCTTCCTTTATAATGTGCTCAGAACTCAGGGTAGTTCGTCGCCCAGATGCAGTCAATGGGACAGAGATATCAGATATCGATCTGGATTGACGAATGAGAGCATCTCCAGATGTTTGACTTACATCACTAAGATAAGCGTAACTCTGCCGTCCATTTGGACAAGTCTTGTGCTTTCACCTCTTGCAGCTCTTTGCCATGATTCTCATCGGTCAAAGAGGGATACCAGATAGATCATGGACGCCCCTTGGATCTTGTCAGTCCATATGAGCGATCCATCCATCCGCGTGAACCCTGTCCCTTCTAGGATCAAGGCTAGACCTGCGTGAGGTGCATGATCCTGCCCTCCATAAGGCAAAGAACTGACCTGTCATCATCTCAGTTACTCATGCGTCAAAGAGCGATGGAAGCCATTAACCGGCTCAGGCTGATAATGACATGCGTCAGCAGTAATCCACTGCAGAAGATGCTTGCGACTGGGCAACAGAGTCTGGATTGATTGACCACGCTTGATTGCTTTTCTTCTCGAACTCATCTCGTAATTGTCGGGTATTTCGCTACATCTTCCAAGTAAGACATGACGCGCTCCACCAGTATCCTCCTCGGCTCGGCCTGGTCCTCATCGCTCAGCGCATGCGAGGCGTTCGGGATAATCATACTGTTGCTGTCCCAGCAGTCGCCGGCTGCCATGGACCATCGCTTCAATAAAAGCTCCTTGTCAACCCAGGGCGGCACTGACTGATCTCTTCCGGAGTACAAGATCAACAGTTTTGAACCCAGCAGACCCCGCGACCGCAGCTGGCCAAAGGTCTTGTGCATCTTGTCATCGCTGAGGTCGGAGCTGAACATATCGTCCTCTTCTGGTTTTTCTGGACTGTCTGGACTAGCCAGACTCAGGAACCGTCGACTGCTCACCGGCGTTGAGCTCGGATACCCGATGCGAGTTGTTACCGACAGAGGGAGGATGGTGTCGAGGGTGTTGTCATCTTCATACGGGGTAGATCTGGCACGCGCAATAGTTTTCTGGTATATCTCGCGCATTCTTTCCGGGCCGTCCCTGTCCGTTCCGTCTCGGATGACCCAATTAATGGCTTCTCGGTCGGAGACAGGCGCTTGCATGATGGCTCCGTCCACCGGAGGCCGCTTGAGAGGTTCTACTGCCGCATCCTTGTCCAGAACAGGATGTCGCGGTCGCGGATTCGCACAACTCAAGTAATGCATAACGTCCTGACTGCCCGTCGAATGACCCATGATCACAATCTTCCCTGCGCCGAATAGCCCCTGCTTGTAATCCCGAACATACTGCACGCAGCGCGCAATCTCATCGATATCTTTGCCCAAATGGCCCACTCCCCATCCGCTATAGGAAGAAGAGAGAATGGGCGAGAATATGGACCAGGATGTATATTCCAGTGCCGTAATAAGGTCGGTCAGGTATTCGACAGTGCCGAGTCCGTCTCCCAAGCCGCCGATGAACACGAGGGTGTTCGGTTTCCTAATGATGCCGTTGGTATACTCGAAAGCGACCAATCCTTCACACTGTTCAATTGATGGGTTGTTAGCGCAAAGACAAAAGCTTCTTTGATGGAGCCAGTGCGTGTTACATACATAGGGATGTAGAATACCAGCATGGCCCTTGGTTCGCGGTTGCCGCAAGGGAAGCTGCATTTTGCGGTCGCAAATTAGCAAGGCTGACAAAAATGTACGAGTTTTATCACCTGTAGGCGTCACAGAACCAGGAGGGAGGATACACGGGGGCGATGAAGAGAATAATGAATTGTTTGATTTCAGATATCGAATGGGAGTGAGGGAAGATTCGAACTGCTCTGGCGCGTGGGAGACGCAACCAGCCCTACCGGGAAAACCTCGGCCCGCAGTAGTTGATATGGACTGTTTTTAGGACTGAGCAGTCGAATAAACGTCAGAGCGTGCATCCTGACTCGTGTCGCATGTGTATAAAAGGACAGCCAGCTGTGCCTGTGACTTTATATGCCACTGATGTCTGATCTACAGTTCTCCCTCTCATATGTATGGTTCTCTCAGGATCAGATAAGATTAGATACAGTACGAGCTAAAAGTAAACTTGCCCTAACCCAATCGGGCATCCCATTCCGTCCTGGCCACGGAGGATCGAGGACAAGATTTGTAGCTTGCTGTTTATCACGGCGCATACCCTCCTTATCAACCACAAGACACATACATTGCAGATCCGGCTGCTGTTATTGATGTCGATATATGGCGAAAACTTGCATACTCCACTGAGGTCACCAATATCAAAATATTTTACTACAATTACTTTGTGGTATATATATACAAACTATCGATAGCTTTCAGCTTCGTCTGACTGTCCAACATTACCATGTCAGTCCCTTCAATTTCAAGGGAAGGTGGAGCAATTGTTGCCCCGACTCTGTAGGCGTCGGCAATCGTCCTGCCCGAATGTTCATCTGCAATGACTGGTGAAGTAGTCTCGGCTCAGCCAATTTCGAATCACGCTCCTTCCGGAGAGCTACAAACTCCTCTTCGGTAACGCCATTTTTAAGGTGTTTATTTTGCCGCCGATGATCCTGGACGCTCAGCGAGGGGACCGGCTCCTTGCGCTCCTCGGGAGGATAGTCATGGCCCGTCCAGATCCTGACGTGATCTGGCAGGTCCAAGACCTTCCGCCCTGATTGATAGAGGCTGCGTGCACTGCCGCCGGGGAAATCACATCTTGCGGTGCCAATATCCGAATGGAAGATCAGATCGCCGCAGAAAATATTGTCTAGCCGGTTATATTAGCAATGCGACAAGTCAATGGGGGTGACTCGGCCTACCTCCAATGCGGTATCCCAAATGATCCGGGGTGTGGCCAGGAAGATGAATGGCCTTGGCCGTCAAATTGCCAATCTTAAATGTCTCATCGTCCTCAAACAGTTTGTCAAAGACATCTTCATATTCCTGCGCAGGAATGCCGTATCTCTGACCAAACAACTTCTGCACCTGTCCAATGCGCTTGCCGATCCCGATGGGCGGCCGGTGGCCTTGCTCCTGGGCTAAGCGCCTCTGCAGATAGGACGCTGCGGTGAGATGATCTGCATGGGCATGGGTTTCAAGGATTTTGTCGACTTTGTATCCCTTCTCCTTGATCAAGGACAGGAGCGCGTCAGCCGACTCCGTGGTGATGACCTGGGTGGCGGGGTCATAGTCCAGGACCGGATCGATGATGACGGCTGTCGATGTCGTTGGATCAGCGACCACATATTGCCAGGTGCCTGTCTTGCTTTCAAACACATTGTGAATGGTTGGTTCTCCTGGTTCCATGGTTGCAGTGCTGTACGTTGCTCGAGGGACGGTCCCATTCAGGGAACGTTTGTTAGGATAGGTGCGTATATTTTGAGCACGGTGTTTCGACAGTGGCCTAGCATAAACTGACAACGATCTTAGAGGTGCTTTTCCAATGGTGCAGGCCGACTTCCGTGCAGCCTGATAGTGGCAAGGACGCAGTGGCACTCGGACAGCAGTGGAAGGCACCCACAACAGACCCGCAGTTGCTTGCCAATGTTTGCAGATTTGGGGTCGAATGGATGTCATGTTCAACTATGTTTGTGCCCAAGGGCAGAGTCAAAGATACATGCGATCTGAAGCTGTTTATACTTCTCTCGGTCTCTATGCAGCCAATATTACCGGGGATCTGTATCCACTCGCCGATCCGGGCACGTGACTCTTCAATCGCCGACTGACTTCTCCGTTATGACATCACTCTTTATGCAGCTGACATAATATATGCCAGGCATAACGTGGTCGCCGATGCAGGTCGAGTGGGCCCACTGGCTTATCAAAGATCCTTATCGCACCATTAATAATTGCTCCTGATTGCGACATCCGGGGGCCCTTTTTATCGTCGTATTTTTGTATCGTCGTGCCGTCCCAACTCTTGCTTCTCTTTTGGTCACTTGCCCTCCAGTTTTTGTTACATCTTCCAGCCTCATATTATGTCAGTCATGTTTCGCAGGCGCGTAACAGTGGCAGCTTCTGCTGCTGTTTCTCGCTCTGTACTTGCTGCACAGAATGCCTCAACGGTAACGCGGGGTTTCGCGACAGCTGCAGTGGGCACGTCGCGCAATCACAGAGTAGTCGTGGTGGGTGGTGGTAGCGCTGGTCTCACCGTCAGTCACCAGTTGCTTCGCACCGGGAGGTTCTCTCAAGACGACATTGCGGTGGTCGATCCCGCTATCTGGCATCACTATCAGCCCGGATGGACTTTGGTTGGTGGTGGTCTCAAGAACAAGGAGGATCTGCGACAACCCCTCAACGGCCTGCTCGATCCCAAGCTCAGGTTCTACAACGACAGTGTGCACACCTTTTCTCCTGAAAACAACTTCATCACGCTGGCCAATGGCGACAAGGTCAACTATGAGCACTTGGTTGTAGTGCCCGGTATCAAGGTCGACTTCAGCAGCATCAAGGGTTTGCCTGAGGCTCTCGCCGATTCGAACTCGCTCGTTTCGTCCATCTACGGCTATGACACTTGCGACAAGGCCTACAGCACCATCGAGAAATTGCAGAAAGGTACCGCCATTTTCACCCAGCCGGCTGGCGTGGTCAAGTGCGCAGGCGCTCCCCAGAAGATCATGTGGCTCGCGCTGGACTATTGGAAGCGTGCCGGTCTCTACAACCCCAGCAATCCCTCAAGCGGAGCAATCCAGATTAGCTTCGCTACAGCTCTTCCCGGAATGTTCGGTGTGCCCAAGTACAGCGCCAAGCTGGAGGAGCTGCGCAAGGAGAGAAAGGTGGAAGGACTGTTCCAGCACGATCTTGTCTCTATCGATGGCGACAAGGCGACTTTCAAGCGTCTGGACGGACAAGAGCAGGTGACCAGGCGGTTCGATTTCTTACATGTTGTGCCCAAGATGGGAGCGCATACGTTTGTCAAGAATAGTCCTCTCGCGAACGAGGCCGGTTTCGTCGATGTCGACGACAACACCACGCGCCACAAGAAGTATGGCAATGTCTGGTCGGCCGGTGATGCGTCCAGCCTCCCTACATCCAAGACAGCGGCCGCGATCACGGCACAGGCACCCGTGCTCGTCAGCAACCTGCTGAGAACCATGGAGGGCAAGGAGCTCGACTCCTCCTACGACGGTTACACCTCCTGTCCGCTGCTGACCGAGTACGGCAAGGTCCTTCTGGCGGAGTTCAAGTACGCGGGTGAACCCAAGGAGACGTTTGGTAAAATGCTGGGCATCGACCAGGCAACTCCTCGCCGTGCATTCTACCATCTGAAGAAAGACTTCTTCCCCTGGGTCTACTACAACTACATGGTCAAGGGCACCTGGGGCGGTCCCAAGGGCTGGATTCAATAGAGTAGAGATTCTACATGTATGATACTAGGTTGGACAATAGAATAATTTGTTTGTAGCGAAGCAATAACAAGTCTACGGAACGGTACCTTACCTTTTCTCCAATCCACATCAGGCTATCTTCCTAGAATCCACTCTAGTTGGCTGGATCCATGTAATTTCACGTGTACTGGGACCCCCACAGTCTCCAACTTTTGTACCTCTCCAGATTCTTTCTTCCTCCTTCATTCTTCCTTCTCAGCAACTCGACAGTCTGGAGATTTGGATCTCAGAGCTCACTCTATGTCTGCTTGCTTCAGTTATTTCAAACTTTGGGCCACTTGCAAGCTGCACTCGCAACATGGCTGATCTTCTTTCCCACTGAAACAGCCATGACTCTATCGGCCGAGAACGTCCGAGACTCGGCCGGGTAACGTTTCTCGTCCGATATTTGCTCATGGGATAGTCCAAAGAATACTCTACAGAGGCTAGAGCTCAGGATCGTTTTCATCATCGTGGTCCCCCGGGCAATCCCGTGAATGTCTCAGACAGCATCAGGCCATAACTTGATTTCCTCAGTCGAGAGCTGCTTGGCGGAGACAATCATCATATTCCCGTTTCTTCGGAGGCTTCCTGCTTATGACGACCATCGCAACATGGGACTTCGGTCGTTAACCGAGTCGCCGACTGAATTCTCAGTCCTGTTTGCTCGTAGGCGTTCGTCGATTGAAAGAGAGGCTTTCGAGCATCTCAGTGGAGATTCGCTCTTTACAAGATGATCCGGTCATCCCGCATTCTGGCAGATTGATGAAGTGGCTCTGAGGAGCTTTGCTTGAACTGATAACTGTTGAACAGGTTTCTGTCTTCATTAATTGAGGCCGCCATCTTAAGCATTCTACTTGAGGTGATTTAGATCTTGCCTGGGTTGTCAAGACGTCCGAGGCATTGTCGGAAAGTAACACGGTATGTATCTTTTGATCGAGGCGAATCTCGCATCATGCTGTCAGAAAAAGGGTGGACGCCTGAGCTCGAGGACTATCTGTCTTGCGAAACGGAGGATCCTTAGCGGCTTTGACCTGAGCAACAAAGGGCAGAGACGTATTATGTGCCTAATGCGCTGTTATAAGAGCCGAACCCTATAGACGGGCGAATAAATGGCCCAAAGGCAGCTCATGCTCCATTGTCCATTCCACACTATCATAACCTATGTGCAATTAAGACTGCCTATCTACCGAAAATTTGATCATGACACATCATTTATTTTGTCACACAAGAGATCACTCCTTTTCATCATGGGTCCATCCAAGAATTCTCTGCGCCTTGTCCACGGCAAAAAAGCTCTGATTCTTGGACATATCGCCTCGAATCTCAGCCCCGGGGTAATACTTCTTAGCCAACTCCTCCGAGGGAGTATCTTGGGTGGTAGTTGGCGCCACGATGTTAAACACCTGGCATCCCTCAAAGTTATCGCTCCGTTCCACGGCAAGCAGACACGCCCGCGCTGTCGCCTGAGGGTTCACCCAGCCCCATAACTGCTTGACCGCCGCATTCTCCCAATCTTCCTGGTGCTCCTTCTGCACGTCCTTGAGCGGTGCGACCTCATGAATACGCAAACACGCGATCTTCATTCCAGGGAACCATGTCGCGAACGAGCGTGCCTGGAGCTCGGCCTCATGCTTGGCCAGCGCATAGGCATCCGTTGGCCGCTGCGGGGCGTCTTCGTCAACAGGGAAGTAGTCGAATTTGAGCGGCTGGTTTGCATACGCCAATCCCACGGCGTTGACCGACGAAGCATAGCAGAATCGCTTGATGCCTAGTTCAGCCGCGGCGCGGAAGCAGTTGAATGCGGAGTTGACGTTGTTGTTGTGGACGGTGTGATCTGGCTTATCAACCGGGTCGGGGATCGATGCCAGATGGATGACGGCATCGCAGTTCTTGAATGCTTTGAGGCAGGCGTCATAGTCGTTGGCAACGTCCGCCGTCGCCATTTCCGAACGGGGCGTGCCGTCGTAGTCGGTGTCGGTGCGGTTGATCTGCACTGTGGAGTGGCCGGCATCAGCGCAGAGCTTGACCACGGTTCGGCCAACAGAGCCACGAGCGCCAGTAATTGCGATTCTCATGTTTCCTTCAATTGATGTGAGTGAGTATCTTCTAAGGATTTGTCTCTGGGTAATGCTTGATTTGACGTTCGGAATCCTCGGTTGGTGGCTTGTGAGGACTGAGATGCTCCGCGTTGAGCAACGACAAGAATGTATACGGAGAGGTAAATTTGGCCGTAATTTAAAGGCTACGGTTCTGGATATGCAGTCCATTTTGATCTCTGGCTTAGTGGTCGTCAATATATATATGAAGCCTTTGCTTGATCTTGATTTGTATATAAGATGCAATGACATCAGGATGATGATGTCAAAGTGGGCAGTCCACCCTACTTTCGAAGCAAGATACACATCAGGCAATTCTGGACTTGTGGGGCCTAGATTCTTGGATTACAATAGAACATCTTGATTCTAGAGGCATTTTCACTTTGAGGAAATACTACCTTTATTATCGGTAAGCAGCTGTTGGATCTCGGCATGAGCATCATTGCCATAAGATGACGTCACGTGATAGACACTCACACGAAATATGAGATCTCTAGGGTCTACTCGCCAATCTGCAGAAGTACCATTGATGAAGGAAGGGGACCTTGGTGTAAATGTTTTATCTTTCGGCTCTCCGAATTAGTCTGGACATGATTGCAAGTGGTGAGGCGGACCTTCCATAGGAATTGTATGTATTGCCTTCTCGATATATATATCTAGTCCTTTTCCTGCTCGAGAGATCCCACCGAGAACGAATCCGTTCGGAAAACCCGTGATGATACAGAATTAAGACAATCCCTCTGGGTACCGATATTTCCATCAACATTTAAATCGAATGGATTGCAGCGTCGTGATGCCTGTCCGAGTGCATATCAAGGTAGACTTGGGAATCGGCTGTGTTTAGTTTATAGATCAAAAATTCTTTATCACTTATAACAAGTAAGGCCGGTTGGTCTAGTTGGTTATGACACATCGTTAACACCGATGGGGTCGCCGGATCGAGCCCGGCACTGGTCACTTGTCTTTTTTTTCCCAGTTCTCTTCTCTCCATTTACGGTTGTTTTTTTCTGATTTTTTATTCATGTCTGCTCAACTCATCTATAAATAACAGATGGGACCACATGACGTAACATGATTCAGTTTCTATACCTATAGAACTGCTGCTTGTGCGCTGTCAAGATCATAATCCCATTACCTCCCCGACTCGCATCTGACAGGCATCGGAATACGTGACAAGATTAATTAACAGTTAAAGATCATCCTGAACCCAATAGGCACAATCCCCTGCTTTCCACCCAGAGTATTATAGAAATTGACACTGCCACTCTGCGTCTGCCAGTTACTGAGCTCCACGAGGAAGCTCATGGGATCCGAGCACGTATTCGAGGCAATGATTCTCTTCGATTCCTCAGTCGTCGGCTGCGTCGGGAAGATGTACGTGCCGACCATCTCCCTCCTCTTCGGGGGCTTGTTGTACGTAGGCAGCGAGTACCAGTCCCAGGGGTCAGTAGTCCAGATATCGACCTGGGTGGCGCCCTCGGCGATCTGGTTGGGTTGAGATAGGACTGGGAGGTCGATTTCCAGCATGCAGCCTGTTGCGTTTTGGGGGATGTAGTTGAATGTTATGGCGGAGATTTGCGTGTTGTAGGGGGGATACCCGGCGCGGCTGACGGTGAACTGCTGGCCTGGAGAGGCGTTGTCGGGTGTTGAGACTCTCAGCACGTCGATGACGGATGGGCCCAGGGTGCCGCAGGCTCGAGGGACGAGGTCCTCGGTGGGGGTGGGAGAGGCAGTTGCTGCCGCTAGAAGAAGGCTGAGAAGAACAGCAGGCTTGAACATTGTGGTTGATAGGGTAGCGATTTTGTAGGATGGTTAGGTCTTGATTTCAGAAGTTGGCTTGTTACTTGGACCATGAACCGGCTGAAGAGCGCTATTTATGTCTATGGAATGGAAGCCAGCTGCTCGGCCGGTGAAGTGCACCTCGAGCATCAAGTTCGAGTCAACAACAAGGAATTGTGGCGTCCAAAGCCCGGGTCATACTGTGACACAGCATACATCGAAGCTGATGGCCTCTGCGAGAACCATCCAAATCAAGAAGAAGTTCTGTAATAAGTACGAGACTACCACAGGAACTCAGTCATGATGTCGAGAACGAGCCATAGAGTTCGACTTGTCTCAGATGATTGACGAAGGAGCTCCAACCGGGCAGCCTAATCGCCCTGTCAGACTGCCATGTCTTACACACCGTCTTGGCAAGATCTGTGAGAGCCTTGCGTCAGACAGAAAAGCATTGATCATAGGACGGCAATTTCGGCAATTGTTAGGTTCTTGGTCTGGATTAATCATCGTCATGAGTTGACCGAAAGCGTGGCTTCAATCACCTGATTGAATCCCTGGCTCAGCTTGCAAGCAGGCATCGGCAGACTTCGAAATGTCTTACTGAGTGTCTTGTTGGACGTCAAAGGATTCGAAAGATTGGTGCAGTGCTCGTATATAAGCGAATGGATGACCAATGGCGATGACCACTGGGGCCTAATACGAGCTTGTCCTCCAAAGGATTTTAGCGGTGTGGATCTGAATGAGACAGATTGAGACTTTCGGAATTTGGCAGAGTAAGTAACCAGGACATCATCATCAATACTACGAGACTATACCTGCAATTAGGCCATGTATTGACTCATGGCTGCGCGAAATGCAGCATAGACATGAGATGAATGTTGAGAGAGAGCGCCTGCCGAAAGAAGCAAAAACATGGATTCGAGAAGTGATTCTTCGAGAGGGAGAGACGATATGTCCGAGCCAGTCCTTACAGCTTTTGTTGCATAGTATGTGCATGAACCATGCATCTGACAGCCACAATTTCTATAAGTAGCACAACAATTCAATATATTGTAAGCTATGCATCCAAGCTCTTAGTAATAGTCGAATGACAGGTCAGCTGGCCACCTTTGTCTGATGCTATTATTGCATGGATGGTCTAGTTGTATTGATGAAAGAAAAGGCCTTGTCGGAGTCAACCGCCTTTATTCAATGGTCATCAATGCAGAACTGCCCTTGAGACTATTCGATATAACAACCTCCCATAAATTGTAAACTTGATAGTACGACCACTCCTCGAAACCATCTGTTAGATCAAGGCACCAACGAGGGACTGGTTTGCTATAACAATGATGGAAACACAACCTGATGTGATGCACACTGCAAGGGGTTCCTCTTGATCAATCACAGACTCCGTTGATGAAGGGAGACCGATAATTCTTTTCTCATAGACACTGTTTCTAGCAATCGATTCACAACCTGGTTTTGTGCGAGTGGAGTGGAAGGAATTCCCGGATTCTTCTCATCTTTATGCCTTTTGAAATCCTCTCTTCAAGATGTTATGTTAAAATTCGCAACAGAGGTAAGGTAGTGTCGTCAGGCTTAACCTAGGGCCACTGCTTCTAAATAGTACCATATGTGCATGGTTCTGACGTTATCTAGTGCTAGAACTCAAAGTCTCGCAATGTTCAGTGCTTAAATACAAGGAGGTGGATGCTATTAGATATGATCATCCACCGATATAGGGTCAAGAACCGCCGCGGCGGGCCGAGGGCTCTCTAACTCCATCAAAGCCACAATGTCCCCCTCAATCTGGACTTCCTCGTATATCTTGAACCCATTTCGCTGCAAAACCTTCACACTCCGTTTATTAGCCAAATTAACCGTCGCGAACAATTTCTCCTCATGTCCTAAGTCATCGACCCGAGGCAGTTTCCACCATGCGTTGATCACCCCTCGTAGGGCTTCGCTGGCGTATCCCCTCCCCCAGTACGAGGGATGCATAGCGTATCCTACCGAGGGAGCGGGCGATAAAGAGTTAACACCAAGGGATCCAATGATACAATCAGGTTCGTCTTTAGGAATAATGACAAAAAAGAATAACCGCCCAACAGCACCGGTTGCGTCTGGATCTTTGAACACCTTTTTCGTCATGTGGGCTTTGGTCTCTTCGATAGTGGTATCTGCCACTCTTGGCCACCTGGAGCAAGTTAGTTGTGAGGATGTCTTTGCAGAATACAGGCATTCTCACAGCCAATCAACGACATCTTGTCGGCTTCTGATACTGAAGATCCCGGCGGCATCTTCGTCGTTGTCGATTCGCAGGGGCCGCAGGAGGAGGCGTTCAGTAGATATGGGTGGTACCTCCTCGGGAATAATTACTGCAACGGCTTGCTCGGGGTACTGCATCGAAAACGAGCGGGTGGATATTTGATGTGAGAGTAGGGATATGTTTTTTGGTGACTGAGATTGTGTTCTTGATATATACATAAATTGTTGTTGAGTGAGTGAGTCATCAAAATTCTGATGCGAGATTATAGATCGGCCTTAACATCTAGCGGCATCACATGGTCCGACAATAGCCGTCGCTCACTGAGTCGGTGCTTTATAGATGTCGAATGAGTCTGGTTTCACTGTCAGAAGCACCGTTATCTTTCTTTTTAGTCGAAAGCTTTAAAATAAACAAATGTCCCGTCCAAATCGACTAACCGCAAGGCTCTGTGGACCCTACCGCGGCCAAGATAAGCTTAATATGTGGAACGGTGCCAGCTGCAACTGGCCATCTTATTCTTGCATATCCTAGCTACGTGGAATATATGGCATGCCCTGGGTGGACCAATTTGTCAGCCTGGCACATTGCATAGAGTAGCACCGACGTGCGCAGAGGTTGAGCTCAAATGTATATGCGCCGCCACAGATACGGTCATCTGCCTCGCAGAAGCGCACTCTGACACATTGACATGAATTGGAGCAAGCGACTGGATTGAAGATCACTAAGATTTAGGTTTTTCCGAGAGTGACCTGGCTTATGGATGTATTTCCTTCATACTAAACCCGAGCTTCATCAAAAGAGTCTCGAGCTCTTGGATTCCATTGTTCGCTGTCTTCAAATGCCATTTTCTATAACCGAAATTATGCTAAAACTTTTAATGTCTAATTAAGTTATTCTCATAAGTTATTATACCTCACTGTTACCCCGCCTTAACCCTGTATTCCGCGCTCTGTATCCGAACTTTCCCTCGCCCATTCCTGCTTCATCAGCTGCTGACAGAATTTACTTCTCTCTCTGACCCACTCCCCCTTGTACAAGAGTACAAACGGAATGGGCACACACGCCAGACTCAGAAAACCAACCAGCGAGGTCGCCCAACTCACCCCTAACGTCTCGTACATCGGCTTAGCAGCAAGCGGCAACAGCGCCCCAAGGACACTGCGCAGAATGACCGAGCTGGCGAGTGCGCTGGCAGAGTATATCTTATAGGCATCGGTCACGTACGTCAACAGCGAGACGAAGATAGTCTGGTAGCCGAAACCGAACACGACCCCGGAGGCGATGGGAACTGCCCAGTGGACTTCTGCTCGAGAGGTCCAGGCGAGCCAGAACGAGCTGGCTGTGAGGAGGACGGCGCCGAGACAGGAGATAGGAAGTCGGTGGAGTTCTGCGCCGAAGCGCCAAGGTTTGTGGTGTTTCTTGGCTTTGTCGTAGGTCATATCCCAGTAGAGGGCGACGAGACTGGTGGAGGCTGCACCGACGCCGACTATCTCTATTAGCGTGGCTCCGAGGACGGTGGTGATGTACCTACCAGGGAGAAAAGCAAGAGAGGTCATCTGTACATCGAAGCCGTAGACACCTGGCAAGTCAGTATGCGTAGTATGACCAGGAGAAAAGGAAACAAACCTTCGAAAATTATTGGATAAGCCTGAAAGTAGAAGAAGACAAGGCCGTAAGCCAGCGCGATGTATATCGACGTGAAGGTGATAATGGGTTCGAAGAGCAGCATAGCCAAAGGTCGCTTGACGATCTGAACGACGTTGACAGTGTTCTTCGTAACTGTATCCTCCTTTCCAGTTGCATTGCGTCTCGACAAAACCGGCCCAAAGGTCTCGGGCATAAAGAGAAGGCAGATCCAAGCGCAGCCCGCTAGGATGGAAGCAATCCAGAACGTCCATCTCCAGCCATAAGAGGGCGACGCGAACCCCGATATTATCGGACCAAGAATGGGACCGAAACTGGCAGACTAGATGCACAGTCAGCCTATACGCGTTGATTAACATAAATGAACCCTCCTACGTACCGCCATATAGAATGCCATCACTCTACCTCTTTCTCTGAGGTCAAAGAACATGTCCGCATACACACCACCCACAACCGTCTGAGGCGCAGAGCCCATTGTTCCGCAGATGAAACGAAAGAAGAGCAGCGATCCCCAATTGGGACTCAACGCACATGCCACGGTCGACAAAGTAAACACGGTAATAGTAGGCAGTAGCACTAACCGCCGTCCGATGGTCTCGCTCAGAGGGCTAAACGCAAGTGGCCCGACGATATACCCGATGAGAAACACTGAAGTCGGTAGATTACTTTGTGTGGCATCCTCCACGTGGAACTCCCGCATGATGTAGGGGACCGCATTGCTCGGCAGCGAGGTCCCGATGCCGGAATTGATTACACTGAGAAAGGTTGCGACGACGATGGCCAACTTTTTATGTAACGGCCAGTCATTGGGGGATGTGAATTTGCTTTGCCTCGAGCCTGCTTGTCGAGATTCGGGTGTCCCTTGTATCCGTCAGCACTCGAGGTTGAACGGGTTGAAATACACACATGTCATACCTATAGGACACTCTGTCTGAGCCGGACTGGTAATGGACTTCTCTTCTGGCATAATGAATAGCTTCTGCCGTGTGCATTCCAGCTATTAGGTTAGGCTTGGGTTCGGCAAACCACATTTGTTCCCGACTTGGCGCCATCCGGTGTATTTATTTGTGAAGGCTCGATCACCTCTGGACAGCGTTACCGCAAAACTGAGTCATAGAAACGGATGGATGTGTCCAGGCATTGCAGATGTAATTGTTTTCTCATGTCTGGACCAAGATATAGAAACCAATTCGCCAATCACAGCACCCGCTCAGTCATAAGCTCCAGCACTAAATCCGGCGCCGGACCGGCCCCGGTGGAGATGCAGAAACTTGCTCCGGCGCCGATCAGGAGCCGGTCCGCATCGGCCGGCCCCGTTGTCTTGAGGAATATTTGATGCCTGATCGAACATAAAATCTGCCTGTGACTGGATGGGATTGAGGGAATTGGGGAATGGCACATGATTTTCGACTTGTTTGCTAAGCAGGTTGCCGATCTAGGCCTGTCGATCACAGCCGATATGGCATCTTTTCACACTCATCACATTCGACAACCGTCTCGGTCACAGATCGATGCAATGTACTCTTTACTGTCTAGGATATGGAGGGCATTGAAGGCAGGAAATCAAACACATCCGACTGCCCCTCCTCGAAAAGATCAAACGAGTCCGCTATAGAGGTTGACAGGGTCCAATTGGGTATATTCATCTCCCCCAGAAGGCGTGGTAGTGTAGGATCCTGTCGAGCTTCCGCTGTTCGTCCCTCCTCTGACAGAGAGTCTCCGTGAGTCTGTGCATCCCTCTGTAGCGGCTGCTCCTGCGCCTGGTCATGCGGCATATCAAACAGACCAGAGTCAGGCCTCGGATTGTCTGTACCCTGCCTTGGTTGCATCGAGGATCCTGCAGTATTCGACGTTGCAGTGCCTTGATTGGCCGTGGAACTTCTTTCTGCAAAAAGCGCGCTTGCATAGTTGGAGAATATGGACACGGTGCGATGGATATCCGGATAAGGCGGCAGTTTCAGAATCTCGCTGATTTGCTGCGCTCGTTGCAAGACCAAGCTTTGATCGATCAAAGCAGGATGCCACCGTGCCACTCGAACAGCGAATGTTGCTAGCCTAGTCAGTACCTGCAAATGCGCAGAGGAGTGAAAACTTACTGATAAAGGCTATAGTGAGCGCCGGATACGTCGGAGCCCAGGTGAGCTGGCACCTGTAAGCACTCTCATTGACCAACCATGCCATCTGGCCCATAATGATCTCGACCAGTGACTTCCAAAGCCCTAGCACAGCGTCTGACTCTGGATCTGGCAGAACTTCCGAAGACGGCCGTTTCTGGATGCGAGCGATGGTGGCGCAGAGGACATAGACCCGAGCATAGTTGAGCATGTATTTCAAGCTAGACCGCTGAAAAGCGCCAGCGTGGAAGCCGTTTTCTACTCAGTCAGCGTCCTTCCTGTTCCGACGAGCAACGACTTTCTTACGATCATGTATTCCGTCCCAAGTCTTCCACCACTCTTCTAATCGGGCCATGATTGCGGGCAATTCGGTGGACAACAACTGCCCCGCGGTGGCACTGTCTATAGTTCGTCGTGCTCGAGCTGTGTTATATTAGCTGCAATGGCCGATGGATTACAGAAAACGTATCACTACCTCGTAGTTGGTGGATTTCAATAACACTGACTGTACGCATATCGCTGGGCAGTGAGAGAGGATAGTCGAGGTACTTGCGGAGCTTAGTTACATCAAGCTCATTGACTCGCGATTTTCTGCCTGTTCCCGCAGCGATATCAAGCTCAGTAGTGTAGGTGATTAGCCACGTTCGTGTCTGCCAGACCAAAATGCGATCCTCCATTGTGGCTGATAGGTAGCTCCGGGGAGTGTTTGTTTGCGCCAATAGCGTATCCAGAGATTTCTCAAGCCCCGAATCCAGTGCTGTCCGGAGAATGAGAGCTGTGGAGAACCAAGATTTCTCGGAATACGCCGCCAGAAGGATCATTCCTTGGACGGTCTCAAGCTTGGTTGGTCGTTCAAAGAAGCTGTCTTCGGCTAGCTTTTGCGCTTCATCTTGTAGGACCCGCTGCAAATGGTTGTTGCTGCGAAGGTCAGGCACAGCTCGACTCGCGAGGTATATTATGACGGTGAAACAGAACAAGGACCGAGACCGGATGGAATCGTATGTGTCTCTCACAGGGTCGAAGAGAGGCAGGAAATTCTTGCTTCCATTCATGAATCTGGTCGTTGGTTAGCATGATGCCCTCGCTCAGGTGACCGTACCGCACCTCTCATAGATGCCGCGAGCTTGCTCCTCAGTGATGATGCCTCTTGCAATCACGTCTTTCGTTGGGTCGTCATTCTCGGATTCACCGATGAATATCTGCTCATTTGGAGCACCTAGATTGACCGACATGGAATGCATGGCTGACTGAGGAGCCATCATATCCTGCGACGTAAAATGCTGAATCTCAAGGCTGGATTGGCCAGTCGACCCCCGGTTGTTGAAGCTTCCCACTGACGAGAGGCTGGAACTTGTTGGTGAAAGGGGGTTAAATCTGGATAGGAGTTAGTCGTTTCTTTGAGAGACTGTTCGTTGACAGAATACCGAGTTTGCCCTTTATTCTGCTTTCTTCGCTCATTGCCCCCTCTGTCAATCGTGTCCACTATACAGTCATGACCAGTGGTCTGACATCGGGAGCAAGGGATCTGATGGCGCGCATCGCAGCGCATCTTTAGCTTTCGACACCGCCGACATGACTTGAAGAGACGGGTGGGAGTTCCCCTGGGTGATTCCATGATGAGGCCGCTTGTCCAATGGCAATCACAGAGAGAATGCTAGTAGCCTAGGGCATTTATACGGAGAAACTTCAATCATAGTAATTTTTGGCGGTTGTGAAGTATATCGATTGAAAATCACTTGCTGTCTCGTCCTGACTCAAATATGTGGAGAGCGTTGTCAGCGTCGGAGAAAGACCGAACACCGGAGATCTTCTGGGCTCGGCCTATAAGAAGTTATCATAGTACTTAACGCTATTGGCAATGAATCTTTACAATTCAAGATAAGAGAACACAGATCCGAAACTCAAGAGAAGAGATAGACACGTCGTCGTGGTTTAAAGTTGTGGGTGGATCAGCAAAAGAGCGAAACAAAGCCCGGTCACGTGAGTACCATCTCCGAGCCATCAGCAGATGATCCTCAGGTCTCTAAATCTTCATTTCATCCTTCATACAAAATACAGGGATCAATTATCATCAATTTAAAACCCATCCTCCCTGTCTCTTCATGAATCCTGCAGAATCGTATGCCTGAGCGATCTGCTGCAGTCGAGCTTTGTTCTTCGCCCCGTAGCTGGAATAGACATCCTGATCATCGGCCGCGTCATTCATGAACAGGGGATTCAATCTAATGCGTCACTCAATTATTCATCAAGACTCTTCGTTCGGATGGTACTTACGAGATAAAGCGTATATCACCCCATTGATAGTTTGTCGGCGTCTCATCCTCAAAGGTGCTGGTGAAATCCGACGTGGCTTGATTTGTTATCTCGCGAAGATACGCCGGACACGCCTCGTTGCAGACAGGATTGATCCACATCAGGTTATTCTCCACCCAGATTCGATCGCCGTTTGCTGGGTCTAGCCCAAGAGCATTCCCTCCTTGATTTGCAGAGGCACGTGCGATGCGAACTGACAGAGGCTGGGGTGTAAATGCCCCCATCTGAATGTCAATATCCCTGCTTGAGATGTTTCTGATCTGATTCTGATACAGCTCGAAAAGAGCTTCGAGCAGCTGGCTAGTCTTCTCGGGCTCTAAGCTGGGAAAAGTGTTCACGCGAGCACCCACGCTGAATCCATCTGGCCTAGCCCCTCCGGTTAGGTTGGTTATATTGACATAGGTCGTTGTCGCTGTGGTGTCCAGGATTGCCTCGACATTTTCCAGCCCGGAAAACGCGTTTGCGGGAGGTGTTGAACCATCGTAGAAGAAGAATATCGTCGGAGTTGAGCCTGACGGCCCAAAACTAAATGTTGGAATAACTGCGGCTTTGGCATCTGGGTAGTCCCGGATAAAGGTAGACAGGGCCTTGAACACTTCTTGTCGCTTGTCGGCAGAGTATGATCGGATACCTCCCCAGACCTGCCCATTGTCGCCGAGGTCATGGGCTTGCAACGTGAACTTGGTGACGATGCCGAACCGGTTGCCGCCTCCTCGCAATGCCCACCAGAGATCCGAATGAGACGTGCGATTTGCATTGGCGATGGTTCCGTTGCCCAAGACTACTTGGAAATTGAGTACATTGTCGCACGCCAATCCCTTTTCGGTCAGCGCGGCTCTTGATCACATCCTGGGGCCGGCTACTCACATATTGCGACGAATAGTACGACAGTCCTCCTCCGAGGGTGAGCCCTGCAACTCCAATATTGGCCAAGCGCCCTCCAACAACCACTTGATTTGTTTTGGCAGTCACCTCGTAGACGTCGCCCCATCGAGCACCTGGGCCGACTTCAAAGCTCTCCCCATCGGCCGAGCGGGTCACTGAAGAGAGGTTTTCGTTGAAGGAGATCAGTACACCACCATTGGTACTAGACACGCCGACGTTGAAATTATGGCCCCCGGACTTCAGCGCAAACTGAGTAGTTGGGTACTTATTCAACTGCTGGACCGCATAGGAGACCTCGTCGGCAGTGGAGGGGAAGAAGACGCACGCAGGACGATACTGGGCGTTCATTGAGTTCCAATACCCTTGAAGAGCGGATGTGTATTTGTCCCCATTTGAGACACTCTCTGCGCCATAGGAACCGAGAGGATCCCAGACGGTGAGACTGGGATAGGTCGCATACAGCTGCTGACAAACCGCGACTGCATCAGCTGAGGCTGCACCCAGAGCGGAAGATGCCAATAAGGCAGTGGCAATTAACGCTTTTGCCTTCATGACAAGTCTATCAATCGCACGTACTCTTGTGGCCGGACGAGAGCTACCTAATGACAGTCGTGGAGACTTGGTATATCGATCACTTTTATGTCTGTGGTTGTCTTCATAAATCAGTTCGGCGCAAAGTGCTTGGATGGGAACGTATAACCATCAATACGAAATACGACAGTCCCCCATCAACCTTCGGCGATAACGCAAAATTGAGAACTATTACAGGAATTGATGTTTGCAGGATGCGATGCACTCGGCGACATATTGACTGCTTGCAGCCCTCCAGATTCTACCTTGACCAATCAGATTGCTGGATTGCTTCTATGGTTCAACCCGCCGAATTGGCAGACAATGGGAGGCGCCGTCAGTGTCCGAGAAAGGGGTCAAGCGGAGCCTACAGGTGTAGAGGCTATTTTATTTTATTTTATTTTATCTTGCTTTGTTTTGTTTGGTTTTGTTTTGTTTTGAAGGATTCCTCTAGAAGCGGTACAATATCGCTGAGGCGGAGGACGGCGCCTGCCATCCCGAGCGAGTTGACGGAAGACGATCAGCCTGTTCCTGACAGACAGAACGAGACAGGAGGGACCACAAGCAGGTCCTATACAGAATTCACCGTGAGGATCTATGGATGAATCCAGGGGTATGTTCTCGGCATCGCTCAGAGAACTCTTGAAATACAGGCTGCCGCATGCCGGCAATTGGATTGCAGAGAGCTCACATTCCCACTGAGTGAGACGTTTAAATTATCGAGAGCCGATTGCTTTCGCCCATTTCACCCCATTTCATGAAAACCTGTACTCCGGGGAACTCTTCCGTAATGATGTACTCTGCACTCACTGCATTGGATATATCGGAGTTCCAGGTTAGAACCTTGGTAACAGGAATAGTCGTATGCCTTCGTACTAATAGGACGAAAATCCATCAGCTGGGGCGTTGCAGCCATGGCCAGAAGTTTGCTCTCACTGAAACTTAGGACAGCGACCTCCGATGCCGTGCAGTACATAGGTCTACTTGCATTGGAGCAATGAATCTTGACAATGTACTAGATCCATCTTCTGTTGTCATAAAGACTACTTAGCTAAAACCGCCTTCCACTTTTTCTATCTTGGAGACAGTGCATCTTTCAGACCCAGAGAGGCTGGCAACCACATCACATAATTTCTCAATGTTGAAGCGAACATAACGCTTGGAAAACTGGGCTTTCTCCTCGGCAAGGAACCCTCCGCTTGTGTATTTGAAAAGATCTTGTTTAGAGATCGGATGTCCTATAATGTGATTAGTGTCAATGCTGTAAACATCTCGAGGTTATAGACGGTCAGATACCTCAACATTCAATAGAAAGTTGCCTTTTGGCTGGCATATACTTGAGAAAAGCTCTACGGGTTGGAAAGCAAACTTTGGTGATGCTCTTGAAGGTTAGATAGCTTAAGCATTTTGGGTGGCTGTCGCTATGGCGTAAATCTAGTTGGCACATGGCTTGTTTACCTCCTCCTTCAGGCCCCTGGAGACGGACGGGAATATGTTAAGCCGATCCTTCAGGTCCTTATAAACCTAAAAGTTCCACCGTTGATGGACCAGCTAAGGTGATGCTGGGTCTCGGAAGTACATTGAGTCATGAGTAAAATGAAAATGAGTTTGCAACATAAATCTTAGCAATGATTGACTGGGAGCAAGTAGAATTCAACTCTGGACGTTGAAGCGAAGAATTGTGACACGTGACCATTAAACCTGACGCTTCTCAATAATACAATAATATAGGACTGCCTTATCCAACAAAACTTATTGCGAGTTGATATAACAACCGCCCTGCTGGCGCAATGGTAGCGCGTCAGACTTCTAATCTGAAGGTTGTGGGTTCGACCCCCACGTAGGGCTTTTCTTTTTCTTTTTCTTTTTTCTTTTCCGTTCTCCGACCACACCTTAACTCTACATCGTACTTTTGACAATGAGAATGCACCATCGATGAGTTACAGAAACTTTTTCCAAGCAATGGACCTAGTTCTTCTTTTATTTTATCTTATTTAGTTTCATTTTCTTGACAGCCAAAGTTCGATGATGACCCCAACTCGGTGTGGTCCGTTATTCTCTCCAATGTTTATGTCAAGAACAGCCCCTGCGATCAGCATATACCGGGTATTTTCAAGCAGCAAGGAACGATTGCGCCGCAATTGCAATTCTCATCATTATTGGATACATTCGATATTCGAAGGGCGATCGCAGATGCTTCACAGGGGTACTCCTGTTGGAGAAAGATTATAAGACGCTGGCCGGTCGGAAAGACTACTGGGATCTAGATAGAAATCCCTCATCGCTATAATTTTCCTACCACATTGTCTGAAACAACCAAGAGACATACTAACCGCGAAGGAACCGAGGACACGTGGTCGTGATTTGAGGAGCAAATACATATATTATCTACTACGGAATATTCGCTCCATTATGGATTAGAACGCGCGGCGCACGTCCGTCGCTTATATATATCCCTGCACTGATCCCTGCAAGCGCCATGCAGGCCATATTAAAGACAGATTACAGTACCCAGATGGCCTGTTCTATTTACAAAATTACCTCCAGCCGAGGTCGGCCTTGTAGTCTAAGCGGAAATGGCATGATTACTACATTGTCATTAATCTAATCCGAATCGTGCTCCACATGGACGTGAATGTCCACTGTCTTGAGCACCCCGTCCCTGCGTGATTCCATCGTCAACTGTTTCGTGCTGGCGCTCGTGCCCTCGCTATCATCACTGGGGATTCGGCTCAATCGGCGATCCCGGGAATCTGTTCGGACGTTGGTGGTCACTACGGAGTCGCCGTTCCCAAACGCAAACCCTGTATAGATGCTGCGGCGTTTCTCGGCGCTGAGCGGCGTCTGCTTGCCGTAGCTGCTTCCTTTCCGTCGTGTGGATAGTTCGACATTGTCTGGTAGTCGGGTCGTGATGAGACCGGAGTGTAGTCCGGCGAAGATGTGGTAGAGGGTCGGTAGGCAGGCGACGATGAGGTTCGTGTACATGTTTGCTCTGGAGGAGTTAAGTTAGATGCGTTATCTATTGGTGACTTGGGGGATAAGCTTACTGGGCAAAAGTTGACGGTGCGACGGTGGACCCTGCTTGCGTTAGACCTGCTTCTGGAGCGATGGACTGGAGCCAGCTTACATGTGGTATCAGATGAAGTCAAGGACTGTGGCAGTGTCACCAGTTGGCCGATTGTGAGTAAGACGGCGCTGTGTCTCCATTAGCGTGGAATAACTCGTATAATGGCGGGCCACCAACAGTGCTCGTGTGCAAAATGCGCACAGAATCTTTACTCTTTTCCCTTGAGTCATCTGGACCTTGTGCATCATGAAGAAGGGAAGGGTGAGGATGGCCACGTCGGTTAGAATGTTCATGATCGCGACGAGGTACATCAAGGCGCCCTGGCACGATTAGCCTAGTCTTTGCTATTTGTAGCGATTCGAAAATAAGTAGATACCTTTGTCGTGCATCGATCCGGTCGATACAACCAAACATCTGGCAGGGGACATTGAAAAGCGATCGCACACAGTGCAAAGACTGCCCAGACGCCTATCGCTCCTATTGTGGCAAGACATGCCTTTTGCAAACCTCTTCGCGGGGTCAATATATGCACCAAGAGCGTTGTCGATAGTTTGGATAAGGCGACCGGGATAATATGAAGCAGCTGAGCAGCGTAGTTGTACTGTACGAAATCAAAGATTAGATGGAGAGCAGTGGCGCACCTCAGTGAATGATATACCTTGCTGTACTTTTCGAAAGACTCCGCAGTCAGGGAGTCCTGCTTCTTCCCCAAGCCGTATTTGACCGCATACTGGAGTATGATTGTCTGAATGATGGCAACAACCTGGAAGATTTGCAGTCAGTGTCGTCCTTTTACTTGAATTCTGACCAGGCATACCGTTCCGACGTAAATTGGAGAGCTGGTCGTGGTTCGCCGCCGCTTGAGATAGATCGACGAGCTTATTTTGGCCGCGATGAAGAAGGCCAGCACAATCAACAAGGAGACATTGACGAGAAGAAGGTATGCACCATGATCACTGTCCGTGATTGATGCAAAAGGAGGAGTCCGAGACACGCCTTCCATTGTCAAACCCAGGCGAGCAGACCCTCATAGCTACATTACACAACCGTGGGTGATGAGAAGCGCTCTTTATGATTCATAATTTCATGGCGGCATCGAATTTTCCGAAGGATTTAGGGTCTTTCTTGATCGAGTCATGATCTAGCAAGGGTGCCCTGTAGCATCAAACGCAAGCCATAGGTGCTTGGGATCAAAGATTGCTAAGTCCCTTGGCGCACGAGCAGTCGAGACATTGCCTCCTCCTTGCGTTCGCTAGTAATGCGGTGTTGTTTGCTAGTGTGTGCATCAAGTAATCCCTCGTGAAAGTCGGAAGGGATCTTGCCATCGCAGGTTGTTAGTGCATCCTAGGTGCATCGGGTTGCTCCTAAAGTGGCCCTAAAAGTGGCCGGACCAACGCTAAAGTTGCTGGAATGGATCTCCAGGCCATTCATGCCCAACTGATCGAACAAGGATCGGATGGGTTGCCCCATCTAGATTGCCCCGGTTATTGCCCCGGTTAATATATATCAATGCTCTTGTTTCTCTGTCCACTAGAGGGGCAGTGCGTGGAAGATTGCCCCCATGTCTAGTACAGTGTCTAGGAATTGACCGCTGCTCGCTAAGAGGAAGAAGGAGAACAATAATAATAGCAATATTAATAATGTCTTTTATCGTCGACTGCAGGCCGGTCCAGATTTCTTATGATGCCCTTATCCCCTTGATTCTGGGCTAACTGTCAATATTTGTCCGACATGATTTCCTTTATTTAAAGCTTTTCTATAATTCCTTCCTCCGAACCCCTCCTGTCTCGTTCAAGGTCGCGTGTCTCTCTGCCTGCTTACTGCAAGATAGACTCTACCAAGATGGCGTTTGAGGAGGTCGAGCTAAAGGGCAATGTCCACGTTCAATCTGGCCGATCCAATGGAGACAACAACTTACCAACTGGGAGTAAAGAGCTCCGACAACGGAATCAGCTCGAGGTTCGTATTGGTCTGCTGGTCGACTATGACATTGGCTAACTATTTAACGATAGAGATACCTGAATTTCTTCTCGACTTTGGCCTTCTCAGCCACCCTGATGGCTTCATGGGAGACGGTGGGAGGAAGTATGGCGGCCGGATTGCTCAATGGCGGGCCATCAGCAATCGTTTATGGAATGGTGTTTAGCACCATTGGCAGTGTAGCCGTTGCAGCATCACTGGCTGAACTTGCCTCTGTGTAAGGCCGCTTCCATCTACTGTTGAATGTCACGCTGATCCTATTGAATCGATATCCAGGAATCCGACAGCAGGTGCTCAATACCATTGGACCTATAATCTGAGTCCCAAGAGCCACAGGCTTTTTCTCAGTTTCTTTCAGGGTATGTGTTTCATTTGTATTAAGAATATGGATTGAGCTGACAACTTTCAGGATGGGTCACGGTATGATGACTCCGGTTGTCCTCATCATACTATATGTTGCTAATTGAGCAGGTTTTCTCCTGGTGTTCCCTGGTCTGCCTGGCGCCCTTCATGATCGGCAACCAGATTCTGGGGCTGGTTTCGTTCAACCGCGAAAGCTATCACATCGAGAGATACCAGGGCACGCTGTTGACGTGGGCAGTCTTGATCATCCCGATAATCATCAACATTTATGCCCGGCGGGTCCTGGCGGTCATCGAGGTAGCAGCTGGCATCATGCACATCGTCTTCCTGCCCGTGACCATTGCAGTTCTTGTCGCTCTTGCCCCTCGCAATCCAAATGAGTTTGTGTGGAATACTTTTGTCAGCGGAATCAGCGGCTGGTCGAGTCCAGGCGTAGCTTGGGCTGTTGGTCTTCTGGGCGTGGTGACGCCCCTAGGTGGTGAGTAACATTGAGAGAATGTTCAAGAAGCATAAATCGCTGACAATCTTAGGCGTGGACGGCGTCATCCACATGGCCGAGGAGGTGAAGATGGCCCCCAAGACCGTACCACGGTCCATGATCTGGGGAACTCTCACCAACGGCATCATGGCGTTTGGATACGCCATCGCCGTCCTCTACTGCATGGGAGATTACATGGAGGCCCTGACCTCTCCGACCGGATACCCTATCATTACAATCGTCTACCAGGCCACCAGGTCCAAGACCGCCGTCAACATCCTCATGGCCATGGGTCTTCTCCCCGGCTGGATTGCGCTGTTCAACGGCCTGGCATCCGTCACCCGCCTGACATGGGCTTTCGCCCGTGACAATGGTCTTCCGTTCTCCGACTTTTTCGTGCACATCGACCGCAAGCACAAGATCCCCATCCGGGCTCTGTTTCTCGTCGCCACCGTCGTCGTCCTCCTGTCGTTCATCCAGATCGGATCCACTGCGGCCTTCAACGCCATCCTGTCCATCAGCACTCTCGGCCTGTACGTCTCGTACGTCATCCCCCTGATTCTGCTGGTGATCAAGCGCTTCCGCGAGCCGCAGTCCATCCCCCGCGGCGTCTTCCACATGGGCCGCTGGGGTCTCCCCGTCAACCTCTTCGCGATTGCATTCGCAATCTACGTGTCCATCTTCCTACCATTCCCGGCTCAGGTGCCCGTTACCCGCGAGAATATGAACTATGCGGGACCCGTCCTGGGGGCGGTTATGATCTTCGCTTGTGTGGACTGGGTCGTGCGCGGACGGAAGAAGTGGGTGGGTCCGACGATTGTCAGTCATGAGGACCGACGGTAGTTCTATGAAACCTGGCATAGCCATGCAGAGATATATACAATGGTAATGCATATTACTTTCTTGATATCTTCAAAAGTTTCAGCTTATATCGCATGTGTATCCAATTGTGCTACAACAGGAAACTACAGAGCAAACACACCCAGAGCCAGCGCAGCAGCCCCGAGAAGCCCAGCAGCACCACCGGTGACCCGCGGCATTCCCCCGGTACTCACAGCCGACGAGCCGGTGGACGAAGTCTTGCTCGCATCCTCCGCCGCAGTAGACTTTCCAGAGGCAGTCGCAGTGGCAGTCGCAGCCGTAGTAGCGGTAGCACTAGCAGTGGCAGTGGCAGGCTTCGCACTCGGGCCCGCACCAGAACCAGCGGTAATAGTCACCGCCATCCGAGGCAAATCATTGGAAAACGTCGAGGAACTGACACCAGGGAAATTCGCCGCCGCGCCGCTGGCCGTCTCGGTACACACGGCGGTGGTCGTTCCGTCAACAGAGCAGCTGACGGTCCAATGACTATGCACATCAGTTATCTCTTACACAGTGGCCAAGGTCAAGGTCGAGGTCACTTACAAATCCTCCTCCGGCTCATCCATCTTCAACACGGTGGTCGTGGGACCGGCGACAAGCGTCAGGCCGGGGCCCATACCGCAGTCGGAGCTATCTGTGCCTGGGGGACAGTTGATGCTGTATGTTGTTGCGGTGGCATCCTAAATAAGTCAGATTGCTCTTGCGGTCGGGAATTGACATGACTCATGAGTGCTTACACTACCGACGATGGAAGCGACAAGAGGCTGTGGGTCTGCGCCGTAGATCAACATGGAGGTGACGGTGTTCTGGGCTGAGACCAGGCCGGCGGCGGCCAGGCTGAGGAGAAGTTGAGATGCAAGCATTATGTCGATGCGGTAAAGACAGACCTGAGCAATGAGATTCAAAAGAAGGTATGATAACTGATCTGACTCAGGGGCATCAGAGGAAAAGGGAGAAAACCTTAAATTCTTGAGTAAAGAGATATGCATAAAGTGATTAGTCATGATATTGCATATATCTTATGCACTGCACAACATAATTGAATTGTGTTGTATAGCTATAACGAGTAAAGTATGTAAATAAAGAGACACCTTTACTCCATTCTCATCACCAATTGATTTTTACCACGCTCTCTCCTCACACAATTACTCCGCTCTACAATCTCCCCATCAAAAGCCCACCACCACCGTTCGAAAACCACCTGTCCAACCTCCCACGCCTCTGGGGCAAATGGATCCCCTCCACGGACCTTGATTCCCTCTCCACTAACATCTTCCATGTCATAGACAAACCGAAGAAGACCAATGGGATCCTGCGCAGACTTTGGCCGCATCTCTGGCGGGAGATGGAACACCTGGATGAGTTTATCCCGGGTACTCGGCCAGGGAAGGAGATCAAGAATGGGATGATGAGGGATGAGCCGCTGAGAGGTAGTCGGTTGAAGATGCCTGGGAAGTTCGATCACGTCGTCGGCTCCGTCGTGACTGGATGCTGTCGAGGATGGCGACGAGGAACCGGACAATAGGGATGGTGGCGAGGGAATCGTCTGGCTCTCGGGTCCTTGGTAGAATGGGCTCGTGGCCGTGAGGTCCCACAGTATGCCGGCGATGTTCAGCCGCTGGGCTACCTTCATTGCTGCATTGAGAAGCGTGAGAGAGGGGATCTCCAGGAGATGATCATCTGGGAAAGAGAATGTCGCGGATTGGTATGCTTGTAGCCGGTCCGAGAGACTGCAATCGCCACCAGGGTTGTTGACACTCTGAGTGGACTGAAATGAGGGCAGCAGATCCGGTAAGAAAGCTGCAGGTGAAACGCAGGAGAATGGATCCTCTACAGCAGACAACGGCATTGTGGGAATCGCCTGAGAAGGAAGTAAAGGCGATAGTGGAGATTGCGGAAATGAGAGAAACTGGCTTGGAGAAAGTGCGTCTGGCATAAGATCCAAGCTTTGATCAATGAGCTCGGGCATAATTTGCGAGGGGACAGCCCAAGGCCCTTGGCCGTTGAATGAGATATCATCCACTGCGTGTGAGACACGGTCTTCTGTGGAGTCTACGGTCGTTCTTGGTTCAACAGCTGCTTTCAAAGCCAGCGAAGCGTCCCCGACTTGGGTCTGCCCATCCTCAGATCCAGAGCGACTCTCCGCTCGAGCCTGAAGAGCCTGCCATTGCTGTTTCTTTCTCTCGCCTGCAGGAGTCAGCAGCAGTTCAGCGACAGGTTCCCACTACATACGGTATCTTCGTTGAGCTAGCACGCCCAGGACTCGTTTTCGCTCCGCCGGGTCCTCGGTGATGTCCGGTACGGCGGGAATATCTCGCTTACGCTTGTTTGGCATTTGATCGGCCAATCAAAAGAGTTATTCCTCAGCGAAGAGTAGACTGGAGTTGTGACAGAGATGTAAGAGAAGAAGTCTGCGAGATGAGGCCAAACTCGGACACGAAGAATGAGCGGGGAATCATAACGTTATGGTTATGGGCACGCACGTGGCGCAGGAAAATGGCCGTAGAATGCGTGGAAATAGTTACGAACACGAGATTCATCCAGCGCTCTGACCGTGATTGGACGATGCAACGGGAATATGTAGACGTCTCGTATTCGTTGGCTTGTTCAAATTAAGCAGGCATAGGTGCATGTTATGTTCGAGACCAACGTTATGTTGGACCGTTCATGAGGTTATAGTCTCGAGAATGGCTATATAAGGCCAATGAATTCGGGATGTAGGGGCAATCAGAACATCATCATCAATCTCATCATCTCATCATCTCATCGTGGAAAGTCGAACATTAAGATACCCTGAGCCTTTCCAGGACCGCAATATCAAATGTCTCAAAACAACTACTCCATCCATTCGATTGCCGCGGCATACGCCGTTGGTCTGTTCCCCCACGGCTATTACTATGTCAAGATGATGGCCAACGCGAAGGAACACGCTACAAACATTGTGTATGCTGAAGCAACTTTTGTCAAATACCAAAACAGCTGATGAAATGACACAGACCGCGGGAGAACCTCTCCAATCTCAAAGGCCGCCTCCCAGCCCAGATCTGGCAGCAACTCGCCAAAGCTCGAGGAGCACATCTGAATGCGATGGAAGGATTGCCTCTTTTCGCTGCTGCAATGGTAAGAAGGGCATTTCCCAGGAAATAGTATAAAACTAATGGATACACACAGCTCGCTGGAAACCTGGCCAAACTTCCCTCGAGCGACTTGAACACCCTTTCATTGGAGTATATCGGCGCTCGGCTCTTGTATACGGCTCTGTACATGGGAGCCAAGTCTGAGGCTATCAGCTATTTGCGTACGGGTGTGTGGGCATGGAGTGTATCAATCCCGATTTGGGGATTGATTCAAGCGGGACGGGTTCTGAACAAGGCTGAGTGATGATGGTGGGACGCTGCTTGATGTGACATTAGTTACCTCTGCATTTTTCAGAAAGTAGATAATATGTCGATTTGTCAATAATATGTTTGAGAAGAAAGCAGTCTTCGAGAATGACGAGATCACTCCATAGAGTTAGCGACCCAGATGCGCTCGTTCACAAGCAGCAGTCATTGACCTCGTCACAAGGGTAATTGGTCCCAGCTCCGGTCGATCCTCAGCTGCCTTTAGAGCAAAATCGTTGACCCATGTCACTAAGGCGAGGCCTTCTTCATTTTTTCCCGGTTCCTGGCCATCGATTATGTCCATACATAGAACGAAGAAAAATGTGAATTGGTGGAGTAACAGAATACTGCAGGATATAGTTTATAAGCAGAGACACTCCGATATCCGAAGACCTTAGATTAATTACCTGATACCCCAGAATGACCGCACCGTTGAACCCATGTGAGATTGAAACACTCTCAAAGACTTTCTGGCGAGGTCTACCGTGTGCCGCGGCAAGTGGTAACTGTCCCGGTTGCATTTCTTGGCCTGTGAGAGGACGATAATGATCCTGTAGCTTGTGAACATAATATCTGCAAAGAACCAGGTGTCGATAAGATTTTTGGTGTTGCTCATGAGCTCCTCCTGTACTGCATAAGCCGAATGAACTACATCCGCAGTGTGGAACGGACATGATAACTCACTACGTTCCAGTCAGACAAGATTGCTTCCACTTCGGCGATAAGATCATCCAGCCAACTATCGTTTGTAAATGCATTCTGATCGGATCCGGCATTCACCCAGTCCAAGTATTTCAGGACAACTAATGTTAGTCGCATCGATGCCAGAAAGTGTATTTGAATAAAGTGCGTCGATGCATCATCAACGCCAGTGATCGAGGGGTCAGGGAGATTAACCGCCCATGACCCTTCGGGAAGTAGCGCAGGCTTACCGAACAAGAGCCGGAAAAGGCAGTCGGTCCGGAGAAGATGCCAAAATTCGAATCGCATTCGATTTCGCTCTACCTCACTCCTATGTTGGAAGGATTCCTGCGCTGGACAGATATGACCGTCAGGCCCTTTAGGGTCCCCATCAAGGGAGAAATATCCAAGAGCCTTAGCAATGCTGCAGGCATGACCAAAGATCTTCCAAGAGAGTTCACTATCGCAGCCTTCGAGAGTCATCGATATCTAGTAAGAATCGTCAGCAACTGAAGCTCACAAAAAGGTTCCGAACTTATAATCACCATCAGAAAAGCGGCAAACACGTCCTCCGGGGTATTCTTGAGCTGATCCAGCCAGCTGTCTACCAAATCAATAGTTGTCCGGTAAAGCGATCGGACGATGCCACCCTTTTGCACAGTGTCATCTGGATCCATCATGATCCCTTGAAGCAACACACTGTAATAAATGAGTCTTGACGTGGCATCCAAGCTGACGTGACGTATCTCCAGTAAGTCTGGGACGCTTAAGAGAAAGCTCTTCTCCAAAGGAATCCGAAACCCCTCAAATTGATACGACTCATAGTACACTGCAGGATCGATTAGCGAGCGGACTGCCAATTAAAGGTAGATGGTAACGGACAATTTACCCATTTCTTTGCTTGTTCCTTTGGAATTT